TATTTGCTCAAAAGCGCGTCACTGCGCCAGAAACCTCGTGGTACCGTAACACTGTAGAAAATAGATAATCACAAGAGACACAATAAACGTATCATCACTATACAAAGTTAATGTTAAAATGATACAATAGCCCTGCTTTAACATATTAATCCACATAAACACTATATTTCTACAGATGCCACCGATCGGTAAATCGAACATGTTTTTGAAGATAAATCGTCTTACGGAACGATAGCTGATAGAATTCGTTTCTACATTGAAAGATTTCTTTTCTAATCTCCGTTATGAGTGCTGTCTTTGTTAAAGTGTTATCATCTCTATCCGAATCTATTGTTGCGGCAAGATTAGATACAAACTCGTCTTACCGACATTGTCTTTCTGAAAACTGATGTGATCAGATTAAACATTGCTGGAGTTTGCAGCGTTCTCAGATAAATTAGACGTCACATAGTCATTGTACTTAAGCTTCAGGTCAGACACGAGGTACAGTTCTGGTATAACATTCTCCTGCTCCAGTTAAAAGGTCCGTACAGCGTCAATACCTGCACTCAATAATGCAGCATTGGTGTTGTCGTGCGTGGACACGTGTCTTTCCATTTTAAAACAGGTTTTTAGAGACAGGTTTTAAACTTACAGCTTCAGATAATTTACCCTTCAATTGTTTCACCCTCGAGTTGCTGTACCTCAAACGACACGTTTTGTGATATCTACCTAGCTTGCTATAGAGATATTTTCCGAGACTCTCAGGGTTAAGAACAGGGCACTTGTTCATGTGCGAATCAGGATTAACATCGATGTTGCACAGATCCTGACGATTTCTGTAGATGTCCACAGATAGTATGTTGCGAAATCGACGAAGAAACTTTTATCTTTTCCCTGAATCAGACTATCCTTTTTCGTTTCTAACGTCTAGGGAAATTCGTATTGTTAAAGAAGAATATCCTCTCATACTCTTAAAATTAAATCAGGATAATATGTATAATAATTATATTTGCGAGCAAAAGTTTCACACAAACCTGTTCAACCTGGCATATGAAACACAAGTCTCAGTCCATTTCAAACAAATCAACATCTGGTCCACTTGATTGGGAACTAAATGAAGAAAGTCTCCACATTTTCTTAGTTCTATTCGAGGAGGCCGAGGGTGACAAAGGCGGGACTTTTTCCACTTGGATGGCAATAGCTTCTTCAATCTTCATCACAAGAAGATTCGTCAATTTCAGAAACAGCACTGTACACCTGCAAATACTTTATTACTTCCCACATTTATATCAACAGTATCATATCACATAAGTTTGAGATCGTACAAACTACAAGTGTTATAATATCATTTTAAAAGTTTGCAAATCCGATAGAAATGGATTAAAAATTACTACTCGCTGTCTATTTAACTTTGAATAATAATGTTTTTAAATGTTAGTAAAACAGGAGGAAACAACTCACCCTGTTATAGTTGTCTTTTACATAGTTAAGACACTGAATACACAAAAAAGAGGTTTGCTTTGGTGAGTACAACCCAGGATTGATCTTCTGCAGCAGGGCGAGGAATTCTCTAGACTGTTTTGTCATTCGTTCACTTTCAGAGCGGAAGAAAACTGTTTCATTAAAATCCTTTATTTCTATTCGGGTACAGATACAGCACTCTGAAAATTGATGAATAATCACATTTTTGTATACCTTACGGCAAAGTCTAATGTCTGTGGTAAAAGAATAATATTCTTTCAATAGTATTTTATTAAAGCCTAAACTTAACTTCTACCAATTCAAAATTGTTTACGTCGGTCTCCCCTCCTTGAGCCACTTTTCACATAGCTATTGAGTATAAATCACTCTAGCACAAGCGACTTCAAACCCCCTCCCCTAGGCTGGATTAGGTTATATGTGAACTGTGCTCTAGTGCATGACTGACTTTACATTATGCAGAGCATGCAAAGTTTTGATGTTTCATAAACTTATGAATAAAGTTTTAAAAATCGTGACATAAAAAGCAGTGGTCGCACGGTGCCCCGGCCAAAATCACAACCCCCAGCCCTTCCCGGCCCCGGCCAAAAATTAGCAATTCGCCGGGGGTAAACACCGGCCCCGGCCAATAAATTTAACCCCGGCCAATTCTCAGTGGTCAGCCCGGGGGGGATACAACGGTCATTAATGTGCATAAATGGGCATAAATGGGCATTAATGTGCATTAATGTATATGTATATTTCAGCAAAATTCTATAATACTGACATTAATGACCAGGTTTTTTTTGCAATCCTTTCCAAATTTCGTGTAATACTTATTTTACAACATTCTCGCTCACATGAGCTTGATTGTTGGTGTGCACTGTGCGTGTATGAGACGACGTAAATAGGAACAACAATATTTAAAAAATAATTGAGCTGAGGTTGGAAGTACGATAACCATATTAAAACTGTTGGTAGTTCCAGATAATTTCACCGGAAATTTTGTGCTAAATCAAATTTGGGACTTTGCATAGATATAGATGGATATGATTATGCGCCGCACCCTCGGATTCATGATCACTTGTCATCGCGTTATGAATTAGTTACTCAGCTTTACACTTGTACAGTCGTCAAGTTTTGGTCAAAGACAGTTTAAGCCAATGCTAACTCAGCCGTCAAATTTCAGTCAAAACTGATTTAATGGAGGACTGAGAAGGAGGAGGACTGAGGAGAATTGAGGAGGAGTAGGAGGAGGAGTGAACAGGAGGAGGAGGGGGACTAGGGCCAGGGAGGACTGAGGAGGAGGAGGACTAAGGAGAAGGATGAGGAGGAGGACTGAGGAGGAGGATGAGGACTTAGGAGGAGGACTGAGGAGTACTGAGGAGCATGGCTGAGGAGGATGGCTGAGGAGGATGACTGAGGAAGACTGAGGAGTACGAGGAGGAGGAGGAGAAGGAGAAGTAGGAGGACCTAGGAGGAGGAGGACCCAGGAGGAGGACTCATGAGGAAGAGGAGGAGGAGGACTCAGGAGGAGAACTTAGGAGGAATGAGAAGGAGGAGGACTAAGGAGAACTGAGGAGGACGACTGGAGGAGGAATGAATAGGAAGAGGAGGAGGGGGACTGGGGGAGGACTATCATGAGGAAGAGGAGGACTGACCAGAAGGATGAGGAGGAGGACTGAGGAGGAGGACTGAGGACTGAGGAGGAAGAGGAGGAGGATGAAGAGGAGGACCCAGGAGGAGGACTCAGGAGGAAGAGGAGGAAGAGGACTCAGGAGGAGGACTTAGGAGGACTGAGAAGGAGGACTGAGGAGAACTGAGGAGGAGGAGGAGTGAATAAGAGGAGGAGGGGGACTTAGGAGGACTGAGAAGGAGGACTGAGGAGAACTGAGGAGGATGAGGACTGAGGAAGAGGACTGAGGAGTACTGAGGAGGATGGCTGAGGAGGATGGCTGAGGAGGATGACTGAGGAGGATGACTGAGAGGGAGGAGGAGGAGGAGAAGGACTGAGGAGAAGGAGAAGGAGGAGAACCTAAGAGGAGTATTCAGGAGGAAGAGGAGGAGGAGGAATCAGGAGGAGAACTTAGGAGGACTGAAAAGGAAAAGGACTGAGGAGAACTGAGGAGGAGGAGGACTGAATAGGAGGAGGAGGAAGGACTGGCGGAGGACTGAGGAGGAGGAAGACTGACGAGAAGGATGAGGAGGACTGAGGACTGAGGACTGAGGATGAAGAGGAGGAGGATGAAGAGGAGGAGGAGGACCCAGTGCAGGAGGAGGCGGACCCAGGAGGAGGATGAGGACTGACGAGGAGGAGGAGGACTGAGGAGGAGAAGGAGGACCTAGGAGGAGGAGGAGGAGGAGGACCTAGGAGAAGAAGGAGGACCTAATAGAAGGAGGAGGAGGAGGACTTAGGAGGAGGAGGACTCAGGAGGAGGAGAAGGACTGAGGAGGAGAAGAAGGAGGACCTAGGAGGATTGCTGAGGAGGATGACTGAGAGGGAGGATGACTGAGAGGGAGGAGGAGGAGGAGGAGGAAGAGGACTGAGGAGGAGGAGAAGGACTGAGGAGGAGAAGAAGGAGGACCTAGGAGGAGGAGGAGGAGGACCTAGGAGAAGAAGGAGGACCTAGGAGGAGGAGGAGGAGGAGGAGGAGGAGGACTTAGGAGGAGGAGGACTCAGGAGGAGGACCAGGACTCAGGAGGAGGACTGAGAAGGAGGAGGACTGAGGAGGATGGCTGAGTAGGATGGCTGAGGAGGATGACTGAGGAGGAGGAGGAGAGGGACTGAGGAGGAGAAGGAGGAGAAGGAGGAGGACCTAGGAGGAGGAGGACCAATGAGGAGGACTCAGGAAGAGGACTGAGGAGGACTGAGAAGGAGGAGGACTGAGGAGTACTGAGGAGGATGGCTGAGGAGGATGACTGAGAGGGAGGAGGAGAAGAAGGACTGAGGAGAAGGAGAAGGAGGAGGACCTAGGAGGAGGAGGACCCAGTAGGAGGACTGAGGAGGAAGAGGAGGAGGAGGACTCAGGAGAAGGATGAGGAGGAGGACTGAGGAGGAGGACTTAGGAGGAGGAGGAGGAGGAGAAGGAGGAGGACCTAGGAGGAGGAGGACTCAGGAGGAGGAGGACTCCTGACATTAATGACCGTTGTATGCCCCCCGTCAGCCCCAGCCCCGGCTATATTGGGGCTCCCCGGCCCCGGTCAGAATCCTACCCCCGGTCGACCACTGATAAAAAGTTAACTCACTGGATTTGTCCAAAAGCGAGAGAAAGTACTGAGAAAGCACTTATACGTCACCACCAGAGGGCCTAGAGAGGTTATCTTTGTCTGTTTAATTGAATATTGAGTATATAATATGAGATTTAAGATGAACATGATAGATATTATATGATGGATCACTGAACTCGCGGAAGCTACGAACCGTGACAATAAATCTGAGTTTTCAGTTGAAACGTTCAAAAAGCCAGTGAAGTCAGTTTCAGTAAAACATTTGTTATTTGTATTCTGCGTATCAGACTACCGATAATCATGTAAGTACGTTTCTGGATAACAAGAAAGATATGGAGGAGTTGAAGAGCGATCTGATCCGATCGCAAAGTACTGTTATCAAGCTGCAGGCTGAACTTCTGGAAACTAAATCGAAGCAGTTGGAATCCGTGTACTCCAACGTCAAGACCGCCGTTCAAGACACTGTCCAAGCTGAGATGAACTCATACAGTCAAGCTGTGACTAAAAATGCACCTGTGCTTGCAGAAGAGAGTTTAAAAAAGGTTGTACAGAATGCTGTATCGGAAGAGGATCGCAGTAGGAATGTGCTCATCTTTGGTTTGAAGGAGACTGATGAAGAGGAACTGTGCAATAAAGTTACCGTGATTTTTCAGCAGATTGAAGAAAAACCACGTTTTGAAGCTATCTGGGTTGGGAGAAAATCAGCCAACAAGACGAGACCAGTCAAAGTTTCGCTAGGTAATTCTAACTTACCGTTCATGAGATATTAGTAAATGCCAAAAAGCTGAGACTGTGTGAAGATCATAAGACTGTTTTCATCTCTCCAGATCGATCACCTGAAGATCGAGCTATCCATCATGATCAGCGGTTGGTCTTGGAAATGAAACAGATAGCCAAAGCAGGCATGGCTCCACCGTGTAGGTTCGGGTGGGTGGGCACCCACCCAAAGGATGTTGCACCCACCCAAACGATTCGAAAATGTTCACACAAAAATTGTCAAATTTTGTATAAACTAAGGGTCAATTGACTTCTGTTATCAATTGAGACTGTTTTGGAGATATTAAAATACGTTTAGGAGAGTAAAATTCCAAAATTTTCCAGGGGGCTTCACCCCGCCCCCCCCCCCCCCCCCCCCCCCCGCCGTGCGCCAAGCTGCACCCACCCAAAGTTTTTGAGCTGGAGCCATGCCTGAGCCAAAGAAGACACAAAAAAACATTATTATATCAGAAGTGGTAATATTTGTAGTGAGGACAAGATGTTAGAGAGTGATACATAATAATGAGTGATATACATCCATAAGTTTTTAATTTTGATTGTTGATATAAGCGGGATAAAAATAATTTATTTCATTTGTATTGGACGGGACATACACAAAGATGCTACGTATGGTGCTGGGTATCTCATGGAAGGACAAGGTCAGCAATATAACTTTGTATGGTAGTCTACCAAGGCTGTCAAACAAGTTACGAAGCAGGAGACTAAAAATGGCGGGACACTGCATCAGACATCCTGAGCTACTTGCCAGTGATTTAGTCTTATGGAAACCTATGCATGGTAGAGCACAGCAAGGCCGACCAAGACAAAGCTACTTGTCTATGTTACTGAAGGAAATTGGGACAAACTCAAAAGAGGAACTGTGAACCCTGATGCGGGACAGGGATATATGGAGGGGGTTATCTGGCGTAGATCGGACTTAGTTCCGAAAAAATAGTAGTACCTATTTCATTAATAACCTGCATAGTTGAAAAGTTGATTAATGTAGTTTCGATAAACAGGGCGTCGTTCAACTCCACTCATTTCGTTCCAAGCTGGAATGTAGTATTGTTTAGTGTAGGTTTGTTCATGTACCTTTCATCATCAAAAGGTTTCAACTTATACAGCATCGATAACATCATCTAACAAAGCTGTTTGAACAGCTTAAGATTCAGTTAAAATTACATTATTCAGATACAGTTTGTGAAATGAAACATTGTCAGCCTGTATTTATTTAATTATAATAATTATGGTAATTTATCTAAAAATCAAACCATTTGAGTTTTCATTGTTATCAAAATAATTTCGATCTAAATTCTTCTTAATCTGCATGGCTGTGAGCGGATCGAAGTCTTTTAACAAACCACAAGATTCTTAAAGTGATCCGAATGTACACAGAGAACTGTCTTAGCTAGTTCTGGGTCCATAAACATGTCACCTTCTTTCTAATGGTGATTGTCAATTTTGTTCAGCAACATAATTCAGAATTACAGAAATTATTTGAATCTACTAGAGATGAAATGGCTTAAATAACAAGCAATAGATGTAACTAAACAATTAAATACATATTGTAGTTTGACTACTTCTTTGAAACAATCAAAGAACGGGGGAGCTAAGGGAATGATTGCTCAAAACGAATGATATCTTCATGAATTCAATGCAGCATCTATACATTTATTCGAAATAAGTGATGGATGAGGGGGTTTAAGTCAGGCATTCCTGACATTTACTCTGATGTCAGGGGCCTTTTATATATTATATTTGAGTATAATACATTTTACCTTATAATTAACCATCACTCCCGTCTAGGAAGTACTATGTATTTGTTTATGTAATTGAGATCGTATCAGCGCCTTTCATTCTACTCAACGCGTTTCATTCTCATATATGTCAAGCTTGTTTAGAGTACTACTATTTATAAATTCAAAATCATGTTAAGAAGATAGCAGCAACTAATTACTAATCCATATTATTTACAGTGCTCTATTTTATGTGTACTGAAGAGTGCCTTTACAATATTCCACTTTGTGGTGTAGATTTCCTCCATATCCAACAGGCAACACTGAATGAGTGATGGATGAGGGGGTTTAAGACAGGTGTTCCTGACATGTATTCAAAATTGCATTGAGAAGATAGCAGTAACTAATCTATATTATTTACAGTGCTCTATTTATGTACTGAAGGGTACCTTTACAATATTTCAGTTTGTGGTAGGGTTCCTCCACATCCAACAGGTAACACGGAATGAGTGATGGATGAGGGGGTACAAGTAAGGCATTCCTGTCAAAAGATCTATAATTAATCTTGTAAGGGTACCACACAGTAGACATTATATTGTTGATTGTGAACCAAAAGTTTATTCATACCCACAATCGATAAATTATAAATCCAAATAGTCATATAAGCAATGCAATACTAAATTGGTGAAATTGTATTAACAAAAGGTATACAGCCAAGTAAAGGTATCTCAACAATATAACATTGAAGTATTAGAAATGGCACTCTACTATTATAAAACACTTTACTGTACTGTATTAAACAATATTAAATGAAATTAAGCCAGAGAAGGCATGAACTTCAGAAAAGGACAATACACTAACGGTACAAAAACTTAAATGAGTTTCAGGGAAGGGTTACTAAAATTTTACGGTAGCGCTCGATTTTATTCAAAAATTTTCAAAGTGCTCAGCACCACGAAAAATATAATTTTTTCTTCCGCTTTCAAAACTTGTTTTGACGCTGAAAAACTATCAAATAGTATTATTGAACAGTATTAAAACACTTTGTGGGCAAAAATATTTCATTGTGGATGTATAAAGAGCCAAAAAAATTTTGCGCGCAAAAAAACATTTTTTTTGAAGGTTTTTTAAAATTTTGAACAGGTTAACTCTTATGTGTGCTTATAAACTTAATATAAGCTAATGCGGCATATCAAAATGTATTAGAAACCGAAATATCTAAGTTTTTGCTTGAAATTAATCTATCGATAATCCTGAAAAACCTCAAAAAATGACCATTTTTAGGGCCAAAAATCGGTTTTTTTTCAAATAAAACCAGGTTCCCTCCATTTTCAACACTTCCCACTATCACCAATCGATTCAGGGGCCAAAAATACGTCTTTTAAGACATGTCTGATGACTCTGGTGTATCGAGCAGAAAATCCCCGTAACAGCTCCTACTATAAACATGAAGGAGGTACCGAAGTTACTGTGCAGTGTGATAACAGTAACACGAGGTGCAGTGAGCAGCACATCACTGATGACACTCATATCGCTCGATTTTACAATCCAATAATCAAATTTTACAATCTAACTCAGCGCGCGGCTCCTCTAGCTAATACGTTACTTTTCTCCAATTGGCAGTTTGCGTGCACGTGTCTTTTCTGAGGCCCCAATTGGTTCTAAATGATCACGTGAATGCTGGTCACGCGCACATCAACTTCCAATGAGCGTACTGCCATTTTTTCTGAGGCGATGGAGGTCGTAAATCACTCAGCCCGAATAAAGATTTGGCGGAATGACAGGCTGAGCGCGGCCCAGTAAATTAAGTTTTATTGCATGTGCATCATATTGCCATATTTAAAGGCGCGCGGCTTTCGGAGCTACAAAAGCAGCGCATGCAGTGCAGCTAATTAGTAATTTTTAACGGGTGATACTTGTAAAATATCTGTTCTATATTATATTTGACCGTCAACGAGTCCAACTCGGCGCGCGTCCTGGTAAGTTGTAAACCTACAAGGCTCCCCCTGTATATGTATCGTTTAATTGACGATGTCAATTCATGGCAGCTCGGCGCGGCACAGTAGCGCATCTCGCCGATCTAGCATTATTGAGTGCGCGGCACAGTAACGCATCGCGCTACAAATGTATCGTAAGATCAGAACGATAAAGTGAAACACACATGCACACACATGCACAAACACACACACACACACACAAACACACACACACACACACACATGCACACACACACACACACATGCACACACACACACACACACACACACACACACACACACACACACACACATGCACACACACACACACACACACACACACACACACACACACACACACACACACACACACACACACACACACACACACACACACACACACACACACACACACACACACACACACACACACGCACACACACACACACACACACACACACACACACACACACACACACACATATATGCACACACACACATGCACACACATATACACACACACACACACATGCACACACACACACACACATGCACACACAGATTTATTGAGATTATATATAAGATTATTTATATTCTTTACCTGATTTGCTTTTTGTAATCTTACTATATATAAAGCGAGACGATATATATATATTTATTTATCCGCACCATTTTACTGACACCACGGCATCAACTTTAACACGGGTTTCCGCAAAAACCGTACAAGATATAAAACTGAAACTTTTTTAACTGATTCAAATGCTTTAATGGCCTTCAAATCAGCATGAAAAAATCGAAAATTGGCCAAGGAATAAGAATTTTAGTACCCAAAATTTGGACCCCCAAGTGGTGTCAAAAACGCGAATTAAATAGGTAATAATTACTTTAGGGTAGGAAACTGATCCGGCCACCAAAGAGCCTTGACACCATTCTTAAAGGTTTGACGGGTTCCTGCTAGTGTTACTAAATGCGACGGTTAATTGTCAACTTTGGATATTTCACCATCGATGATGTACATTAATGAGTTAATGTGATCAGATGGTGATGTGACATCATAAAAAACAAATAATTAACCGCTCATCAGTCATCAGACTTATATATAAGTGAATTTTCCGATGACTGACTATAAATAGTAACACGTGTGTTATTTCCATACAATAGCGTGATTAATATTATAATGTATAATTCCATGCAGTAACCGAGGACCCAATGACTTGACTTTGGTTGTTTTATCGTCAACGAGTTTATAAGCTTTATAAAAATGCCATCGATCACATCAGTCCTATCGCTTTATTGATAGGATCGGTAACAAACCTATGAAATTCTAAAACCCATTTTGATGATTTATTCGGGGTAAGGTTCGGAGGGTTTTCTCTTTTGCATATTTTCGCACGATCAACTAGGATTATGTTTGGGAATAAAAGCATCGAGTGTCCTCGCTATATGTTTATAATTATAGCCTTATATGCTCGATCGCGTTATTTCTTGCTTTTATTGAATCAAAACATCTTATTAGTATTACCGTGTGTCTTTAATACACTAGGGAGACGGCTCAATAGGGGCCGGACCGCTCATTCAGATAGTGATATGTTATTACTTTATTATGCTCACTACAACCATGGTATGGGACCAACTTGACCACCACTTTTATTTTGACATGTGTGTGTTCACTTATTTTAGAAATTTCTTGCCGCCTTTTATTTACATTGGTCTGTTTTTGTCGCGTGGTATTTATATTGTTACATTTTTGTGAATAAGTTGTTTTTATGACAAATGTTTGAGAGTTTTTGTTTTTAATGACGAAGGCTGTGGAATGTTCACAGCTAAATAATAAAATAAAGAGTCACAGCTAATTTGATCATAAAAACAGGGACTGGGTGTTCGTTTATAATTAAGTTGTTATTGTTAACGGAAATCGGAAAGGGACATTGACATGGTCATGGTCATGGTAATCATGAACGTCTTTCTTTTCCCCGTCTTTCTTTTTCCCGTTTTGATTGATATAGTGATATGTTTCTGCTTTCTGAGTCATGTGGGTCATACATCCTGATCCCGATGGAACTGTCGTGGCACTGTGGCATCGGGATCCGGATGTATGATTGGGTGCTTGAAACGGCTCTTGATTGTTCCTTGTTGGACTCAGGAATTTGTTTGTAAACACATGTTGACGCACACAATTTTATTTTACAAATGTCAAAAACTACCAAAACAGAAATCTCACTCTTCCGGATCAAAAATTACCTAATTCTCACAAAGTTAAGCCTATTACTCACGGATCACGAGTCACTGAAAGAATGAGCTTGACATTTAAGGACGGGACGGTTCTGGATTTCCAGAACCAGAGTGCACTTTTTGAGTACATTAGGGTAACAGCAGACACTGTTAGTACTGCTTACTCCATGGACACCTTCTGGATCATCATCTGCGCTGGAATGGTCTTCCTTATGCAGGTACTGTTACCACCACCCTGATATTCTTTAGTTTCAAGTAACCAATGCTGATCGGTTCCAATGAAGCTTTGAGTATAATAATTGTTAGTATATACTTTAATATACCTTATCGGACTTTATTTGGACGTTGGGGCCTTCTTTTTTATACTTATAGTGTAAATGACAAACTTATGTTCTATCACAAAACGTGTATCTCTCAGATGGGATTTGCTTTGGTGGAGGTTGGCACTGTCAGAATAAAGAACACTAAGAGCATTCTGGTAAAGAACTTGCTCGATGCTTGTATTGGAGCTCTCTCTTTCTGGCTTATTGGTTACGCTCTGGCTTTTGGAGACACCACTTCCGGATTCATAGGTATACATATTTACATATGATTCTGTATTCTAACACCTCGATGCATGAAGGATAACGGTAAAACTCATAAATTACAAAATGATATTTAGTGCTCTAAAATCTATAGAAACCATTATCATTCGGGAACTCACGCTATAAGTGAGCTCCACTCGATACTCGGGATTTGTTACATTTTTCGTAGAAATCTGTGTATTGAAGGACAATTGGAGATTTTGGTGAAGGGCATATTCATGGAAATTTTGCTACTCATATGCTAGCAATGTCCGGGTAATTGAACTGCCGAAATTGGAAGTCTGGACAATTTACTGAAATGTTGCTCTTTTGGTGTGCAAAATGATGTATGTATTGGTAAAGACTTTCATAAAACATTATTCACCAAAAAATTCAAGAAATTTTGTAAAGTTGTTCCAAATCAATATAATAATTATAAACTAGGAAAGCCCTGCTGACCACTTCTCCTCGGTATATGTTTCAGATAAACATATACCGGCAGTTTCCAGGCCAGGCTGGAGGGTAGAGACTAAAGAATCAAAGATGCTAATCCGGTTATCTAAACAATATCACTATCAGCTGATTCGGACCGACCGCGGCCGCACTCATTCCTTTTTTAAAATTTTGTATTTTTATTTCCGGTACCCCACATTATGACATCATAACTCACAGATCTCTGGTTACCGAGCAGATTCGGAGCCAAAACTGCTTAGTTTTGGGATCTAAAGTTCCGCGAATTCTTAAATTCCGTGAACTGATCAATTAAAGGCAAGATGACTGATCTGTTGTTTACGTTTGGTATGTGTTTTAGCTGGCAGGTAGCAACCATGATGTCACGTTTTAACGATAAGAAAATATCACGCCATGACTGCTTTTTCGAGCTTATCCACTGCTAATGTGACTGAAGCTTTGGGAAATCGTGATAGTTAAATGTCTCGTTAATTTAGCATTTCAACTTTCAAGTATTTGCTGTAAATATTTTACTTTATGTTTCATATGTAATCATATAAATATCCAGGATGAGGATTAGCTGATCCAATAATGGAAAACTAATTCGAAAATTTTCGAATTAGTTTTCCATAATGCCGAAAATGTTGACTTATTTTGTGGATACGTACCTCTGATCTGAGGGCAGAGCTCCCGCTTCCGAGCTCGTGTTGCAAAGGGAAGGCCTGCCTTCTGAGATTGCATTACAAGGAGAAGCCTCGAGTCCAAAATTGTGTATCGAGGGGTAGATGCGGACTTTGGAAAACCGAACAAATATTTTCGGCTAATAATGGACAGGGTAGCATGAAACGTGGAGAAAAGTGGTTTCAAGAAAAATATTTTTTAAAAGAATTCGGAAAACCGAAAAGCCAACCCCCCCGGTTGGCAGCGTTATATTTGCCCTTCCTAACAACCGGTTACAGTCCAGCAAAATCCGGCTAACCGGATAATAGATTGACATCCGGCAAAATCCGGTTCGGCAGCCAAAAGCCCATTCCGGTCGGTTCCTAATCCAATGACATTGATAACGTTAATGATTAAATATTCCTCTTAAGCAATATTGTTTACAGGAACGAACGGTTTTGCATTGAAAACTTTGGACATGCGACGAGGAGGGGAGTTCAATGACAGACCTTACCAAGGAAAGAAATACGCTATTTTCCTCTTCCAGTGGGCATTTGCTGCCACAGCAGCTACTATAGTTTCTGGTAACTATACTGCTATGAGCATCATTTGAAACTACGATTGCAAAGATTTTATTTCTTGACCTACCCTATAATGAATATGGCCCTAAAATTGTACGTGTTCAGGAGCTGTTGCAGAGAGGTGTAAAGTAACTGCTTACTTTGTTTACTCCTTTGTACTAACTGTGTTCGTCTACCCTGTAGTAGTACACTGGGGATGGTCAGACAGTGAGTCTTACAGTTACTACTTTCTTAAGTTTTAACATTCTTGGCCATATTTTTGCTGGCCTCAGTTTGTTTGAAAAAGAAAAAACAATCGGGCTAATGCCTAATTTACGTCTATAATACTATGATAGTGTCACACCTAGGCTTATGAACTCTTGACACTACTTAATACTTATTGACACTACTTATTGCAGACGGTTGGGCCTCAGCGTTTGCTCCAAAGAAGACAGACTGTTCGGGGTGGGAGTTATAGACTTTGCTGGAAGTTCTGTTGTCCACATGGTCGGAGGACTGACCGCTCTGATTGGTGCTATCTTCCTGGGACCTCGTTACGGTAAATTTGTTGAGGGTAAAGCTCAAACCATGGTCTTCCAATCTTCTACTTTTCAGACTCTGGGGACGCTAGTTTTATGGTTCGGATGGTAGGTCTTTAAAAACTACATACTTCTTCGATTAATGAATTTTAACCCACAAGGCACAATTGCTAAGCAGCTTTCGTTCACTTCTTTTATCTGATACAATCCGAGCTCTTACTTTAATTTATCTCCTTCAAAACCCCTCATTATTCTTTACCATCACCCCTTATATCCTCTCATTATCTTATCTTATTAGCTCTTATTGCCTCTCATCACCCCTTATTTCTAGGTATGGGTTTAACTGTGGCAGTACCCTCAGCGTAGCTGGTGCTGCATCAGATGTTGCTGGTAAAGTTGCTGTTACAACTACCATCGGAGCTGCCAGTGCCGGTAAAATTATCATATTGTCATCAATAGATTTACTTTCGTATCATTTATATGTTTCATAAATATTGTCTACTTAACTGGCCATATTATATTACTAATTATTACTTAACTGGCCATAAAGCAAGTTATAAATTTTAGACTTTAATATTATGAGCTATTTTAATTCTGTAATTTTGTAGGTATAACAGCAACTATTATTGGGGCTATTTTCGAGGGACATATCAATATTGGCAGAACAAATAATGGTAAGAATCTGTAATTAATGTATGATTATTGTACTCTCCCCGTAAATGTATCTTACTATATTAATATATCATACTACATACTGTATATATAAAGCGATACGATATATATATATATAAAAAACGCTGTGTTTTATGTTTTAACAAGGAAGTCTACTCAAACCCAATACTAATGGACCAAGTAGCATCTGTTAAGAGATACATTGACGACGGAGCAGGTCAGTTTACAGGTACTATCAGACAGTTTTCAGCATCGATAAAGAAGGTCAACGAAAACATCGCTCCCGATGGCCTTGAAATAGATGAATTCCAAGCAGAAAATACAGCTGAATATGTCAGTTTTCTAGATGTACAGTTTACTTTCGACCATCAAGGAGAGCTTCAAACTGATCTATACGTAAAAGAAACAGACTCCAGGTCCTACCTACATTTCAGCAGTAGTCACCCCAATCACATATTCTCAGGAATTGTATACTCCCAGTGTTTACGCCTTAGGAGGATAATCAATTCAAAGGAGAGGTTAGAGACCCAACTTAACATTCTCAAACGGGCGTTTCATGAATCAGGATACCCTAGTAAAATGGTTGACAACATAGCTAACAAAGTCCTTGGCATGGAAAGAGTGTTAGTCAGGAAGAGTACGGTCGAGCCTAATGAACAATCCCCGCTATCAGCCATACCAATCAGAGTCATCTCCAGTTATGGAAGTGACAATGACTTGGTGAATGTTGTCCAGAAATACGAAGGTCACTTGAGACGAACTCGTAGTTTTAGTGAAAGTGAGAGTCAGCAAGCCACAAACTCCACCACAGCACCGAAAGGAAAAAATAAACTGTTTCAGTTTGTGAAGAAAACGGGATCTACGCTTAGATCTCGCCTCGTTACATCTAAACAGCTTGCCTTAGGTGCTAAACATGGTAAAACTGAACCCTGCCACAGAAGAAACTGCAAGTGTTGTAAAATGATCATGAGTAAGGACTCCATCACATCAAATGGCAAAAAGATCAAATCAGCCCCTGGTTGTTGCAAGACCTATAACATCATCTATCTTGTACAATGTTCGATTTGTAAGAAAAACTATGTGGGTAGGACTATTAATAGCTTGCATAAAAGGATGGACGGACACAGGTCCAAATTTTATGAAATCGTTGATGGTAGAGCATTTGATATTACTAGTGATGAGTATAGCCTGGGAGTTCATTTGATTGACCACGGTTTAGGAGTACATACAGATTTTAATGATACTTTTAGAACTTTTATTTTAGAGAATTGCAGTCCCAGTACACTTGAAGTAAAAGAAAATAACTACATACATTTGCTTAATTCTCTTAGACCTTTTGGCCTTAATAAGTTAATACTGTTAATCCCTTTGGATTACCTATATTCCATAAACCTTAATATGATCTTTTTACCTTTTTCGGATTCTTAATTTTGTAACGGCTTGAGTTTCACTAACCTTTTAACATTTTTTAGGTTCAATGTCACTGGAGATGACTACAATCGAAATATATTTGGCAAGAATCTGAATGTTTTCAGTGTTGAAAGTTTAGTTTCTTAAATCCTGGAGTAGTCATTCGTGTCCCTGATATTTGGGTTAATTCTAACTCTCATATATATATATATGTGTTTATCCGTACCATTTTACTGACACCATGGCATCAACTTTAGCACGACTTTCCGCAAAAACCGTAAAAGATGTACAACTTAAACTTTTTTGACTGGTTCAAATGCTGTAATGGCCTTCAAATCAGCATGAAAAATGAAAAACTGGCCAAAGAGTAAGAATTTTAATGCCCAAAATTTGGACCCCCAATTTGGTGTCAAAAACGCGAATTAAATAGGTAATAATTATTTTAGTCTCCTGAGCTGATCAGTCTGACAGTCTTGACACCACTTTAGGGTTAGACGGGTTCCTGCTAGTAATTATAAAATATAACCACATCTATAAAATATCCCCTCTATTCCCTCTATAAAATATCCCCTATATTTTATACAATGAGTAATGAGTTGGATAAAGGCATTCAGATAATCTCTTGTCTAGGAATTTTAGCGGGACTGGTGAGCATTACAGCTGGTTGCTCTGTGGTAGATGTAGAAATGGCATTTCTTATCGGAGTTATCGGCGCCATCGTCTATTACTCTGCTTCAAAGGTACAACTAACAACACTAACAGTCAACAACAGTTAACATTTCAACATAACAGGTTGTATTTTATTATTTTATCGTGGATCAGCTCATCATCATTTTCAAACAATACTGAAAGTGAAATAATGCAATACTGTTTCTTAGGGATGTGTTCTTGGCCCCCTTTAACTCTGCATCTCCCTCAGCTGTTAACATGTCTACACATTGATGACGTAGTGGACGCCTCCCCAGTTCACTTGTTCTGTGGAATGTGGGGTACCATAGCTGCAGGGTTGTTTGCAAAGCCAGAGAATGTGGAAATGGCGTATGGTACTGGCAGTTGTGGTCTTTTCTATAAGGTCTCACGTTTAATATTATTTATAATCTGATTATGGAAAATCATGTTGTTGGCGATTTGTTTTAAGACCAACGCCGTTACAGAATTAAATATTTGATACTGTAATCATTATTTCAGTGCGATGGAAATGGAGGCAAACAGTTTGGAGCAAATTTAGTGTTTATCCTCGCAGTTATTGCATGGGTCGGCATTTTCGCTATCATCATCTTCAGCATCCTGCAAGTAAGTTAAAAAACTTTAAATTGCCTTTGTTTTTATTTTTTATTGCCAACAATCAGTGTTAAGATTGTGGAAAGCATATTTTTATCTTCATATCTACAGTTCATCAGTGTTAATACAATAATTAAGACAGTCATAAAAGGTACTGAAAAATAAACTGATCACATTTCTGTTTTTATAAACCCTGAGCTCTCCCATATACTATACTGAACACTATACTGGACACTATACTGAACACTATACTGAACACTATACTGAACACTATACTGAACACTATACTGAACACTATACTGAACACTATACTGAACACTATACTGAACACTATACTGAACACTAAACTGAACACTATACTAAACACTATACTAAACACTATACTAAACACTATACTGAACACTATACTGAACACTATACTAAACACTATACTAAACACTATACTGAACACTATACTGAACACTATACTGAACACTATACTGAACACTATATTAAACACTATACTGAACACTTTACTGAACACTATACTAAACACTATACTAAACACTATACTAAACACTATACTAAACACTATACTAAACACTATACTGAACACTATACTAAACACTATACTAAACACTTTACTGAACACTATACTGAACACTATACTGAACACTATACTGAACACTATACTAAACACTATACTAAACACTATACTAAACACTATACTGAACACTTTACTGAACACTTTACAAAACACTATACTGAACACTATACTGAACATTATACTGAACACTATACTGAACACTATACTGAACACTATACTGAACACTATACTGAACACTATACTGAACACTATACTGAACACTATACTAAACACTATACTAAACACTATACTAAACACTATACTGAACACTATACTGAACACTATACTAAACACTATACTAAACACTATATTAAAACACTATACTGAACACTTTACTGAACACTTTACTAAACACTTTACTGAACACTATACTGAACACTATACTGAACACTATACTAAACACTATACTGAACACTATACTGAACACTATACTGAACACTATACTGAACACTATACTGAACACTATACTGAACACTATACTGAACACTATACTGAACACTATACTGAACACTATACTAAACACTATACTAAACACTATACTGAACACTATACTGAACACTATACTGAACACTATACTAAACACTATACTAAACACTATACTGAACACTATACTAAACACTATACTAAACACTATACTGAACACTATACTGAACACTATACTGAACACTATACTGAACACTATACTGAACACTATACTGAACACTATACTGTACACTATACTGAACACTATACTGAACACTATACTGAACACTATACTGAACACTATACTGAACACTATACTGAACATTATACTGAACACTATACTAAACACTATACTGAACACTATACTGAACACTATACTGAACACTATACTGAACACTATACTGAACACTATACTGAACACTATACTAAACACTATACTGAACACTATACTGAACACTATACTGAACACTTTACTGAACACTATACTGAACACTATACTGAACACTATACTGAACACTTTACTGAACACTATACTAAAAACTATACTGAACACTATACTGAACGCTATACTGAACACTATGCTGAACACTATGCTGAACACTATACTAAACAGTATACTGAACATTATACTGAATATTATGCTGAACACTATACTGAACATTTTACTGAACACTATACTGAACACTATACTGATCACTATACTAAACACTATACTGAACACTATACTAAACACTTTACTGTAAACTATACTGAACACTATACTAAACAATATACTGAACACTATACTGAACACTATAATTAACACTATACTGAACACTATACTGAACACTATACTGAACACTATACTGAACACTATACTTAACATAATACTGAATATTATGCTGAACACTATACTGAACACTATACTGAACACTTTACTGAACACTATACTGAACACTATACTGAACACTATACTGAACACTATACTAAACACTATACTGAACACTATACTGAACACTATACTGAACACTATACTGAACACTATACTGAACACTAAACTGAACACTATACTGAACACTATACTAAACACAATACTAAACACTATACTGAACACTTTACTGAACAATATACTGAACACTATACTGAACACTATACTGAACACTATACTGAACACTATACTGAACACTATACTGAACACTATACTGAACACTATACTGAACACTTTACTGAACACTATACTAAACACTATACTGAACACTATACTAAACACTTTACTGAACAATATACTGAACACTATACTGAACACTATACTAAACACTATACTATACACTATACTGAACACTATACTGAACACTATACTGAACACTATACTAAACACTATACTGAACACTATACTGAACACTATACTAAACACTATACTGAACACTATACTGAACACTATACTGAACACTATACTGAACACTATACTAAACACTATACTGAACACTTTACTGAACAAAATACTGAACACTATACTGAACACTTTACTGAACACTATACTGAACACTATACTGAACACTATACTGAACACTATACTGAACACTATACTAAACACTATACTGAACACTATACTGAACACTATACTGAACAATATACTGAACACTATACTGAACACTATACTAAACACTATACTATACACTATACTGAACACTATACTGAACACTTTACTGAACACTATACTGAACACTATACTAAACACTTTACTGAACAATATACTGAACACTATACTGAACACTATACTGAACACTATACTAAACACTTTACTGAACAATATACTGAACACTATACTGAACACTATACTGAACACTATACTATACACTTTACTGAACACTATACTGAACACTATACTAAACACTATACTGAACACTATACTGAACACTATACTAAACACTATACTGAACACTATACTGAACACTATACTGAACACTATACTGAACACTATACTGAACACTATACTGAACACTATACTGAACATTATACTGAACACTATACTGAACACTATACTGAACACTATACTAAACACTATACTATACACTATACTGAACACTATACTGAACACTATACTAAACACTATACTAAACACTATACTGAACATTATACTGAACACTTTACTGAACACTATACTGAACACTATACTGAACACTATACTAAACACTATACTAAACACTATACTGAACACTTTACTGAACACTATACTAAACACTATACTGAACACTTTACTAAACACTATACTGAACACTATACTGAACACTTTACTGAACACTATACTGAACACTATACTGAACACTTTACTAAACACTATACTAAACACTATACTGAACACTTTACTAAACACTATACTGAACACTATACTAAACACTTTACTGAACAATATACTGAACACTATACTGAACACTATAATAAACACTATACTGAACACTATACTGAACACTATACTAAACACTATACTGAACACTATACTGAACACTATACTAAACACTATACTGAACACTATACTGAACACTATACTGAACACTATACTGAACACTATACTAAACACTATACTAACCACTTTACTGAACAATATACTGAACACTATACTGAACACTATACTAAACACTATACTATACACAATACTGAACACTATATTGAACACTATACTAAACACTATACTAAACACTATACTGAACACTATACTAAACACTTTACTGAACAATATATTGAACACTATACTGAACACTATACTGAACACTATACTGAACACTATACTAAACACTATACTGAACACTTTACTGAACAAAATACTGAACACTATACTGAACACTATACTAAACACTATACTATACACTATACTGAACACTATACTGAACACTATACTAAACACTATACTAAACAATATACTGAACACTATACTAAACACTTTACTGAACAATATACTGAACACTATACTGAACACTATACTAAACACTATACTATACACTATACTGAACACTATACTGAACACTTTACTGAACACTATACTGAACACTATACTAAACACTATACTGAACACTTTACTGAACAAAATACTGAACACTATACTGAACACTATACTAAACACTATACTATACACTATACTGAACACTATACTGAACACTATACTAAACACTATACTAAACACTGTACTGAACACTATACTAAACACTTTACTGAACAATATACTGAACACTATACTGAACACTATACTAAACACTATACTATACACTATACTGAACACTATACTGAACACTTTACTGAACACTATACTGAACACTATACTAAACACTTTATTGAATAATATACTGAACACTATACTGAACACTATACTGAACACTATACTAAACACTTTACTGAACAATATACTGAACACTATACTGAACACTATACTGAACACTATACTAAACACTATACTAAACAATATACTGAACACTATACTAAACACTTTACTGAACAATATACTGAACACTATACTGAACACTATACTAAACACTATACTATACACTATACTGAACACTATACTGAACACTATACTAAACACTATACTAAACAATATACTGAACACTATACTAAACACTTTACTGAACAATATACTGAACACTATACTGAACACTATACTAAACACTATACTATACACTATACTGAACACTATACTGAACACTTTACTGAACACTATACTGAACACTATACTAAACACTATACTGAACACTTTACTGAACAAAATACTGAACACTATACTGAACACTATACTAAACACTATACTATACACTATACTGAACACTATACTGAACACTATACTAAACACTATACTAAACACTGTACTGAACACTATACTAAACACTTTACTGAACAATATACTGAACACTATACTGAACACTATACTAAACACTATACTATACACTATACTGAACACTTTACTGAACACTATACTGAACACTATACTAAACACTTTATTGAATAATATACTGAACACTATACTGAACACTATACTGAACACTATACTAAACACTTTACTGAACAATATACTGAACACTATACTGAACACTATACTGAACACTATACTGAACACTATACTGAACACTATACTGAACATTATACTGAACACTATACTGAACACTATACTGAACACTATACTAAACACTATACTATACACTATACTGAACACTATACTGAACACTATACTAAACACTATACTAAACACTATACTGAACACTATACTGAACACTTTACTGAACACTATACTGAACACTATACTGAACACTTTACTAAACACTATACTAAACACTATACTGAACACTTTACTGAACACTATACTAAACACTATACTGAACACTTTACTAAACACTATACTGAACACTATACTGAACACTTTACTGAACACTATACTGAACACTATACTGAACACTTTACTAAACACTATACTAAACACTATACTGAACACTTTACTAAACACTATACTGAACACTATACTAAACACTTTACTGAACAATATACTGAACACTATACTGAACACTATACTAAACACTATACTGAACACTATACTGAACACTATACTAAACACTATACTGAACACTATACTGAACACTATACTAAACACTATACTGAACACTATACTGAACACTATACTAAACACTATACTAAACACTTTACTGAACAATATACTGAACATTATACTGAACACTATACTAAACACTATACTATACACTATACTGAACACTATACTGAACACTATACTAAACACTATACTAAACACTGTACTGAACACTATACTAAACACTATACTGAACACTATACTGAACACTATACTAAACACTATACTAAACACTTTACTGAACAATATACTGAACATTATACTGAACACTATACTAAACACTATACTATACACTATACTGAACACTATACTGAACACTATACTAAACACTATACTAAACACTGTACTGAACACTATACTAAACACTTTACTGAACAATATACTAAACACTATACTGAACACTATGCTGAACACTTTACTGAACACTATACTAAACACTATACTGAACACTATACTGAACACTATACTGAACACTATATTAAACACTATACTAAACACTATACTGAACATTATACTGAACACTATACTGAACAGTATACTGAACACTATACTGAACACTATACTGAACACTATACTGAACACTATACTGAACACTATACTGAACACTATACTGAACACTATACTGAACACTATACTGAACACTATACTGAACACTATACTGAACACTATACTAAACACTATACTATACACTATACTGAACACTATACTGAACACTATACTGAACACTATACTGAACATTATACTGAACACTATACTGAACACTATACTGAACACTATACTAAACACTATACTATACACTATACTGAACACTATACAGAACACTATACTAAACACTATACTAAACACTATACTGAACACTATACTAAACACTATACTATACACTATACTGAACACTATACTGAACACTTTACTGAACACTATACTGAACACTATACTGAACATTATACTGAACACTATACTAAACACTATACTATACACTATACTGAACACTATACTGAACACTATACTAAACACTATACTAAACACTATACTGAACACTATACTGAACACTTTACTGAACACTATACTGAACACTATACTGAACACTTTACTAAACACTATACTAAACACTATACTGAACACTTTACTGAACACTATACTAAACACTATACTGAACACTTTACTAAACACTATACTGAACACTATACTGAACACTTTACTGAACACTATACTGAACACTATACTGAACACTTTACTAAACACTATACTAAACACTATACTGAACACTTTACTAAACACTATACTGAACACTATACTAAACACTTTACTGAACAATATACTGAACACTATACTGAACACTATACTGAACACTATACTGAACACTATACTGAACACTATACTGAACACTATACTGAACACTATACTGAACACCATACTGAACACTATACTGAACACTATACTGAACACTATACTGAACACTATACTGAACAATATACTGAACACTATACTGAACACTATACTGAACACTATGCTGAACACTATACTGAACACTATACTGAACACTATACTGAACACTATACTGAACACTATACTGAACACTATACTGAACACTATACTGAACACTATACTGAACACTATACTGAACACTATACTGAACACTATACTAATAACTATACTGAACACTATGCTGAACACTATGCTGAACACTATACTAAACAGTATACTGAACATTATACTGAATTTTATGCTGAACACTATACTGAACACTTTACTGAACACTATACTGAACACTTTACTGAACACTATACTGAACACTTTACTGAACACTATACTAAACACTGTACTGAACACTATACTGAACACTTTACTGAACACTATACTAAACAATGTACTGAACACTATACTGAACACTTTACTGAGCACTATACTGAACACTTTACTAAACACTTTACTGAACACTATACTGAACACTATACTAAACACTATACTGAACACTATACTGAACACTATACTGAACACTATACTGAACACTATACTGAACACTATACTAAACACTATACTGAACACTATACTGAACACTATACTGAACACTTTACTGAACACTATACTGAACACTATGCTGAACACTATGCTGAACACTATACTAAACAGTATACTGAACATTATACTGAACACTATGCTGAACACTATGCTGAACACTATACTAAACAGTATACTGACCATTATACTGAATATTATGCTGAACACTATACTGAACACTTTACTGAACACTATACTGAACACTATACTGAACACTATACTAAACACTATACTGAACACTATACTAAACACTTTACTGTACACTATACTGAACACTATACTAAACAATATACTGAACACTATACTGAACACTATACTAAACACTATACTGAACACTATACTGAACACTATATTGAACACTATACTGAACACTATACTGAACACTATACTGAACATTATACTGAATATTATGCTGAACACTATACTGAACACTTTACTGAACACTATACTGAACACTTTTCTAAACACTATACTAAACACTATACTGAACACTATACTGAATATTATGCTGAACACTATACTGAACACTATACTGAACACTATACTGAAACTATGCTGAACACTATACTGAACATGTCACTTTTATAAACCCTAACCACGTGCTCTCCTAGATACTGAACATGTTACGGGTATCGGAAGATACGGAGAAAATGGGTATAGATGAAAAGGAGCACGGTGGGGCCGAGTACCAGGTGACGAGGAAATCTCGTTTCGGTGGGGTGATCTACAACTTCTCGACTGCAGAGGTTGTAGCGAATAAAACAGCTAGCAATGACGTGTAGAACAATATCACGTGGTATCATACTCGTAGTCGAATATTCTTATATTGTATATTGTTCTTACTGTATCTTGTTCTTTTTTATTCTTTTATTACTAGTGGTAGGTTCTAATTGTTGATTTTGTTGCAAGATAAATTCTGCCGGCAGAATTATTACTTTACTAGTTTGGCTTCATTTTATTTCATCTCAATAATATTTTTCTAATTAAGGTTTTGTTTTTAAAAATCTCAAAGTCAAAATTACAAGATAAAGACTATTATGTGTTTAAGTTTTTTGATTTTGGTGATGTACATTTCAATAAAATTACTTTTGACATTTACTTTTGACATTTACTTTTGACATTTACTTTTGACATTTACTTTTGACATTTACTTTTGACATTTACTTTTGACATTTACTTTTGACATTTACTTTTGACATTTACTTTTGACATTTACTTTTGACATTTACTTTTGACATTTACTTTTGACATTTACTTTTGACATTTACTTTTGACATTTACTTTTGACATTTACTTTTGACATTTACTTTTGACATTTACTTTTGACATTTACTTTTGACATTTACTTTTGACATTTACTTTTGACATTTACTTTTGACATACTGACCGAGGAATCACTGTCATAGTTAAAGCAAGAATTGCTATTTATGGGACCATCTGTGAATGAATTCGTAACAAAGGTTTTTGTACAGAAATGTGTTGTCCATAGTCCCAGGAACCACAAAAAACCGTCCAGCTGAAATGTTTGGACAAGCAATTTTTCTCCAGGCACCCATTATACGCCCCAACCCTAAAATAAAAAAAGGTTGATCGGCTTTCATTTTCAAAGGTCATTAATCAAACTGATTTTAATTCACCCAACCAGCATTTTCATTTATAAACACCAGATTTTTCATGCTCCTTGTGACAGAAAAAAATTGAAACCAAACGGGCTAGTTATAGGAAGTTACTGGAACAAGACAACCACAAGACAGCACAATGCGCGTGTCGCTTTCGATCTTATATATATATACTTATATATATAGATAAACACTCCCTTCCCTGTCCAAGATAGTTCGAAATTCCAAAACCACCCCCTTATTATATTGCTTACTAGAAACCCGCTAGTCGAAAGCTTTGTTCGAGGAAATTAAAAAAATCAGTTATGTTATGTTTTAATTTATATTTATCATCTTGATCTAGCTGTGTTAGTGTTATATACTTATAGTTATACTGTAGAAATTATGGATTTTTTCGTCAAGTTTTAAATATAAATAGATATATTCTCGATAGTATTGCCTGGCCTGAATAAATAGTATCTGGAGAGAAGATTTGTAGGATACAATACTTGAGTAGGAACAGTGTGCCTCGTGACGTGTAAAGCTGTACGTACTTCGCACAACAATAGCTAGATAACGGAACATTGTTCACACACGGTTCGTGTACCTTCTTAGCTTATCAATTACAGTGAATGGGATATTGACTTTGAGTAGGGAATGTTATTGTTAGGACATGATTGGATCTTGTGATATAAAGTAAGAATAGCTCATCGCATGTTATAAGTCAGCAAGCTGTAATACTCAACAGTCAACAAGCTAGTATATTTTTACTACAAGCTTACAAAAATGTTTCATCCTTTTATTTTGTGATCGATAGACTCGGCCTGGGTCAGCTGCCTTATAATAGAGCGAAACATATTTATTCATTCCTATAGCTCATTTTATATACCTCATATTCACGCTGTTACCAATCTACCTTTTTGTTCGTATTGATTATATTCGTGATCAAAGGGACAGTTTCAATATTCCGTATTATTACAACCTGTTCCTGACTATACATTTTTCTTATGTACGATTTTAAAATTTTTTTCGAGTATCATTGTTGTGCCTTATAATATGGTAAACACTAAGTTATCTGCTTACCTAGCTCATTGGCTTGCTCAAACCTGTACATCAGCTAGCTGAAAGCTTTATTCAAGAAAATTTAAAATCAGTTATGTTATAGTTTCTTGGGCTCATACTAATTCGCTCGCCCAAAAATTTCACGTGACTTTGGTTTTTATGGTTTTGCAGCCGTACAAAACGGTTTTACATAAACCCTTATCCCAATTCCCTAACCCTAACCATAACCCCGAAGCTAACCATAACCCTTACCACAACCCTAACCCTAACACGAGCCCTAAACAATCGAATTCGTATTTTACTAGCCTTGTCATCATCTATCTACCTTATTGCATAAATGATACGTACGAACTCTACGAACTCCTCAGTGACAACGAACTCTACGAACTCATCAACCCAAAATTACGAACTCTTGAGGAGTTCGTTTTGTACAACTTACGTAAAATGAAATTAAACAGAAATTGTATTTACAATTCAGCCAATTCAACACATAACATACGATTGTAAAACAACTAAATATATTGGTACTCGAAACTTCTACCACGCGTCGCGTGTACACTGTACATTTCACAGTACAAGGACTGGTCGATCGACTGGAACATTCTGGCGCCAATAGTTTGCGCGCGCACGTTCCCTGGACACGTTACGTTGCAGAAAACTTCAACTTGTACTTCTGGCGTTGCGTTTCGTTTTCTTCTGCTGTAAACAGCTTTGATCACACCGAATGTACATTGTACATTCAGTGTTCATGTATGATGTATACATTTTATTTTGCCATGTACAGCAGACTGAACTATTTGAAATTGAAGTGCACTGTGTATAGACTTATAGGTATAGTTGATGATTCAAATGTCATTGTAGGTACAACTTTCAGCAGTAAAGTAGACAGTGTACAGTACTACAGTAAAGTTGATATAATAATGTACAGTTTATAGTTATCTGTATGCATAGTTTGGTACGTGATAACGCGAGAAATCCTGAGCTAAACTGACTAACGAACTCCAACGAACTCTAACGAACTCCAAATTTTGAACGAACTCCACGAACTCTACGCCAAAAATCAACGAACTCCGCATCTATGCCTTATTGGACCTTATTTGGACGGACATTAATTGAACGCTGGACTAGGCCCTAACGTTCATCTTAACCATAACCCTTACCACAACCCTAACCCTAACACGAGCCCTAAACAATCGAACTCGTATTTTACTAGCCTGTCACGTGACCAAAACGGTTTTTTGCCCATAACTCTCCAGGGAAGCATTTTAACCCTATGTCATGGGGGGTGATTCGGAATCAGCGTCCAAAAATACACCGATTCCGATCCACTTTCATGCCCAAAGGGTTTTTTCACAAGAATTTTCTTAAAATTTGGGCGAGCGATTTAGTAGGAGCGAGTTTCTTGTCATCATCTATCTACCTTATCGGACCTTATTTGGACGGACATTAATTGAACGCTGGACTAGGCCCTAACGTTCATCTTAATGTCCGTTCAAATAAAGTCCGTTCATTTAAGGTCCGTCCAAGTTAAAGTCCGTTGAATTTTTTTCAAAAATTTTTCCTCTTCGATCTTTTTGTCCAGAATATGACAACTATGATAACTTTATTGTGCCGTAAGTTAACGACGAAAAGGTTCTCCTTGGTCTGCCGGAGGCACAGAAAACTCTACTAGTATAATATGATGTTTTCAAGGGTCACTTGGCGGAAAAAGTCAACAAAATTATGCAATGGCACTCAACAGCATAGTTCATGAGCTACCTTATCGGACCTTATTTGGACGGACATTATATGAACGGACATAATTGTGAACGGACATTAATATGAACGCTCGAAGGCATTCAAAACCATCAAAAATCCGAATTTTTTTCAATTTTTGACGTTTTTTTAATTTCAGCAAATGATTTTTTAATCCATTTTTTATACAGTAAGTAAGAATAGCAGTCATTAAGCAGTAAAAATGTTAAAATATGTGTACATGATCAGTGTCTAATATCACATACCATCTTCATTAAATGTGTTTTCGTGCATGAAATAGTCCATGCTTAAACAAGCATCAGTGATTTCTAGCTTTGTGGAAACCTTTTTTATCAAACTACCCCGGTCCTGCATTTCAGTGTTTATCGGTGTTTGTTGCGTTAATGTTGTCTTAATGTTGTCTTATTGGTGTCTTAATGTTGTCTTATTTTTGTGTTAATGTGTCTTATTGTTGTCTTAATGTTGTCTTATTGTTGTCTTAATGTGTCTTAATGTTGTCTTATTGTCCCATCGGTGTTCGTTCTAGTTGCCAAGTGGTTTTATCTTAGACAACTTTAGGTTAACCTTAACATCACGTGGAGCTTTCCTAGCACTGTTTCATTACCTCCCCTCAGTAATATGAACTATAAAAACGTCGGATAATGTCCTTGGCAACACGATTTACCGTAATATCTAGAGGCTGAAACAAGTTTGTCATGTTGGCGGGGACTAGCTCATGAACTATGTTGTTGAGTGCCATGATTTCGTTGACTTTTTCCGCCAAGTGACCCTTGAAAACATCATATACTAGTAGAGTTTTCTGTGCCTCCGGCAGACCAAGGAGAACCTTTCCGTCGTGAACTTACGGCATAATAAAGTTCTCATAGTTGTCAAATTCTGGGTAAAAAGTTCGAAATGGAAAAATTTTTGAAAAAATTTCAACGGACTTTAACTTGGACGGACATTAATTGAACGGACTTTATTTGAACGGACATTAAGATGAACGCTAGGGCCACCAGCGTTCAAGTAATGTCCGTCCAAATAAGGTCCGATAAGGTAGTCCCCGCCAACATAACAAACTTGTTCCAGCCTCTAGATATATTACGGTAAATCGTGTTGCCAAGGACATTGTCCGACGTTGTTATAGTTCATATTACTCAGGGGAGGTAATGAAACAGTGCTAGGAAAACTCCACGTGATGTTAAGGTTAACCTAAAGTTGTCTAAGATAAAACCACTTCATGCCGAATGGCTTGTAAAAGTAAACACTGAAATGCAGGACCGGGGTAGTTTGATAAAAAAAAGGTTTCCATAAAGCTAGAAATCACTGATGCTTTAAGAGCATGGACTATTTCATGCACGAAAACCCATTTGATGAAGATGATATGTGATATTAGACACTGATCATGTACACATATTTAAACATTTTTACTGCTTAACGACTGCTTTTCTTACTTACTGTATAAAATGGATTTAAAAATCATTTGCTGAAATAAAAAAACGTCAAAAAAATAAAAAAATTCGGATTTTTGATGGTTTTGAATGCCTTCTAGCGTTCATATTAATGTCCGTTCATAATTATGTCCGTTCATTTAATTTCCGTCCAAATAAGGTCCGATAAGGTATTTATGATCTAGCTCCGTAATATCTTAATATAAATTGTATGGATTTTTATTTGCCGATAACGATAAAGGTTTTATTTAAATATTCCCTAATCGATACTTTTTACCGCATCAAAAAACATCAATCACAACCAAAGTTATGGATAGTCATAGCGTAAATTGTAATGTGAGCTAGTTATGTCTATGACGTATCATACTCATTATATAGAGCATGACAACGCGCGTTGCTAATCTGTTCTTGCTCGCGCACATGCAATTTCTTGATGTTGCTAAGCAACGACGCCGTTTGATAAAATAACGTCATTATTCTAACGTTTATTTTACCTCACTTCCGACGTTAATTATAGAAAATTTAAAGCCTAAATCAAAATTCTAAGAATGCTATATCCTATTCCTATCCTTTTTTTACAACCCTGCTAAAAATGGCGAGGTTCCAACTCCATTTGCGAGCTGAAATTGGTGACACCAGAGGGTCATTTTTAGGTCAATTTTCAGTGTTCCGGGGGGGGGGGGGGGGGTTTAAAGTTTAAAATATAATATAGATAAATGCATATGCTGGACATCCTAAGCACTAAGTAGATGGCCGCCCCGGCCTCTCCCTCTCCCTCTCCCTCTCCCTCTCCCTCTCCCTCTCCCTCTCCCTCTCCCTCTCCCTCTCCCTCTCCCTCTCCCTCTCCCTCTCCCTCTCCCTCTCCCTCTCCCTCTCCCTCTCCCTCTCCCTCTCCCTCTCCCTCTCCCTCTCCCTCTCCCTCTCCCTCTCCCTCTCCCTCTCCCTCTCCCTCTCCCTCTCCCTCTCCCTCTCCCTCTCCCTCTCCCTCTCCCTCTCCCTCTCCCTCTCCCTCTCCCTCTCCCTCTCCCTCTCCCTCTCCCTCTCCCTCTCCCTCTCCCTCTCCCTCTCCCTCTCCCTCTCCCTCTCCCTCTCCCTCTCCCTCTCCCTCTCCCTCTCCCTCTCCCTCTCCCTCTCCCTCTCCTTCCACTTACCACCGGCCGATTTAAAAAAACTTAAGCTGTTCGGCTTCTATTCGTCAGATCAGAGTTGTGCAAGAAATATACCGAAAAAACCAGTCCTGTAACTCCGTTTTTTTTATTAAGTTGTTCGTAAATTACAAACAAACACACACCCACACAAACACACACACGCACACACAGATTTATTGAGATTATAATAGAGATTATTTGTAATTTTTACGTTTGAGTTAATAAACTATAATGATTATATATGAATTTTACTTGATAGAGTGCTTATCTTAAAGTTAAATGTTTTTACAGGCTCTAATGATGTAGTTTTACGAAGATTTCAAGCCTTATGTTGTGTGTTTCCCTTCGTGTCCAAAAGCATTATAAGATTATTTATATTCTTTACCTGATTTGCTTTTTGTATTAAATATTACCACTGCGACGGTCAGTTGTCAACTTTGAATATTTCACATCGTGCATCAATGATGTGCATTAATGTGATCAGATGATGATGTGACATCATAAAAAACGGATAATTAACCGCTCATCAGTCATCAGAAAATTTACCAAGACGCGTGTGTTATTTCCATACAGTAGCGTAATTAATATTATAATTCCATGCGGTCAGTGGTAACCGAGGACCCAATGACTCGGTTATACTAATAAGATCAAAACTAAAGAGAAAACAGGGTTTTCTCTTTTGCATATTTTCGCACAATCAACTAGGATTAAATGTTTGGGAATATGGAATAAGAGCTTCGAGTGTCCTCGCTATATGCTTATATGATCGATCGCGTTATTTCTTGCTTTTATTGAATCAAAACATCTTATTACTATTAGTATTACCGTGTGTCTTTAATACACTAGGGAGACGGCTCAATAGGGGCCGGACCGCTCATTCAGATAGCGATATATTATTATGCTCACTACAACCATGGGACCAACTTGACCCCCACTTCTACTTCTTTTTGCAATGGTACTTCGACATGTGTGTGTTCACTTATTCTAGAAATTTCTTGCCGCCTTTTATTTACATTGGTCTGTTTTTGTCGCGTGGTATTTATTTTGTTACATTTTTGTAAATAAGTTGTTTTTATGACAAATATGTCAGAGTTTTTTGTTTTTGATGACGAAGGCTGTGGAATGTTCACAGCTAAATAATAAAAATAAAGAGTCACAGCTAATGTGATCATAAAAACAGGGACTGGGTGTTCTTTTATAATTAAGTTTTTATTGTTAACGGAAATCGGAAAGGGACATTGACATGGTCATGGTAATCATGAACGTCTTTCTTTTACCCGTCTTTCTTTTTCCCGTTTTGATTGATATAGTGATATGTTCCTGCTTTCTGGTGTCATGTGGGTCATACATCCTGATCCCGATGGTACTGTCGTGGCACTGTTGCGGCACTGTCACGGTACTGTCGCGGCAATCTCGTGGCAATCTCGTGGCACTATGGCGGCACTGTCGCGGCACTTGCTATATGATACCTCAAGTGTATCCTGCAGGAGCTTTATCGCAACGCCCATATAAGTTGATAGCATGTGACATGTTACCACCATAGTGCCGCCATAGTGCCACCAGAGTGCCGCCATAGTGCCGTGACAGTGCCGCCATTATAGTGCCATGACGAGAGTGCCTCGAGAGTGCTACGAGAGTGCCGCGACAGTGGCATCGGGATCCGGCTCTTGATTGTTCCTTGTTGGACTCAGGAATTTGTTTGTAAACACGTGTTGACGCACACAATTTTATTTTACAAATGTCAAAAACTACAAAAACAGAAATCTCACTCTTCCGGATCAAAAATTAACTAATTCTCACAAAGTTAAGCCTATTACTCACGGATCACGAGTCACTGAAAGAATGAGCTTGACGTTTAAGGACGGGACGGTTCTTGATTTCCAGAACCAGAGTGCACTTTTTGAGTACATTAGGGTAACAGCAGACACTGCTAGTACTGCTTACTCCATGGACACCGTCTGGGTCATCATCTGTGCTGGAATGGTCTTCCTTATGCAGGTACTGTTACCACCCTGATATTCTTTAGTTTCAAGTAACCACCCTGATATTCTTTAGTTTCAAGTAACCAATGCTGATCGGTTCCAATGCAGCTTTGAGTATAATTGTTAGTATAATATATACTATAATATACCTTATCGGACTTTATTTGGACACTGGGGCCTTCTTTTTTTAAAGTGTGAATTTCTATCTATTATAACTTGAGCTGTTCATCCATTCAAATGACAAACATATGTTCTATCACAAAACGTGTATCTCTCAGATGGGATTTGCTTTGGTGGAGGTTGGCACTGTCAGAATAAAGAACACTAAGAACATTCTGGTAAAGAACATGCTCGATGCTTGTATTGGAGCTCTCTCTTTCTGGCTTATTGGTTACGCTCTAGCTTTTGGAGACACCACTTCCGGATTCATAGGTATACATATTTACATATGATTCTGTATTCTAACACTAAACACCTCGATGCATGAAGGATAACTGTAAAACTCATAAATTACAAAATGATATTTAGTGCTTCAATTCCAGTGACATTGATAACGTTAATGCGGACCACATAAAGGCTAGCTTATATAACATCTGAACCGAAAGTAAGAGTACTTTCTTGACGAAAGTCAAATACAAGGAAATACTTTCGAGAAAACCATAGTATATATCTAACTTTAGCAGGGTAGTGTTGGTTATATGCCTAACCTGGTGAGCACAGTGGATATCCTTGCTGTACGGCTAGTTAAACAAGGAATTGAAACTGTGGGGCTCCGTGCAGACCAACCTACCTGTGGCCAAAGCTCTAATATACAAAAACCAATACATTGTATTCGTAGCTGGGTGAGAAGTGTGTGGCGGTTCCTCCGCCCTGCGGACCACATAAAGGCTAGCTTATATAACATCTGAACCGAAAGTAAAAGTACTTTCTTGACGAAAGTCAAATACAAGGAAATACTTTCGAGAAAACCATAGTATATAGCTAAAGCTTTAGCAGGGTAGTGTTGGTTATGTGCCTAACCTGGTGAGCACAGTGGATATCCTTGCTGTGCGGCTAGTTAAACAAGGAATTGAAACTGTGGGGCTCCGTGCAGACAAACCTACCTGTGGCTAAAGCTCTAATATACAAAAAACAATACATGATTAAATATTCATCTTAAGCAATATCATTTACAGGAACGAACGGTTTTGCATTGAAAACTTTAGACATGCGACGAGGAGGGGAGTTCAATGACAGACCTTACCAAGGAAAGAAATACGCTATTTTCCTCTTCCAGTGGGCATTTGCTGCCACAGCAGCTACTATAGTTTCTGGTAACTATACTGCTATGAGCATCATATGAAACTACGATTGCAAAGATTTTATTTCTTGACCTACCCTATAATGAATATGGCCCTAAAATTGTACGTGTTCAGGAGCTGTTGCAGAGAGGTGTAAAGTAATTGCTTACTTTGTTTACTCCTTTGTACTAACTGTGTTCGTCTACCCTGTAGTAGTACACTGGGGATGGTCAGACAGTGAGTCTTACTACTTTCTTAAGTTTCAACATTCTTGGCCATATTTTTGCTGGCCTCAGTTTGTTTAAAAAAGAAAAAAAAATCGGGCTAATGCCTAATTTACGTTTATAATACTATGATAGTGTCACATCTAAGCTTATAAACTCTCGACACTACTTATTGACACTACTAATTACAGACGGTTGGGCCTCAGCGTTTGCTCCGAAGGAAGACAGACTGTTCGGGGTGGGAGTTATAGACTTTGCTGGAAGTTCTGTTGTTCACATGGTCGGAGGACTGACCGCTCTGATTGGTGCTATCTTCCTGGGACCTCGTTACGGTAAATTTGTTGAGGGTAAAGCTCAAACCATGGTCTTCCAATCTTCTACTTTTCAGACTCTGGGGACGCTAGTTTTATGGTTCGGATGGTAGGTCTTTAAAAACTACATACTTCTTCGATTAATGAATTTTAACCCACAATTGCTAAGCAGCTTTCGTTCACTTCTTTTATCTGATACAATGCGAGCTCTTACTTTAATTTATCTCCCTCAAAACCCCTCATTATTCTTTACCATCACCCCTTATTTCCTCTTATTACCTTATCTTATTAGCTCTTATTGCCTCTCATCACCCCTTATTTCTAGGTATGGGTTTAACTGTGGCAGTACCCTCACCATAGCTGGTGCTGCATCAGATGTTGCTGGTAAAGTTGCCGTTACAACTACCATCGGAGCTGCCAGTGCCGGTAAAATTATCATATTTCTTTAAATATCTTGCTCTTATTCTTAATGTCATCAATAGATTTACTTTAGTATCATTTATATGTTTCATAAATATTGTCTACTTAACTGGCCATATTATATTACTAATTATTACTTAACTGGCCATAAAGCAAGTTATAAATTTATATTTTAGACTTTAATATTATGAGCTATTTTAATTCTGTAATTTTTTAGGTGTAACAGCAACTGTTATTGGGTTTATTTTTGAGGGACATATCAGTATTGGCAGAACAAATAATGGTAAGAATCTTTAATTAATGTATGACTATTGTACTCTCCCCGTAAATGTATCTTACTGTATATAAAGCGAGACGATATATATATATATCAATATGTTTGTTTATATATCCGTACCATTTTACCACGGCATCAGCTATATAACTTTATAACACTTTATTAACACGACTTTCCGCAAAAACTGTAAAAGATATACAACTTAAACTTTTTTGACTGGTTCAAATGCTGTAATGGCCTTCAAATCAGCATGAAAAAATAAAACATTGGCCAAGGAGTAAGAATTTTAGTGCCCAAAATTTGGACCCCCAATTTGGTGTCAAAAACGCGAATTAAACAGGTAATAATTGAAATTCGTTTAGTCTCCTGAGCTGAGTCTTAACACCACTTTAGGGTTAGACGAGTTCCTGCTATTAACTATAAAAACATAACCACATCTATAAAATAACCCCTATATTTTATACAATGAGTTGGATAAAGGCATTCAGATAATCTCTTGTCTAGGAATTTTAGCGGGACTGGTGAGCATTACAGCTGGTTGCTCTGTGGTAGATGTGGAAATGGCATTTCTTATCGGAGTTATCGGCGCCATCGTCTATTACTCTGCTTCAAAGGTACAACTAACGACACTAACAGTCAACAACAGTTAACATTTCAACATAACAGGTTGTATTTTATTATTTTCTCATGGATCAGCTCATCATCATTTTCAAACGATACTGAAAGTGAAATAATGCAATGATGTTCCTCAATCCTCACTTTCCTCAGGGATGCGTTCTTTTAACTCTGCATCTCCCCCAGCTGTTAACATGTCTACACATTGATGACGTAGTGGACGCCTCCCAAATAACTGTAAAATGGATTACAACTTAACAGTTTTTTGTGTAAAGCAGGTAATGGCATTCAATGTCAGCATGAAAATAATTGGTCCTATAGGATACGTTTAATTTAGTGCCCAAAATTTGACCTCAATTTGGTTGTCGAAAAACGATTTAAGCATAGGTAATAATTATTTAGTCTTACTAAGTTCAGTGCTTGAACAGCAACAGGTTGAGGTTCTTAGTTATAAAAATACACATCATAAAGTCCCTTTTGTTCATATGTTGTAATAAGGCTTTTAATAATCTGTTAATTGTTTATTTTAGCGGTCTTGAGATTCATCTGGTTGCTCGTGGTAAGATGTAATTGGCATTTTTATCGATTTATGCTTCATGTCTATAATCTGCTTAAAGGTACTAAAACAACATATAACATTTCAGTTAACATTAACATACAACTCTCAAATTATTTTATTATTTTATAAGGATAGACCATCATCATTTTCAAACGATATTGTAAAATAATGCAATACTTTCTTAGGGTGTTTATTGGCCCTTTAACCGATATCCCTCAGCTGTAACATGAAATTGATGAGAAGAGCTGGCGCCCGTTCATGGTGTTCTGCTGGAAGTGGGGTACCATAGCTTCGGGGTTGTTGCAAACCAAGAATGTGGAATGGCGTATGGTATGGCAGTTGTGAGTTTTTCTATAAGGTTCAACTTAATTTATTAATAATCTGGATATCAATTATGGAAAATTATTTGTTGGTACTTGTTCCAGAGCCGTGCGTTACATTAATATTGATTCTGTAATCATTATTCTGCGATGGAAATGGAGGCAAACAGTTTGGAGCAAATTTAGTGTTTATCCTCGCAGTTATTGCATGGGTCGGCATTTTCGCTGTCATCATCTTTAGCATCCTGCAAGTTAGTTAAATAACGTTAAAATTGCCTTTATTTTTGTTTTTCGTTGCCAACAATCAGTGCTAAGATAGTGGAAAGCATTTTAATATCTTTATATCTAAAGTTTATCAGTGTTAATACAATAATTAAAACAGCATAAAAGGTACTGAAATAAATTGCATACACATTTTTTTTTATAACCCTAGCTTCCCAATATTACTGAAACCATTTGAAACACATATGGAAACTTATACGAAATGTCACATGTCACTTTTAAACCTAACCACGTGCTCCCTAGATTCCACATGTAACGAATATCGGAGAGACGTGATGAAAATGGGTATGGATACACGAGACACGGATTTGGCCAATACGGGGACGTTAAATTACCTTGAGTGGTGAACTCACAACTTCGTCTCAGAATTAGCACTATCAAGGAACACTAGAATGACGTGTGAAACAAAGTTGACAATTGGTATGTGAGTGCCCTCTCTAAAACATGGCAGTTACGAACTGCAGTAGGTATGGTTTTTGTAGCACTAATTTCGGCCACTACAAATTACTATTCTCTCAATTTATTTACAAAATTCGCGTATTATATAGTTAAAGAAACGTCCGAAAGCTTGTCCAACCAATAGAGACATTATTTAATTGATTCACAGTCCAATCAAGTCCGGATTGCACTTTCCTCCTATATCACCTCCAAATCCTTGATAGTTTTTTCGGACATTTTAAAGTCGATGGAAAGGATCTTTACAATTTTCAAATGATCCATTCCATGAACAAAATGAGTAAAAATATTACGACAATATTCATCGAATTTCGTCAAATTACGCGACTGTTACACTGCTAAGTTAATGGCTTGAAAAGATGCTCTATTTTATTATATGGCACTAGGCGAAACTCATGATTATTCCAAATAAAGATATCTATATCAAATTTGGTATGGAAAGGCCACATTAGAAATCCTTGTACAAAATTTTTGTAGGAAAGCAAGTTCGTTTTTATCGTACACTTCACTAGACTATCATCAGTTGGCATTATTTCAATATTGATTTTACTAGTATCTTGTATATTTTTGGTGACGATCAACCATCGAGCATCGATTTGCTCTGCGACAGAGCAACGATCGACGTGGTTAAGCGGCGAAGTCCTCCAATTATTTTATCTTTTATTACTGTGGTAGATTTTCAATTTTGTATTTGATACATGTCAATTCCAAATATTCAGAAGAACTATATCCGGCGGCCGCCTTGTTGACGCGAAAAATGCGAAAATGCAAATTTTCATGATTTTGCAATCCTTGCATCATTGCGGATCTGCCTACGTGGTGCGGAACTTTTATTTTGAGCTTGCGCGACCCTAGTATGCACTTACAAGCAAGTTGTACAGATGATCTGTTCCTCAAATCAAATTCTGCCGAGCACAATATATTTATATGCAGCTCTTTATTATTCAAATATTTTTAAATTAAACGTTATTAATTTTTATTAAAGTTAAAATTACAAAAAAAGCCTGGAATTTTTAATATGTTACATTTTTATTAGTGGTAATGTAATTTTAATTCAAATTTATTTAATTTTTAACTTTTAAACGAAATCAATTTTAAAATTAAAAATTAAAGGTAATTGTTATTTGACCAAGGATATCATGCATTTTAATCAATTAACTTTAAATTGTTAACAAAATGTATCATTTTATTTCAAGAAAATATGCCGAATGCTTAATCTTGACATGTGAGAGTTGGTAAACAAAATTAGGACACGACAAACAGTTGCAAGTAAATGATCTAGCAATTACATCGGTCCCTATATGCACCTATATAGTGTTGTTTGGTTCCAACAAGGCATCGCTAGGTTTATTCCATGAACTAAAAAGGTTACGTCTAAATTAAATATGATAAATAACAATGACCATAATCATATTAAACCAGGCTTTATTGAAACCATTTCTATTACTGATACTTTTTATCATTTATGTCGATAATTATATGTTGACGTTGAGTCATCTGATCGAATTTTAGTATTAGGTGCCCAGCGGTTCTGTTCTATAGCCAATTTCGAGTTTCACGATGTGGGATACAGGTAGTTCGTGCACTAGTTGCTGGAGGTCAACAACGTATGAAATTGATAATTTAGTAATTAATTTAGAATGTCTAAGAAATTTATATGTCGTTAGACGACTTCCGAGAGTACTTAATCTAAAAACTACTGGGTTTAAGCACGGTGGCCTTGAGACTTCCCAATTCATAAGGGAGTTTTCCAAAGAATGTGTGCCTTGTAAAGTAAGACTTGTAGCCTGAACATTGGGTCTGGTTGACGTAAGGTTTTGTGGATAAATGGGGGAAAGTCACTAACCAACTGAAGATGCATGTGATCGCCACCTGCTATTCCAAATGTTCGTTAGTAGTTGGTATTGTGACGATGCAACCCTCGATACGCTCGCCAAATTAAGACAAATCGTGAAAGGGCCTTAGGCAAGCCATATTTGTTTCTGATTCCGAATCACCCCCCATGACGTAGGGTTAAAATGCTTCCCTGGAGAGTTATGGGCAAAAAACCGTTTTGGTCACGTGACAGGCTAGTAAAACGTGAATTCGATTATTTAGGGCTTGGGGTAGGGTTAAGGTTAAGTTGTGGTTAAGATTATGAATAGCTTCGGGGTTATGGTTAGGGTTAGGGTTGGGATTAGGGTTTATGTAAAACCGTTTTGTACGGCTGCAAAACCAGAAAAACCAAAGTCACGTGAAATTTTTGGGCGAGCGATTTAGTAAGAGCCACAACTGACATGTCATAAAAAATATTATGAAAATATATATAATATATCCTTGTAATCAAACCTTACCGAGAGTGGAAACAGGAAGGATATTTAGTTCCTTACACGCTATGAAATACCTTTTTTGTCCCTAAGGCTCAAGTAAATATCATTAAGGATCCACTTGATACCTCTTTTTTGTATCGATTCAAGTTTCTCCACCATAGTTTAGTTATGTATATAGCAAGAATTGCTATTTATGAGACCATCTGAGCTGTGAACGAATGAATTAGTAACAACGGTTTTATACAGAAATGTGTTGTCCATAGTCCCAAGAACCACAAAAAACCGTCCAGGTGAAATGTTTGGGCAAACATTTTTATTAACGGGCACGGTGATACTCGTAAAATATTTGTTTCAAAGACCGTCGACGAGTTCAACTCGGCGCGCGTTTTCAGTTTTGGTAGATTATAAACCTATAAACGCTAAAAACATTTTTAAAGAATTTTTTATTTTAATTCACTCAATTCAACCAGCATTGAGCATTTTTATTTATAAACACCCAATTTTTCATGGTCCCTGTGACAGAAAAAAATTAAAACCAAACGGGTGCGCTATACTTAACTAGTAATAGGAAGTTACAAAAAAAAAGCTGGAACAAGACAACCACAATGGAAATTAAAAATTATGATTTTGTCATACGTTGTACTCGTAGACCTGCCGCGCACGAGTGCGCGGCTGTATTGTGGCCGGGCCACGATACTAGTGAAACGACATGATGGTGGTCACGATTTGTATCACGTTGTGACCCCCACAGTCGTTTCACTATGGTAGAGTTTCTACGATACAGGGGTTGACGGATGTTACTCGTCTAAATTTCTTCGAAGTAGCGCGCGCCGCTTTCTTCTCGATGGCAAGTGCTACGAAGCGAAATAGCGCGCACTGGGCCAGACCATTAACAATGGTCAATACAGGGGCCGGAGCCGCGCACTCGTGCGCGGCGGGTCATACAACGTATGACAAGTCAAGATGTGATACTACCAACATATCACGTGATCGAGACAGTTTTTCACCAATATCTTGCCAGGGTAGCATGCATTTAAACTTAACCCTATATCATGGGGGTGATTCGGAATCAGCGTCCAAAATACATTGATTCAGCGTCTAAAATACATTGATTCAAGTTGGTTTCAACTGTCGGGGGCCTTTTAGAAAACTTTCGATGATCGAGTTATTTAGCACGCTCGGCCTAGTAGTGGGATACATTTGTATCACTATCACGTCTTGACGGATGTTACTCGTCTAAATTTCTTCGAAGTAGCGCGCGCCGCTTTCTTCTCGAAATGTTACCTGAGGACCCCAGGCTATTATGTTCATTAACAAAGATTAATAAAGATTTGGCGGAATGACAGGCTGAGCGCGGCCCAGTAACTCGAAATGGCAAGTGCTACGAAGTAGCGCGCGCCGCGCCAGACCATTAACAATGGTCAATATCACGTCGTGAGTTGTGACCCCCAATGTCGTTTCACTAAGTTTATGGTTTAGTGTTTCTATGATACAGGCGGATCATACAACGTATGACAAGGATACATACATGGTAAAATTAACAATTTACTTGGTCAGTTCAGCGCCTCGCGCCAACAATTATTTAATTCAGGAAGGATTAGTTAGGAACGTGGGTGACATATTGGCGCGTGGGCACGTAACGTAAACTACTTAATATAACTAGACATTCTCCTAATTATTTGGTTCACAGGTATTTCCTATACTCCGTGTTCGGACTTTTGCTTTTTGTACCAGTTTATTGTTAACTTAGAATTTTATTTTATTCTCACTCTCCACGCCAGCATTCCGGTCATTTTAGAGCCTCATTTAATCATTCGGTCTTACTAACAAGTAAAGAACCTCTCACCGGCCCTCTAAGAAAATCCGAGCGTCCGGAAATTTTGGCAGAATTAACGAAAAAGTCCCATTTATTTCAACTCTTTGAATTTTATTAACAATGAATTTGAGTCGGTTTTATTTGTACTCTTAAAAGTAGCTAGAAATCCGGACGTCCGGGGGAGGCGTGGTTTCGAAAATTCGGACACACCCGGACAGGGGGAGGTCTGAAAACCTGCGATTTTGGCGGACGTCCTAAGTAGCACGCTCGCATTTATAGAGCAAGCAGATAAAGTATGTTTTAAAAAAACAAAGAATTTAAATGGAGCAGTGCTTTTGTCTTATTGTGCTAATCGATTGATCAGTGATCCATGGATTTGTGCAACTGTGATAGAAACAAGAGAAACACCATTCTTGGGCAAAACGAGTATTAATTAGACTCTTCAAACTACATAGAATACATATTATGAAGTATGCTCCTTTTGTAACATCCTGATACGGATATGATCCTTCTGCTAGAATCAAGGATCACATTAACAATTACTATCACAGATGGCAATCACAAATCATCGTTCAAGGACCAGGTCTTATAACGCGGCTGGATTCAGAGGTATAGATGATAGATTTCAAAGTATATACTGTAAGACAAACTACAGTGTCGCGATTGTTTCATCATGTCCACTGTTTACTGGTAAATCATAAGAGGAGATCAACATCAAGAATATGACAGAACTTTAACCAGAGTAGGAAAGAGCTGAACAATCAGATTAGAGAGGAGCTCAACAGGAAGAGAGGAGCTCAACAGGAAGAAAGGAGCTCAACAACAAGAGTGAAGGAGCTCAACAGGAAGAGAAGGAAGAAGCTCAACAGGAAGAGAAGGAAGGAGCTCAACAACAAGAGTAGAGAGGAGCTCAACAGGAAGAGAAGGAAGGAGCTCAACAACAAGAGTGAAGGAGCTCAACAACCAGAGTAGAGAGGAGCTCAACAACCAGAGTAGAGGAGCTCGACAGGAAGAGAAGGAAGAAGCACTCAACAAGAGTAGAGAGGAGCTCAACAGGAAGAGAAGGAAGGAGCTCAACAACAAGAGTGAAGGAGCTCAACAACCAGAGTAGAGGAGCTCGACAGGAAGAGAAGGAAGAAGCACTCAACAAGAGTAGAGAGGAGCTCAACAGGAAGAGAAGGAAGGAGCTCAACAACCAGAGTAGAGAGGAGCTCAACAACCAGAGTAGAGGAGCTCGACAGGAAGAGAAGGAAGGAGCACTCAACAAGAGTAGAGAGGAGCCCAACAGGAAGAGAGGAGCTTAACAGGAAGAAGCTCAACAACAAGAGTGAAGGAGCTCAACAACCAGAGTAGAGGAGCTCGACAGGAAGAGAAGGAAGGAGCACTCAACAAGAGTAGAGAGAAGCTCAAAGGAAGAGAAGGAAGGAGCACTCAACAAGAGTAGAGAGGAGCTCAACAGGAAGAGAAGGAAGGAGCTCAACAACAAGAGTGAAGGAGCTCAACAACCAGAGTAGAGGAGCTCGACAGGAAGAGGAGGAAGGAGCACTCAACAAGAGTAGAGAGGAGCCCAACAGGAAGAGAGGAGCTCAACAGGAAGAAGCTCAACAACAAGAGTAGAGAGAAGCTCAAAGGAAGAGAAGGAAGGACTTCAACAACAAGAGTAGAGAGGAGCTCAACAGGAAGAGTAGGAAGGAGCTCAACAACCAGAGTGAAGGAGCTCAACAACCATAGTAGGAAGGAACTCAACAACCAGAGTAAAGAGGAGCTCAACAGGAAGAGAAGGAAGGAGCTCAACAACAAGAGTAGAGAGGAGCTCAACAGGAAGAGAGGAGCTCAACAGGAAGAGAAGGAAGGAGCTCAACAACCAGAGTGAAGGAGCTCAACAACCAGAGTAGAGAGGAGTTCAACAGGAAGAGAAGGAAGGAGCTCAACAGGAAGAGAAGGAAGGAGCTTAACAACCAGAGTAGAGAGGAGCTCAACAGGAAGAGAAGGAAGGAGCTCAACAGGAAGAGAAGGAAGGAGCTCAACAGGAAGAGAAGGAAGGAGCTCAACAGGAAGAGAAGGAAGGAGCTCAACAACCAGAGTAGAGAGGAGCTCATATCAACAGGAAGAGTAGGAAGAAACCCAATAGGAAGAGAAGGAAGGAATATTTTGTTTAATATTCAGTCTAATCTGTGTTCCTCAATATAATGAGTTACAATGTACGTTTGTGCGATTGTGAAGAATTATGATTTTGTTTAACTTTTTTAAAAATAAACTCTCTTTAAAAATTGAAATGCGACCTTTAAGTTCTACAAGTTTGCAGCTCATTAAAAAAAAGAGAATTAAAAACCCAAGGGCTGAGTAGTCTTGAAATTTTATTAATAAATGTTTGTCAGGCCAATCTGTTTGTTAATTGATTAGGTATATAAATCATCTGTGTGCCGAGTGGCCAGCAGTCCCTTAAATATCTAATCCATGCACCGAATCTTATGAAGTTAGGTTTTAAAACACATCGTTTCAATAGAGGAGAGCTCTAACGAGAGCAAACATTTAATAGTTCCTACGAATCATCAGAAGATTTAGAAAAATCAAAATCTATGATTTTATCACGATTGTTGATGTCGATTATACATATCATTAATTTATTCTATTTAATCTGAGGAATAATATGATCACCCGAAAGACAAATCCGAAATTTTAAACCGCTGAATAATCCAGCTGAAATCGTCCATCAAACTGGGCGAAATAAAAATCAAACACTACAAAGTGCAACTACATTTAAAGTTTGATAAATTAACACTGACGGTAAAAACTCGTAGTTAAAAACGTATCTAAATAACCACTCAAAAACCTCAAACTGGCCACAAATTGTATAAAATGATTGTTTAACTGATTTAACCATTTAATGCCAGCAGTCCACAATATTTATTTTACTATGAGTATAATTTGTATAAAAACTTGCTACAAAACATGTGTTGATGACCGAGATGAGATCAATGACCAGTGGTTATTAATTTTTATTTACCGATGGTGAATCAAATTTCAGAAGTGACGTTCAGATTTCTTAATCTGCGCGTAATATAACAGTTGTAGTTTCAAAGCATTCTTTTAGATCTATCATGCCTTTCTGTATCGTCATAAATAAAGTCTCGCTTTCTCGTAAAAAAGGCAGACTCCTTAATAAATGTTGTGATAATCGCGTTCCGACCAATGTCCGGGAACTGTATAATGTTCACAAGAACGTTCCACCTGCTGAGGAAGCAACGCACATCAGCTCTGAGTTTGACACACATGATTATGCAACCTTTCAACAAATCAAAACCTAGGTGCAATGCCTCCCCAGAAGCATGGCCGTCCATTTGTTGTGAAAAAACAAGGTTGGGGTCGGTTGGGCAGGTGTTCCATGGATTGATTGGTTCAGGGTGGGTTATCAGTGCGCAGTACTCGCAGAATCATCTCGAAGGTGAGGAACATGATGGCGTGGTTGGGGACCACTCTGAACAGCTGAGGAAGCAGACCTGCAAGAAATAGGGGTTAACATCAGCTGGGGTGTTGGAATTCACACAAACATCTATTATATGGGTTCACAATTTCTGGATCAGTTTAGTTTTAGAGGATGTAATTTCAACTAACCTCTGTACAGGCCCCTAACCCCTTCCTCCTCAATCGTTAACAAAACTGTTTGTCTGAAACCTTTGAACTTTCTGTCTTTTCCAGCTGTTTCTCTTAAACGTGTCCGTATCACCTCTGAACAGGAGACATTCATTTAAAATTGTACATTTTCTTAAGTAGACATGGAATTAAAATAGATTTTAAAGCAATGTTGTTGATAAAACATTGGTGATGCTTAAAAGGACTTGCAAAATAAGAAGAAAGTGAACATACTAATCGGTTAATAAACTTACCATGCGGATAAGCTATAGTTGTAGCGATAAGTTTAGCGCCAGCGGCGGCTACGGCGCTTTGGATAGGCCCAGCGCCGTAGGACTCGTTTATTTTCTTCTTGAACTGTTCCCAGAGGACTAACGCCATTACAGTCTCAGTTATACCTGTAGAAAAAGTATACATATTACCATACTTATACTCATTACTCGGGCAAATAATGAGACATTATTAGTTAATACTACACTGGGCTAACATATTCTATTTAATCCGCTCCAAAACAGCTTGAAAATTCGAAAACGAGAAGTCGTGTTCTAATCCAGAAACGATTGATAATTTAATAACACCTCTTTGGAACATACCGATATAAGAAGCAGACATTCCTCGTGTGAAGCCCAGGATACCATCACTACGGAACGTATCGACCATGCACTTCCAGAATGACAACATGGGCCGACCTTTAGAGTCCACTTGTAGCTGCTGTCTGGTTCTGATGACGAACAGAGGGTTGGACCAGGTCACGTTAACCGCACCTGGAGTGGGTGGGGTTTTAAAACAACTTAAGGAGAAAGTGCTAGATGTGGGGGCTAAACGAAGAAGTAATGTACCTGTTTTAAAAGAATTAATTGCGTAGTTTGGAAGTTTAAAATACCTGTGAGGACGGAGGAGTAGACGTGTATTTGAAAGGGGGACCTGGTCCCGTTTTCAAAAAGCCTCTTTCCTTGAGTATACGTTGTGAAGTAAACCGCTCTGAAACAACTTACTGTTATTCATTTGCGATTGGAGTCAAAACGCTGCAAAATGTTTCAATTTCTGTCACCGGTCGCGGTGGGAAAATATTAGATCATTCTTTCTTGATACATAAATTATAATTGCCACAAAGATATTGTATCTATCATGAAAATGAGATTAATTTACCTTGATGGGATGACCCCCAATAGAGTTACTCCCAGTCCCTTGAAAAGGGCTCGTTTACCCTCATTATTTACTGCGTCCCTGGAGAGAGATATACGGTTAGTTCCAAAGTATCACTACAACAATGATCGCTCAGTGTGAGTCGGGAAAATATGACATAATTTGGATTCAGTAATTAATAATAAAATAGCACATGATTTCCTTAATTACCTAAAATTAATTAAATAATATCTTACTGGAGGCATCTGCAGAGACCTTGGTTCAGCCCGGTCCCATAAAGCTTCGAACTCTGAAACAAAAACTCATTTAGAAAACTGTTCCGTATTTGATAATAGAAATATAAGCAAAATTAAAATTTTACGTAAAGACAACGACTATGATGCGAATTATTTCCATATAATATACTAATATATTCCTGGATGAAGATGAGGATGATACAATATGTTTTTTGAAAAGACAACTCACATCCCTACTGCTGAAGTGTAAATCTCAACTACAGTGTTTTTCAAGTACCATTTCTAGATATATTATAATCCTTCCAATTACAAAACTTTTAGAAATTACGTACACTAGACACTTCAATTGGTTCCGGGTAAAGACCTCAGTATAGATGAGAAATCCCAAATAATCCAGTGTGAATCTGTTACGTGTAACAATCACCGGCAGCAGAACCGTTCAGCCAATCATTGGACAGATTTCCCTGAATAAACCAATCACGGTACAACTTAAAAACCCATACTTTGCACCAGCCAACATGACCAGACCAGGAAACGGCCGGTCCCTTAAAAAATGCCCAAATATAGTCATACGAAACGCCCAAATAAGGTAAAACCACTGCTCAGCATGCACTATGCTACGTGGACAACTGTACAGCAGAATAAAAGCTATATATCAGTCTCCAATCGCCAGTAGGTTTCATTTCTCTGTTTTGTAACTTCAATCCTCTCTACTAATCTTATCTCAAGATGCTGAAGCTAGTGCTTGTACTTTGTGTGGTATCAGCCACATGGGCTGAGGAGGCTGCAGCAGGTGCTGGTGCTGCAGAGGGGGCTGCAGTCGAGGAGAAAGCTGTGACTGAGGAGGCCGTTATAGAGACAGAAGAAGAAGCTTGTAAGTATTTTTCAGTTTCAGTAACGTTTTGATGTCGATTTCCTTTTTATTGAATTGTGGGCCCTTGTCCTCTAGGAGCTGGCATTCATTTTATTATAGTTAATAGTACTAATAATATTATCACAACGTCAATGTTTTCCATAATTCAAAACTTTGTAATGCATCTTCATTGTAATGCGTCTTTCCGGAAAAACAATATAAAATGCAATATGAAATGCAACCTCTAACCAATTGTACTCGCAGTGGATGCAATCCCCGATGAGGCTATAGAAGAAGAAGATGAAGGTATGTACGATTTTGAGCTGGAGGACGCTGACGAGGGTGAAATGGAGGGATACGACTTCCCAGAGGAAGATGATGAAATGGACGAGTTCACTGACGAGAGTTCTGAAGAGGAGAATATCGTTGCTGACGGTGACTCCGCTGAAGCTAAGGAGGAGGAGGTGACAAACAGTGAGGAGAAACCAGTCACTGAGACTCCTGAACTTAAGTAAGGAGGAAGATCAGGGAATGGAGATGAGGACTTTTTAAATCATTTTAGTAAATTAATTTCATTTTAGCTCATGTGTTTCATCGGGGACAAAAAGCTACATGTTTACTTTTAGAGGAAACACTGACTAGTGACATCCTGACGACCGGCAAATTCGTTGATATAAACTTTGGCATTGAAACAGATTTGGTTATATAAGCAATGTAACTGAATGTCTGACTGTAAATAAGATGATAGTTCACTCTATGACGTCATGATCACTTCATTCTCATACATCCGAACTACATCACTCTCAGATCATACACAAACTAAACAACTGACAACTACTTGAAAAGGCGAACAATTGTGTGTGTTCACACTTAACCGACAGACCGACAAAAGACAGACAACACTTGACTGTCAAACCGACTGACCGACACAAGACAACTAAACCACTGACAGACAGTATGATCTGAAATCTAAATAAAGACATTTATCTGGCATCTGATCATTCGCCATTTCCACTCATTTCCTCATACATATCTTAATCTACATCAAGAGTTTGACCTAACTCGGCGTAATACGGGGAGACTAAACAAAACTCGACACGACTTGACGGAATTAGATTAGACTTGACTTGGCAGGACTTGACTCGACAAGACAGAACTGAACTGGACTTGACTTGACTCAACAAGACTCAACAAGACTCGACAAGACAGGACTGAACAGGACTTGACTCGACAGGACTCGACAGAACTTGACAAGACTTGACTCGACAAGACTTGACTCGACAAGACTTGACTCGACAAGACTTGACTCGACAAGACTTAACTCGACTCGACAAGACTTGACTCGACAAGACTAGACAAGACTAGACAAGACTTGACTCGACAGGACTTAACTCGACTCGACAGGACAGGACTGAACTGGACTTGACTCGACTCGACAGGACTGAACAGGAGTCGACAGGACTTGACTCGAAAAGACTTAACTTGAGTCGAAAAGACTTGACTCGACAGGACTTAACTCGACTCGACAAGACTTGACTCGACAGGACGTGACTCGACAAAACTTGACTCGACAGGACTTGACTTGACAGGACTTGATAGGACTTGGCTAGACAAGAATTGACTCGAAATTAACTAACATAGCTTTTTGACCCTGACATGATAAGAAAATGTGTACTGTCAAATCTTTAACAAAATATTTGATTGTTTCATTTGATTCAACTATATGTACCGAGTTTCGTTTGAAACTTCATATGATTGCAAAATTATTGAGCCCATTGGTAATAATGGATAAGCTACCATAAAAATATTTAATCTGTGACTAAGAAAGTGACCACCCTGTAGCAAGAGACAACATGTTGAAGTTCCTGTTCGGTGTGGTGCTGGTCACGATAGCATTTGCAGATGTAGGTCTGGAAGTTGGTGGAGTCCCCGAGGAAACTGTACCAGCTACAGAAACTGTTACTGAGGAAACTGTTGGCGAGGAACCAGCTGGTGAGGAATTTATTGCCGAGGAGCCTGCCGAGGAGGAGCCTGTTGAAGCTATTGAGGAGACTTCCGGGGACTCAGTTTCTGGTAAGGACTGTTTGAATGAGCTACTTTAGCTTATCAGTGGTATTTCTAACATGAATTTGGCTTCATGGGCAATGGCCTTCAAACTGTTTAATGGTTAAAGTAGTTAAGTATGTCTTCTCTCCTTTATCGTAAACCCCTTGACATGTCCGTTTGTTTTATATTATTCAATATTTTAACCCAAAACTCTTCACTAGATTCAGAGTTAGGAGACTCGGACGAGTTTAACTCAATGATCGCTTATAACACCTACATGTCGGATTTGGACGCCGTACCCACCGAAGCTGAGCCCGTAGTAGAGGTAAGATGTCTTAGGTTCTGTTTCAGTGTATTACAATACAAATTGTCATACTTTGACTCTAAGAGCAAGCTTATTTTCCCAAAAATTATGTTGCAGTGTTTCATTTACTATGGCCCAGGCTGAATTACCTTGCTATGAGTATATCGATTTTTGTTTTGCATGCATCTAATTTCAATTTTTTTGCAGGCAGAGGAAAAATAGGAATGTAGTCCTTCTACCAGATGAGACTTTCACTTAATATAAACAGTTATTACTTGATGATAATGCAGTGCATTTATTATTTTACAGTATTTGTAGAGTTGAGATTTTCTTTTTGTTAAAATGTTTATACTGTAGAGTACATTATCATTTCTTACGATATTTCTTATATATTTTGAACTACACATAGTAAAGAACTTAAGTGATTGAACGGTTAACTAAACGTTCAGTATTTCAGAGCATCAACATTTATTAAATATTTGTAATTCTTGCATCAGCTTCAGTTTGAGAAAAACAGTGCTCAACCCGATATAAGAAATGTGTGTTTTTAGAAGCGTGGGTCTGGTTACCTGAAGACTTTTTTTCCTTATTTCTGTAAATCTTTGTATAGTATATGTAACATTTCAAGATTTGTTATCATTGTATTGTGATAATAAAATCTTTTATTTTGTTGGACATACGTAGCCAAATTTCACTGGTACTTTAAAGATGTTGTTGATGGCTTACAAATACAATGCGGTGAATGAAAAACGAACTGTGAACGAAAGTGAAATAACAGTGTATTAGTGTACCTGTAATCTAGTTTTTATCACTTCCAAAGGTGATGTTATTACCGCTGCAACCCCTCCGGCGACCCTAAGGAGAAAGTCGTTAGTATTGATTCATAAAGTTGGTTACAAAAAATTGATCACTTAAAATTCGTGATTTCTCAAACCAAGATAGAAGCTTCTAATTTATGCCTCTGAGACAATTCAAATGAAGGACAATTCGTTTTATCAAATTAAAAGATTTAATCTCACCCGCCGGCGAAGATGTTTGGGAAAAACCCATCAGGTTGTTTTTGGGTCGCCATATTCCTGCCTCAGTACCATTCTAGAGCGGCTAAAGTGAAGGTTACTTTAATGGAAGTGAAATTATTGAAACTATATCAAAATTAAACATTATATATATATTAGAGTATTAGGGAGTTATTTGAAAAGTTTACTTTCATATCTAGCAAACAATCTTTAAATGTACGACGATAAAATTCGCAGATATACTATTATGTAGTGATGTATGTCAATGTATGTGTTATCTATTATAACTTTGAAACTGTGCAAAAAAAATGGCTATGACATCCCGGGACCCGGATCATTTCAAATGTTTCAACTCATGGAACGGACATAACACGGATGATCGAATTCAGAGTGCACTTGATGCCACAGCTAGGTGCATTTCAACATGTAATCTGAGCTACATTTACTGATCAGGAAAATATTAATACTATTCATGTAGTACGGACCTAGCTCTTATATTATCATCCAATCTTGTAAGCTGGAGCCAGGATAAAAACACATACCATGAAATATTGGTGGAGTAAGCGAGAAGCGAGCAGATCTGTCGAATTAGGCACAACACAGCACGAGAATTATTGCTATTATATTAATTGTTTATATTAATTGTTTCTGCTGACGTCAACGGAAAGGAAGCAAGTTAGCACGATATTATTTATAGCTATAGTTAACAGGGCATTTTCGAAACATGAGGTTATTGCAACAGAAGAGTGCTAGCGCGCAGAGTAAAGCAAAACACTAGTTCTTAGTTCTGCAACACGGTTACTCATGACAATAGGAAATAATCTCATTGCAAAAGTGCTCCTTCATAAACAATTTACGTTTGTTCCGTCTAAGGAGAAATCATGAACAAGAAATGCGGCCGCTTTTCTTTTGTGGATGGCCGCTCAATTTCCCGATGGATCGGGAAAAAATAACGACTATTCTGATTAGCGACAGGCCTACCACCAAACTCAGAACTTCATGAAATTTTACGGAACTGATGACTGATCTAAAACAAAAACCTAACAAAGTTTCAAGCCAAACAGGGGATCTTGATAATCCGTCGACGGACAACAAACACACAGCCGGGTCGCCGTACTGCAGTTAACACACATTTAAAAGTGACTTAAAACACACTTGCCCAACATAAGTGATAAGGTACATCCCCTGCCATTTGATAATCATTGCTTATGAAGAGCAATAATCATCCCAAATATGATAAACATCCACCAGAAAAGTCGTGCTGAGTATAGGATGAAACGAATAGGATAATGACTACTAACTCCAGACATCAATAAGTTATTGGTAATTAGCGTAATTAGCTAATTACAAACGGTGTGATTAATAACGAGAGAAGATTATGCTTAAAGTGCGAGCATCATGACTGATAACATAGATTTACACCCAGCAATTGGACCCCACGAGGATTTAAAATAACATGTACGCCAGGAAACCAACTCACACCAGCTGGCACAACGGTTATGTTATATATCTACCAGCTGAGACAAGCCGGCTAACTCTAATCAGCAACACCTGACTGCTACTTTTTAAGAATGTTTTCTGATAAATATGATTTATGAAGGACAACTGTGTAAATAAAAAAGGTTTTCAAGTCTTATCACATAATAAGTCAGCGAAAAGGTGAAATTTAAGAGGGTCATTTGTCCTGAATAGCATAAAATTCCAAGTACAACTGTGAACTGACTGAAAAATGAAGATAACGTAATCTCTTAAATAAGAAAGCACTGATAAGTATCAATCACTACAGTGTAACTAACACGTAGCAGAAGACGATATGTATGATCTAGGTGACTTAAGCAGAAGCCAGTAATCTGTATAATGTTCATGTAGACGACTCGCAATATTACACCAAAGTAAAATGTTCACCAGAAAGTCCAAATTCGTCCCCACGCCGGCGCGGTGTGGATCAAAGCAAAATCGATTAAGTGAAAACAGAGATTTGCTTCAAAACTTGTACGTTCAATCAACATTGAAAAGGAGAGGTTTGAAACACTGAATAACAATGTGTACACTATTAGGGAATCAATTATGTCATTTGATACGCACACCGTCGCACACGCCGGTCAGTATTAGATCACGCCGGCGAGTGGAGAATAAGTCAATATTTTGATGGAGCGGTAGTAGCACTTCCGAGATAGAGTCAAGGGGCGGATTGTCTTGTGGAACTTGTAGTGTTTGCGCCGGTTAATGTGCTAATTACCCGGCGTGGAGAGAAGATGAAGTAAAGGAGAGATGAAGTAAGAGATAACCGGATGGTAAAACTGATAAGTAATTCGGTGAAACAAAGGAAATCATCACTACTGTTATTTCAGATATACACCCGAGAAAATAATCACCTTCTCCCTATAAGGAGAAGATACTATACTCTCTACTATAAGGAGAGCTAATTACACGCAAAGAATAGATACAACTAAACTACGCACTCCTATGACGAGAATAATAGCTACAACAGTAGTATCGTGTACAATCTGTATATCTGTATATACTCTCCCTTGATCCCGTGCCAAATTACTGCTGCACGAAGAAGACATAAAAGGTTGTATCAATACAAGGTATAATCTAACGGGGGCTAATTATGACTTATGAGGCTGGGAAGATCAGAATCGTTAGTTAGTTTGTGATAGCACTCGTGTGACAGCAATTTACAAAAATGTCCCAGAATCGTTGACACGTTGCACGGAAAAAGGATAATATCAAAATATGAAGAATATTTATTTCGATTCATGTTTTCAAAACACGTTTAGACGAGTATAAAAAGCCGGAGGCATTTCTATAAGTTTAGCTTGAGAGAGCGATTGCAAAAGCCAACAAGCATGCTCGGATAATTACCAGAAAGGAGAACTGAACTCAGGAACAAAAACATCTAACTACAGGGACTTTTCCACGACAGAGAGAGGAAAGTTAACACTTACCACACGTATACTTGTCAACAAAGAAATCTGACCAATGCAACTTGCAAAATCTAACAACTCCGCGTTGTGAACACTGAAAACAGGCCAATCAAACCATATCATAATAGTCACGTGACGTCACGCTTGGTTGAAATTCCTTGACAGATTAAAGCTGGGGAGCCTGGAACAGACTGTCTTACATCCAGCAAGTAGGTGGTGCTTTACTTTCTAGCTGCTGTGTGACGTGCGTTAGAGTGGTGTGATAGTGTGTGTGATAGTGTGTGTGATTGTTTGTGCTAATGAGATGGTATTACTGACATAATAGCCAAAAAAATACGCAAAGATGTATAAAAATCAATAAATTATATTATCAATGGTAAACAGATACACAAATATACTCAAACAAATCTAAATTATCTTTATCTCTGTTATCGTCCAGGCATAAATTGTTCTCGAGACAAGCCCAGTACGTTAATATCAAGCATAGTCAGACATGGTAATACACGTTGAATGTTGATTAACGTTTAATTGACGCTACACGATAATACTGGTGACACACTGCACAGTATTCAGTAACAGTGGTGGAATTAATTCGAGGCTAATGTTATGAGAAGTGTAACATGGCAAGTGCGGAATAAAATCTCCGATCGTTGGCAATGCTTGACAAATATAAAACTAGAAGTAGCCTGTTCACGTGACCACAATCAATGCTAATTCACAATAGTATTTAACGAGTTAAAGACACGGCGAGCGCTAGCCGCTCATGGCTTACGTCCTTGCAAAGTAGCTCTAATGAACAAAAACACTGCACTTCTAGTAGCAAGCATGTCATGTGTTGCTGTGTTGAGTGCTGGCACGACATCAGCTATCAGAGTGGTAGTGATACTTCCCGCCCGGCGTACGGGAAATATTACTTCAGGAAACTAATGTGTTTATATTCAGTCTCCACGGTAAAATAATTGTAGTAAATTACAGTCCTCCACGTAGATTGTACTTAATTGGAGTTTAATTACTAATTAAATACGGTCAAAGACTAAACTAAATACACTTCAACTTATAATGTTGATACAATGCCAGAAATACCGACCGCACCCCGCACCCCGCACCCCGCTACTTCAGACATTCTAAAGCGCTCTCTGAGATAATTAATTAAGTTGAGCTAATTAATGAAGTTCACATATCACACTGCTCTCTGTTCACATTTACACACGTTACCACACATCTTCTAGCTATAAGTCTGCTTTAAGATAGTTGTACTACAAGTGGAAGTGTGGAACTTTAACTTTTTCTTCTCTAAATATTAGTTTATTGATTAAAAGGAGAAAAAGTTGGAAAGTTGTACTTGTACAACTATGATCAAATAACAGCCCTCTTAACCGAACTGAAAAAATTCAGAGCTAACATGGAATAATGCTTCCCAAAATAATCAACATACCTAAGTCTAATAATTTTACATGGCTACACTGTCCAAACAAACTGTCCGATGTCTGACATAATACGGTAAACTGGTCAATTGTTCTTCCGTCTGACACAGAGGTTTAGGAACGGAAAATGTGGTGAACACGTGGTTTGTGACGTCACTAGTCACGTGGTTTGTGACGTCACTAGTCACGTGGTCTGTGACGTCACTAATCACGTGACTAGTCACGTTATTTATCACGCAGTTTGACTGAGATCCCAGTTCGACTAAAATCAACTCAACTCCCGCTAAACAGTTCCCACTGTCACTAGTGTAATAAACATACGGATACTGAAGGAAGAACCCAAATATAGTTGTCAAACACAGTCCGTTACACTCGTAATCCAGATCTAGGATCACCTGATCTTCATCAGTCTCATTTACTGATTTAATCATGTCACTAAACGCTGCCAGATACTGATCACACACATCATCCTCAGCTAACACGGGTGTTCCACGATAACTGGAGCAGTCAATCACAACCGGGGAATACTCACTCACAAAATCGTGCCGTCTGTCCAGTAGGACAATGTCATGCTCAAGCTTTGCCACCAGTACCACTTCCTTCAGCCCACCTTGTTCCACGATACTCCCCAGCTGGTCGGTGGTACCGGCACAGAAGTCGAACAAGATGGCAGGTTTGTGGCGAGATAGCAGGGACTCTAGCGCCAGCAGGAACTTCTCTTTTCTAGCTCGTGATGTTTTGAGGGTCCGGTAGGTTATCTGACGGAAGGAGAGTGACATTTAGCTTCCTTCTATACTCTATAAGTTTGCTTAATTAATTTTAGGTTTTTCAAGAATCAAGAATACAGAATATTGGGTATTTCAGGAAACTGAAAATATTAATTATTGTTGAAATATTGATTTGATGTTATTTGAGATGTAATATGGATGGACTAAGTTAAAACAGGTAAATTTAATTTCCAACAAAGTAATAAAGCGTGGATGTTTTTTATAGTAATAATTCAACATTTTTATTTATCAAAATTATCTGCTATAACAAGTACAACGAAACGAAAACATAATTTATTATTTATATCTGATCAGGGAAACTACATTATTACAGCAGTTACCTTTATTAACAATTAATAAACAGCTGTTATTTATCATTACCCTTCTAATTTATATACAAGAAGATTACCGAAAATTGAATTTAATTAAATAAGCAATCCATAACTGTAAAAAATCCTTCTTGAGCGCTAATTGTTTTAATCTTCGGGCAGCCAAATACCATGGTTAGTCCACGGGACACGAACCGGTGAGGAAAGTTTAGCAATAACTTTCAGATTCCGCGCATTCCAAATGTAAAGCTCAGATCCATCTGTCCTGGGGTCGTAGACTGGAGACAGGAGAACACCATCATCCTCCTCGGTACCACCAGGCCGGGGGACAAACACCGGCTCCACCGGGAACAGGTTCAGATCATCCCAACCAACAGAGGTCTGCTTGCACAGATCCAGTTTCAGGATTCCCATTGCATTTCTATTGTCCCACTGTATAGTATGGAAGTAGACAATACAAAAGGGTTTCCCGCGGAAGTTGTCGTTAACAAAGGGGAAATCAACGTGTAGAAGTTGTGGTTGCCACGTTTTAGGATGGTCAATCACCTCTCCTTTACCTGTGGCCAGGTTCATGACGAATCTCCTGATGGTCACGTCGTTCAGCGGTTTGAAGTCCTTCATGTAGCTGAACTGGTCGCTCAACATATACTCTATGTTGAGGATCTCGTAGTAACACCTGTCGTGATTGAAACCCTCCATTGTGGTCAGTGTAGGGTAATCCACCACAATCTCCGTCTCTCCGTTCTCGTTTACCCGCTCGAATGAGTTAATGATGTGAACAGAGATAAAGGGCGGGAACTCGAACGTTTTGAAACTCCCGTCCTTGATCGCCATGACGTGTATATATGTGGGGGCTTTGTCGTCAAACACAATGTTAGAGCACACATGAGTGGTTGAGTTCAGCTCAGCTCTCAGACTCAACCGAGGTAATATCACGTGATTCTCCGTTACACCCAGAGAGTGTATGATCCTGATGTCATTTAGAGAACTCGGAATATAACCGACCACCTTGCCAACAGCTCTGCCGTCAGGGTCCTCAGTGACCCTGATCATCTCATAACCAGGTTCCACTCCTGTAAACAACCCCTTGTCATAGCCCGTCATGAACACATGGTTGTAACTATCTCCAGTTGTAGGATGTCTCGCATAGTGGGACGCTGACATGAACTCTTTAACAAACTTTCCCTTGTTGAAGAACTTGTATTTGTCCATATGATCCAGGTTGACGTTCTGAACGTCAAACACCAGAGGGCTCTCTCCGCATACAGTGATCCCGTCCCTGCCCTTTATCTTCCAGGGGGTGATGTTGTTGTTGTCCCTGCTGGGATCCCACAAAGCCATCCTCAGTTTCTCCAGAGAGGTGATAGGAGGGAGGATGTCTCCTACAACTCGGTGAGGAACCAGCTCCCCCAGGCTCACACTCCGATTGTAAATGCTCGTCTTGAGGAACTTGGTGCTGAATGTTGGCACCTTGCCAGGTGTAAAGCTCCATCGGTAAACCTTGCTGAGAGCGTCGATAACGTTGTTAACTCGACGTGATCCCACATCAAAGGCCCCTACTCCCACCTTGTACATGGAACCAGACAGCCACTCGGGGATTTCCCCCTCCACAACTTGGATCTCAGAAAAATCCACCTCCTCCATCATGTTGACAAACAAGCCGGTAGGTTGTAACCTTCCCTCAGAGGACACGTCAAACTCAGCATTCTTCTGACAAGATTCACCCTTACATTCAGAGTCTTGTTGTAAACTCCCCGCTAGGGTGCAGAGAGAGGAGTGTAGTCCGGAGACGAGGAGTAGAGTTAAAACCAGCATACTTCGGTTATTGAACTGTAGAGAAAGTGTCAACAAAACGATAGCCTAGCTTTTAACAGTATGTGTGACATAACTTTGTTTAATAAGCTTACACAATTACTTCATAGGTTCATTGCACCGACTAGTTATTACCATTGCAATCCCAAATTTCTCAGGAATATGTCAAGGATTTGATAATTTAAAAATAGACTGGCTTATTAATAATTATTAAAACTTTTGGATGTTTAAGCTTAATATTATCGGCCTACAATTGTCGCGTCTTTAATAGCTAATACTACAATACCACGCGAAGCAACATCAAACAGCAACAATTACACTAAAATATAATAGTGATAAATTTGATCCCTTAACCCGAACCAAATATTAGGGGTTTTAATATTAGTGGGTTTAAAGATAGTCCAATCAAAAGAATGCTGGAAAATTTTACAAGATTTAGCTTCACATCATCAGCATCAGATTCTAACCACATGGAGTATTACTAAGTGTAACATCAAACAGGTATGGTTACAGTTTCACATCTGTAATAATATGATACTGCGAATCTGAGCATTTAACAACACCTGGCTAGTGGCTACTAGTGAAATTAACAGGAAGTGATAGATCAGCGAATCTACCGAACTAATTGTCACAGTTCGCTACAATTGTTCTCAACTGTTCTAATTTATGTTTCTTTCAATCCATAACAAAGGTCATGAGTGCAATCATAATTTCAGGTTGTGTGCTAATATTTACAATATGAGTTACCAGAGATGTGAGGCGTTCTTAGAACTATCGGTTGAATTAAATGATTGCCATGAAACGAAACGGAATACAGTATTTACTACCCCGCTACTAGGTATGCGACAAATGAAAATTAGAAAAGGGAGTCCTCCGATTTCGTGGATGACCATATCAATATTATGTACATGATGGTTAAAATGACGGCCAGGTAATAAGAATTATAAGCAAAGTATGAATTTTAAGCTAGAAAAAGCTGCTAGGACAGAGCGAGAACTGTGATATTTTTTGGGAAAGTTTGAAAATCATACGATTTCCCTTCGGGTTCGGGTCGATCTTCAAAGGCTATTTTGGTGATACTGGTCTACCGGCACAGAGGCAATATATAAGTGGGGTGGGCGTTGGCGCGAAATCGCGTTATTGACCTGATACCGCGACTTTAGGCACCATCGGCCATTATTCGTTCTATTGGATCTGTGTGCTTCTACTTTATATCGCTGTATACATTGAGATAAGATCAACAATCGACATGGCCACAACTATGGTTAGGGTTAAACGTTTTACTTTTACATGACGTAACATTAAAAACATCGGAAAGTATGTATAATTACTATTTCCACGGCTACAATTAAATACATTAAGGAAGCGATGTAACAGAGTCGAAATATTTTAATGTTGCCATGGGGTGGCAAGTCCGATAGTTTTACTGCCTCTCAATATATGTTTGTTATATATATACGTTATACATAATTATAACGACAAAGAACTATTTTTATCAATAAACTTTCAAATTGTTACACAAAGTATACCAGATACCTGTACAATGTACATGCCTTGACAAGTGACCGAGTGTTAACAAAATTAGGGACGCACCGAAACATCAGGTAACCAGTAAAGTGGTCATAGCAATTACATCGGGCCCTTAGTGCACCTATAAATGACCAATTGAAGCGATGCCGCAACCAATGCATGCTAGGTTTGCTCCCAAGGAATAAATGGGTTACAGCTTAAAATATAGATATGATAAAAATTATAATAAACACTAAAAGATTTAAATATATTATTAATATGATATTTAAATACAATCAATTTAAAGATTAACTCATTATAAAAATAATAGCATTATCAATAACAGGAAATTTAGAGCACACTAATTTGAAGGATTTATACGGGTTTTAAGATATCGAATTAAAATGTCAATATATCCGTGAAATTAATGAATATTTTTAGGAAGAAAAATTGTTCTATAAATAGAGCGCGGGAAATTCAGATCCCAAGACCCCGAATATAAGCAGGTAACTGAAATTTATCCCGCTCTTTCTTCTAACTTACAGAAGACGAGCACAGTATACAGCCATATTTTTACTGTAGTTAGCCAGCTCTACAGCGATCAGTTTTAACGGTGTATGAACACCCTTGTTTGACCCACCAGAGCCGTCCAAGAGAGGATACAGTGGTCGTGCCATACATTATACTGTATACAGACTCACATACCTTACATACCCTTTACAGACTCACATACCTTACATACCCTTTACAGACTCACAAGTCACATACCTTACATACCCTTTACAGACTCACATACCTTACATACCCTTTACAGACTCACATACCTTACATACCCTTTACAGACTCACATACCTTACATACCCTTTACAGACTCACATACCTTACATACCCTTTACAGACTCACAAGTCACATACCTTACATACCCTTTACAGACTCACATACCTTACATACCCTTTACAGACTCACAAGTCACATACCTTACATACCCTTTACAGACTCGCATACCTTACATACCCTTTACAGACTCACATACCTTACATACCCTTTACAGACTCACATACCTTACATAGCCTTTACAGACTCACATATGATATACCTTACATACTCTTTACAGACTCACATACCTGGACTATACGGAGTTAGGAGTCCAATCAATACCCATCTCATCCTTCCTGTTCCTATTCTTGAAGGTATCCACAGATGCAGTGAAGGGTAACGTGTGGATCTCAACTATAGACCCAAACATCTCCGACAAGATCCTCTCCGAAAATGACGTCAGGAAAACGATTTCGGGTGTTTTGTTCTTCAGAGCTAATTCATCTGCGGATAATGGATATTTTTTCTTATGAATTTGAAATATTTTCAAATTTACTCCAACGTTATGACATGGGTAATTTAGATATTGAACTAGAATTTGCTAAGATAAAATATCGGTGAGAACCTGAACATGTCTCTTTCCTCCTGTGCAATAATTCCAAATATCAACTTACCTATGAAGAGGGAAATGTCGATATGGTTAAGGCGTCTTTTAATGATGACATTCTTGTATGAAGCTTTCGCGGGCGCGTGCAAGGCCCGGGTGTTGGAGAATACACTGTTAAAGAACCGTCGAATCATCAGATCATCGATAGTCCTGAAAATAAACCATTATCAACTATTCTCGAATAGGAACCAGAACTTCCTATACATTATATTCCTCTTTGCTAGAATGTTTCTTTACAATATCCCATCTTCAACACTACAAATTCGCATCTGTTCCCAGACATCTGGCTATCTAACACAAATCTGGTTGAACTGACACACGCGATCAGTGTTAGCTGTTAGGTTAACGTGGCTTACATGTTAGTAATTAGTAATTAGTAATTATGTATGTTAGTAAACTTAAGAAAACTGAACCTTATTGCTGGTCAGGTCCTGAAACCAATTACCTCCAACAATCGGACAACAGTCTTCATTATATATTATAGTAAAACCCCAAATTACTGCGGAGTTGTTACTTATCTTATATCTATATCTTAGAATGTGTTTATGCTACAGCCGATATAGGTTTGGGTCTGATAATCTACTTCGGGAATTAAACTGTTAGCTCTCTTATTTTCCTAGAGTAGAATTAATTTCTTGGTTTCGCCAGGCACAGAGAATATAATGGGGATATAATGTAAGTTTGAGTCCCACCAATCTTTGATACTAAACATAAAACAAGAGCATTAGCAGTCATTACCTCCTACCCTAGCTAACGCTATTACCACGGCCCGTAACTTCAAAAATATCATTGGCTGCCATTTTTAGAAGCATAGCACGTGGACATATCCTCATTGGTTGAATATCCCGACATCAGAGTTCCTTAAGTTGGTTTGCAGCTTAGAATCTTAGAACCATCTCACTAGTTTATATATCACTCTTTGCAGTAGATGAATCCCTAAATGAATTTCCGATGGCCCCTAGGCCTTGCTAATAACTACAGGGTGGGCCAAAAGTCAGTACCCATACGTTGGCCTTAATAGCTCCGCCGTGTTTTATATTTGAGAGCTGTTGCTTTGCAGATGGCATACGGTATTTACTGGTTCGAGGATTCCGTCGTCAAAATTTGAAAATTCGAATATTTTAGACCACGCCCATTCAATATTAAAACACCTATATTGTTTTCTCTGAACATGCTGAACGCCTAATTTTTTCAGAGACGGTACATTATCAAATGTTGCATATGATCTGAAAACATGAGGCAAAACGGATTAGAAATGACGAAGTTATCAAGCATTTTCTGTATCTCGTTAACAAAATTGACTGGGTGATTATGTGAGGGGTAGTTAACGGGGGACCTTATCACGTGATTAGGTAAACCAATCACCTGATCACACGTAATGAATAAACTCGTTATGGTTCATATCTCGGTCATCTGAGAAGCTACAGTTCTAATTCTTTCAGGACAAACGTAATTCGAATGGCCAAACACAATTCAATAACATTTAGCTTGATCCGACTATCCAAACTATCAAATAAATGTGAAAATGAACCTCCATTTGAAAAAAATGAACGCGAATATTTTTCGAGTTGACAAATTCCTCGAACCAGTGGTGGTACTAAGTCATACCAGAAAGAAGTATTTAAATTGGGCACTCAGTGACTGAGCTATAAAGGCCAACGTATGGGTACTGACTTTTGGCCCACCCTGTATATTGAACAATCAACATTTACAATTAGTTTTGGCTCAATTTATGGCTTAATAGGACAAATAGACAATTGTCCCACTTTTGTTCCAAGCTCCAAAGAGGCTCTAAAAACCCGGATTCATTAACTCAGTCTTTGTGTACCGTGCACTGTGTAGGAACTTCGTGTTGTGCAATTTGAAGTGTCTGTCTGTACTACTGAAGACAAGAGACGGGGCTTCTATTGTTTACGACTGATGAACACCTAGCCTAAATTATCCCGACAATCGGACTAATATATAAACCAACAGCTAGTACGTTCCTTTATATTCTGGTAACCCAGGTAAACTTGCTTGGAAGTTAAAAATAGATGCATGCCCCAAAAGAAATGTTTTGTACTGGATGCCACATCATTTCTCTTACACCAGATGTGTTGCTAAACAGATCCACGTTCAGTACCAGAGTAGATTAGGTCGTTGGTAAAGGTGACGTAAACATGGAAAAATGGGCTGTACTGGGCTACGTTAGTCTGTTCATACTCGTAGCTTTTACTGTGGCAGTGAATATGAGTTCCCTAGGTTGTGCTTGGAGTTGTCAATGATAAATATAGTTTTGAAATGTCGAAATATAAATTGACTGTTGCTTATTTTAGGATGTTGTTATTAAAGTTGACGATACTTTTTCTCTTCTTACACGAAGCTTCGTCATCAACAGGTTAGACAGGTTCCTTTCTCCTCCTCTTTAACTCTTTATATAATAATCATGTGCTAACGTTTATGAAGGCTAACGTAACTAGAAAATTTAATAGAGTTCTAGCTGAGAATGAACGATGTTCCTTTAGTGGCTTGCGCTTATTTTCTTTCAAATTACATGATTCAAATTAAGTTAGAAACTGTTTCAGCTCCGACATTAGCAGTGACCAGTGATCACTCTGTGGTTGCCGTCTATTTCGATGGTGTCAAACAAAACCTTGCAGCAGACCAAGCCCAAAATTGGGAGTCGATAACTAATATAGAAGTTCCTGAAGCCACTAGAGTCATGGCGTTTCATTGCTTAGAGGATGGTTTAGGTGGTTATGGGCTAATTGCCAAGTTGGAAGTAACCATGTGGACCGGGGACAGGACTGTTTACACAGTAACAGACACAGATTGGACGTGTTCTGGGGTGGAGGAATCTGGGTGGCAGACACTAGGCTTCAAGGAGACTTCATACTGGAAGCCGGCTGTTGTCACCCAAAATGTTCAATTAGGTGGTTTTGGACACAATCGTTGGATATGGAACAGTTACGAGAGAAGTGTAACTTACTGTAGAAAGAATATTGACATCCGACCCTTTATATCAGGTATGTTATGGAAACTAATAGTATATACTGCAGTAACGGGTGTAATCTAGGTATGTTATGGAAACTAATAGTATACGGCAGTAATGGGTGTAATCTAGGGCTATTGAAGTCAAGTTTACTGCTTATCTGAGTTGATGAATAATATCATATACGGTCTGATGCAATTTTAGGAGTTTAAGTGCTAGGTGTTGTAAATGTCAATCTGACAAGCAGTTTTCACATTAAAAAACCTTCCAGGTGCGATGCTAGCAGTGAGTTGTGATGATATCCTGACAGTCTATTTGGATGGTGTTAAATGGAGTCTGCGCTCAGGTGAAACTGATGACTGGACACAAACCTCAATAATAGGAGTTACTGAGTCCACAAAGGTTTTGGCGTTTCATTGTAAAGACAATTCGGGGGGATACGGGCTGAGAGCCTCCGTTGAGGTAAAGATGTGGAACGGGGAGAGGGTGGTATACACAGCAACAGGTGTAAATACTGGGTGGAGGTGCTCTGGGGCTGAGGACTCTGGTTGGGAGAAACCTGGCTTCCAGGAAACTTCAAACTGGAAGCAGCCTATTAAAGGGAACAATGGTGATCTAAATGATTTAAATGGTATTGCAAAACAAGCTGATGCGATATGGTGGAAAAGTTCAAGCAGGAATGTGTTTTGCAGAAAGGAGATCAACATAGAATCTTTCGTCAAAAGTATGTATACTTTTTAACTTTGCTGAGGATGCCAATCATCATTGCTGCGTTAAAAACCCAAAAAAGCGTCCAAATTTGCTAATACATTTTAAATGTTCAGGTGCGATCCTCAAAGCAACTTGTGATGATATTCTGACAGTTTATTTCGATGGTATCCAGCAGTACATACCTGAAGATGAAACTAAAGAATGGCAAAAGATTACTAAACTCATAGTCCCCGATGCCACTAAAGTCATGGCGTTTCATTGTAAAGATAACGAGGTTGAGTACGGATTGTTAGCCTTGATGGAGATATATATGGGACAAGGGTCCAGAGCTGTGTACACTATGACAGACACAGATTGGAGGTGTTCAGGGGTGGAGGAAGTTGGTTGGGAGACACCTGAATTTCAGGAGACTTCAAACTGGAAGGAGGCTATAGAAAGTGGTAACCCTGGAGACCGTGCTGGTGTTTCAAACCAGGCTAAGTGGATATGGAGCAATTCTGCGTACCGCGATGTGTATTGCAGAAAGGATATCGACATCATATCTTTCGTGAAAAGTAAGCGGTCTAACAAAATTTCTCAACAAGTTATCTCTGGAATTAATTTGAAAATTAAACTTTTTCCAAAAATTAAAACTTAACCTCATTATAAGCTAAATTTGTGTTACCGAATTGTAAAACAATGATGGTTTTCCAGGTCCTATTCTAGCAGTAACATGTGATGATGTTCTAAAAGTGTACATAGACGGAGTAACGCAGAACTTACACTCTTCAGAAACTGGGAACCTAAACCGGGCATCTAACATAGAACTGCCAGATAACACGAGGTTAATAGGATTCCACTGTAAGGATAATGGAGCGACCTATGGTCTGGCAGCCTCAGTGAGCGTACCCATGTGGACAGGAGACAGGGCTGTTTACACAGTAACAGACACAGATTGGACGTGTTCTGGGGTGGGGGAATCTGGTTGGGAGACACCTGACTTTCAGGAGACTTCAAACTGGAAGCCGGCTGTTTATGGGAACACTGATGAACTTTCACTTCCTTCCGATATTGATACAAGTGCTAGGTGGATATGGGGCGATCCAGGAGGTGAAGGCAGTGATGTGTATTGCAGAAAAGACACAGAAATCAAATCCTTCGCAAAATGTAAGTTTCCCACATTAAACAATTAACTAGAAAAATAAGAACAAAATTTTAAATTAGGACGACAAGATTAGTTGAAGTGAGCATCTCTCACCTGTATCTTTATACATTTTAGTTTGATCCAGCGGACTAATTAAATGAAAGATTTTAATTAAAGAATTTAATCGAGTAGAACGTGTTTCCACAAGAGAGACGTTCACAACCACTCCTTATCAGGGCCAGTGCTAAGGACAACTTGTGACGACGAACTCACGGTGTACTTTGGTGGGAAAGAACACTCAATAAACGAAGCCAATGATTGGAGGATAATGAAAGTATTTGCAATCCCGCCGGAAACTGGATCCTTGCGGCTGAAATGCAAAGATATCGGAGGAGACCGCGGACTCTACGCCTCGATCAGAGTTCCTTTAGTCAGGAAACCCATCCTGATAACAGATTCATCCTGGGTATGCTCGGATGTACATGAAGTAGGTTGGAGGGACGTAGATTTTGACGACAGTCTTTGGGGTCCAGCTAAAGTGGTTGACCACGAGTTGACGGAGGTGATGGCCTGGTCTCAAAGTTTGAAAGGGGACACAGTTTTCTGCCGCCTGAAGATCACCGAGGGACTGTTAAGTCATACTAAAGGTAAAGTCGTCGCGGTGTCTAGTTAAAACTAAAACCCTCTCTAACACAATTTTGGATAGGCAATCAACAATGGGTGATGCATGATGCTCCGGTATTCCGGTAAAACCTTAACAGTAATTTCTTAACCCAGATATGATTCGCTTAGAAGGACAAGGACATAAGATCTTAATTTATAATATTTTCATGTCTTGATGTCTAGCTAGCCTAGCTGAGAATTTGTGGTAAGCTTAGTTACCAGTGAGAGTCTAGCATAAAATAAGGAGTCAAACCTGTCACCCTCGCTTTGATACATCTGATCGTTCATGTTCATAACAAGGTCGTCAAACAAGCTCTCCGTATACACAGCCCCAGCGTAGGTGTTTGTATGTTCGGGCTCAGGAATGTCACGTCTGTCTCGCATGGGAGTCGCACTGAGGGACAGAGATTATCTCACTTGGGTGTCTTATATGGTGCAGGTGAATAAATTAGTAACTATCTAAAAAACTTCCAACACAAATTGTATTTAAACTGATATATCAAAGTTTTTACTAAACCCACAATTTTTGCTTAGCATTGCAGATAGGCGTAGACTGTAAGCTGCGAGCGAGAAGTGAAGGACACAAACACGAGGCTCGTGGGACGAGACGTCCAGCTAACATTCTATCACCTAACGAAGGGAGAGCAGTTGATGGGTGGGAATAGTGATAAGATTTTATTAGATCAGTAGGGTTATCAAGCCATCCTTTTCAGAGTTTATATAATTATCTTTAATATGTTACAAGTTTTTCACGCGATACCGATTACAGCTATAGTCCTATACTGTATTTCGAACTGTGTAAAAAAACAGAAAAGTAAAACGAGCGCCAAATTAAAAAACTAGATCATGAAATCATCAAAAATTCGTAATAACTTAGATATATATAAACCAAAAACAAACAGGAATCACAAGAAAAGCCAGACCTATTGCTAAAACGTGCTTAAGTCATGATTCGCTAGACAGGACAAGACATAAATCTTATGTAAATGTATGTCCTAGATGTCCACGAGCTAGCTGATGTTGTGGTAGCTGCTACCAGTGAGAGCTCTTCAGAAAAATGGGAAATCACTGTCTACTGCTTTGTTTTCTTTGTGTCCGATAGCCGTTAAAAAGGTAGTCAACAGCTTTTCGATGATACACATGCAGTAGTGCTTTTATGATTGTCAGGAAGAACTCTGTACTGCAGGGACGCCTGCAACCAATTCATTGGGTGCATTGTGAGGTGACAAAATAGTACATCTAAAATTAACACAAATTGTATTCAACTGACATCAAAGTTTTTCGACCCACATTTTCGCTAGCATTTGAATAGGGTAGATAACTCAGCGAAATTGAGGGAACAAACAACGAAGTTTCTGGGAAAGCGTCATTAAATTTATCACCAAAAGGTGATGCAAATTATTGGATAGTGATAGTTTTATAATCGTGTACCATCTTTATGAAGTATACGTATATTGTGGACAAAAACGTGGCCAGAATTTACCACCGACATCAATTCTCCTTCCACCAACAGTTTGGGCTCGCCAGGTTGGATAATCAACAAGCCCAGTTCACATTCCAGCCTTTCTCCTGGACTTTACTTCCTCCGTGTTAGACAGGATAGCAGAGTCCTCTTCCGTCGGTGTCTGGGGATCTCCTAGTTTGGCTGCTGCCATCGAAACTAGCTTCTGTTGGTAGAACATCAGGTTTAGAACACGCTTTTCTCTTTTCACTTGCGACTTGTGGAGCTTGCCGTCACTGATGAGGTGAAGCAGGGTTAAGAATGAAACTAAAATAATCTATTATAATAATAACAATTTGCAGACACGAGCTCCCACGAGATACAGCTGTAAGAAGAACTAGGACCTGAAAAAGAAACTGAAAGAGAAACTTACTATTTCCTCTTAACAAAGAGTATGTTAGAGGTGTGAAGCTCGCAGCAGGGTTGCACCAGCGAAATACAGATCCTCACTTCTGGAACTAATCGTCTTAACATTGACATTTTCTACAATATAGACAAGGGAATCAGTTTCATTTTTGAATAACTTTAATAAAACGCGCTAAACTTGAGGTCTCACAAAACGATGCAGTAAATATTTTTGTGACTTTACGTCAATTTTAGTGTAGAATGAATCGCATTTTATCACCAAAAAGTGGGAAGATTTAGTCAAGTTTATTTGATGACAAATTGAATAAGGACATTATAAGAACTAAATCAAAAGGTTAAAATAAGGTTAAAATAATCACCACATACTCGTAAACCGTTATCACATCAGAAGTAAAAATGCGTAACTTTATTATGAATCAAAATAAAAACTATTTAAATTAAGTTTCAAAAAGATAAATAACTAAGTTTTACAACGGTTACACTACTCAATGATTTGAAATATTCCTGATAATTTCATAACAGACGCTGGTTTGTAAAAGTACAGAGTGGTGGGATTATATAATGATCTGGACATAAGTGGCAAGTAGCTCTTGAAAACAAACAAACAAACAAACAAACAAACAAACAAACAAACAAACAAACAAACAAACAAACAAACAAACAAACAAACAAACAAACAAACAAACAAACAAACAAACAAACAAACAAACAAACAAACAAACAAACAAACAGAGTGGTGGGAAGATTCGTGAGTAACGAATGATGAGTTACAACTTTATTTCTAATCAATTTATTTAAATACTCTTAAATCATCGCAAAAAAGCAATTTCTTTCTTCCATCGTTTTTCCTGATGTTTATTCAAATATTGTTAAAACCTAAAACAATACATTGAAATTCTTATAAAAAGATTAAAATAAATTAATAATAATTTAAAACCCATGTTTTAATTACGGAGATGACGATTGCTCGTTTAATTGCTCATTCATGCTCGCTTTCCGTTCCCGGTTCGCCTCATCTGCAATAGTTTGATACTCCTTTTTCTTGTCTTCATCCAGAGATTTCCACTTTGGACCTATCTCTGTCATCTTCATACCTAAGTTCATATGCTCTTTAGAATAAGCCTGATAAGCTGAAATTGCACGGAACGCCTTGGTCTTCATGCCGCTTTGTATACCACGTATGTTGTTAAGAGCTTTAGCTTCCTTTTGTAATCGCTTCTTTTCAATTTTATCCAGTACATCCCATTTCTCCTTCACTTCCTCCCTAGATATTCTCTTCAGATCGAAATTAGATGAGAACAAGGAAAAAGCGTTAAGTTTCTTCTTCATGTTCCAATTTCCAGTAGCACCCACAGTTCTGATCTGACCCCGTTTGCTCAGCGGAACCTCTCTGACTTTAGCGTTACAGTAGGACAGCAGCGCCTCGTTCACAAGAGTACTATTGTTCTTCTCACGAGGAATGTTATTTAGCAGAATCTCGTAACGACCAGCCATATCCTCGGGCTTCATGTCGAAAACGAAGAGGTCGTTCCAGTTTATATCTTTAACAAGGGTGTCAGGGAATTTATCCTTTACCTGAGTTAGTAAGGTCAAGTCTCTGCGGTCCTGCTCTTGTTGGCTGATAACAGGGTCACTCAGGGGGGCTGGGACATGTTTCACTTCTTCTGAGGGAGAATGGAGTTGAAGAATGGAGAGTGGAACCCTAAACAAGGGAAACATACCTATTGGGAGTTAATTCAAAATGCATGAAACTACTCAATTAAATATGATTAAGTAACACATTTCAGATCTACAAATCAGCGATGTACATTGTACGGTGTACCCCACATTTTAATATCGACTACGTGCAGTATACAATTCTTCTATTATATCGTTTTTAGAGCCAAAATATTATTACCTTTGACAGGAAGGGGAGCTAGGGTGCTAGAACATCATCCTCTTCAGCTTCAGCTTCTGAGTCGTCACTCTCAACAGAAACTTTCAGTTTCTTCGCGGGTGATTCCTCCGAGTTAGGCCTAGGAAAAAACAAATTTTAAATAATTGCAAATTAGTCGTACTTAATTTCTTAAAACTAAAACAAGCCACGAATTGAGAAATAATTCCTCATCCTGTACCTCAAATTTACTATCAAATGGGAAACACTAAATGAGGGGATGTTAGAGAAGGTGATCAGAGTGATAACACTTCTAACACAAACAATGTACATTTATGATCATGTCTGAAATTTGGTCATTTTGAATCCTCTCGTCTACAAATTATAGCGATGACAAAAATTGTATAACCACATTGGGTGGCACAGCTATTGATCGCGATAACCGTATGAATGAAAAGCAGATAATTACACAGTTACTTACTTAATATTATTGACGATTTTGGTCTTCTTCGCAAACTTCATAACCGGTGAAGGTCGGGACTCAACTCGTTTTACCGGAGACTCCTTGTCCGAATCCTCCGACAAGTCATCTTCACTTAATCCGTTTGGTGTCTGCGGATCGTCGGGACTGTGTTTCGTAAGCATAGGGGGACTTGGAGGAGTTTTAACAGGACTTTTCTGAGACTTGATAGGAGTTGTCTGAGACATAATAGGATTTTTCTGAGTCTTGATAGGACTGGGCGCCGGGGATTGTGACCCAAACAATTCTAAATCTGATTCGGGACGGCTTTCTTGAGAATCCGGTACTGGCTCTTGCGGATCAAACATCAAGGTGGAGTTTTTCAGATTCTTCTTCCTTTTCTTCTTTTTCTTCAAACCATCTTGGGAATCTTTGATGACCTTCTTTTTCTTCACGTTTTTAGCGCTTATTGAGTCATCTAATCCTGCGAGGCCACTTTGCCTCTTCTTCTTTTTCTTCTTCTTCTTCATTATTGATTCGTCAGTTACCATCGTCTAAAATAATAAGAAACGTTAAAGATTGGTTACAATCACAATGTGAAAGGCACATTGGAAAATTCGAATGGGTATTAATAATATGTTGATAGTTTCAATGACATCTGCGAATAGTGCTGGCAATAACACGATGTTGACATTTGATCTGAACTATAATAGAATAAAACCCAAAATGTTTTTCAGAAAATAAAATTCAAAAGCAGAATTGAGCAGTCAAGTAGAGTCACCCCTCAAATTACATACATCTTTCAGTTGCAGTTCAGTTCCAGATTTCAGAATACACGTTAAAATTCAAGATTACAATTAATCCCAGATAATGATCCCATCAAACGGGTCGAATGTTGATAGAATCATCGTTAAAAACAGAAATAAATTAAAACCTAAGAAACACTTAATTCTAGAATTTAGTCCTCTTGGCTCCGTAACCGCCATTTCCAAAATCGTTTCTCCTCTTAAAACCGCCGTTTCCTTGACCTTTGTTGCCCCAGCTGTTATTAGAACGGTTGTTGTAACCACCACCATTACGGTTGTTTCCGTAACCACGACCGCCGCCTCCTCCGTTTCCGTACTGTCCTCTCGGTTCGTAATCATCCAATTCTGGCAATTCGGTCATTTTAAAAAGCTGCACTTCGTCGGTATCAACCCACTGGTCTTGAATGAATTCCTCGTATCTGCAAGGAACGTCGATAACACACCCGGTCTTGTCTTTGGTTAACTTCATGAACTTCACTTCGGCTCTAAAACTGGCCCCAAGGCAGTTCTCTAGGGCGTTCCAGAAATGATATGGCGCCCGGACTGCATACGTGTTTGACATCTGATAAGCGGTGAAATCTTCCATCGAGGACAACAGTGACCTCTTCTTTATTTCTGTGAGACCGGAGATGTGGCTGAGGGCTGCAGCTAAAAGTTCCTCTGCTGGTCTAGTTTCCAACATTTCCTTAGCGTACTTCCTGAATGAAGGGAGGACTTTAGGGGGAACGTTGTCAATACACCTTGTAGCGTCCCTGACAGCTGACTCAATGAGAGTTTCGGGTTGAGGTGGGGTCACCCTCTGAAACTTGATACCAGCCTTCTTCTCCACTTCCTTCAGAGCGTACTCCTGTCTGGCGTTGTACAGACACACACTTGTCCCTGATCTGCCAGCTCGACCTGTTCGACCTGATCGGTGAATGTACGAGTCCACGTCTTTAGGAGGCTCACACTGGATAACCAGGTCTATCTCTGGAATGTCCAGACCACGTGCTGCCACGTCCGTAGCAACAAGACACTGGAACTTGCCGTCTCTGAAACCTTGCAGTCGCAGCTCTCGTTGTTTCTGGACGATGTCTCCGTGGAGAACCTGGGCTTCCATGTTGATGGAGGTGGATACCGATAGGTCGTTGGCTTCAACTTTGGTCTGGGTGAAAACGATCGCTCGACCATGTCTACCACTGTATTGTTGGACGATGTCACCAATAATATCATTTCTGTTCTGCCACATACACCGTATGGCCAAATGGTTGACTGTGGCAGACGTTTTATTGGTCATAGACACCAGGTTTATTTTCTTCGGTTTGTCATGTACTTCCTTGCCACTTCGGACACCCAGGAAGGCATGGTAGCAGAGAAAAGCAACATTTGGGGTTTATTCTCCGAGTAACAATACGATAAGATCATATCAATGTGCTCCTTAAAACCTATCTCCAACATCCTGTCGGCCTCATCCAGAATGACATGGCTAACTTTGGTCAGGTCAAGTTTACCTTTCTCGCAGAGATCCATTATTCTGCCTGGTGTACCGACCAAGATGTCGATACCTCTCCTCATAGCTGTTTCTTGTGGTAGGTAGGACGATCCTCCGTAGAACTTTTCAATCTTCAGCTTGTCCGTATCACTAACAGACACAAAATCGTCGTATATCTGGACAGCTAACTCTCTTGTTGGAGCGAGGACGATGACTTTGGTAGGTCGTCCTCGTACCTGCTCCCCAATGTAACTCTTCTCCAAACGAGATACTATCGGCAGAGAAAACGAGAGAGTTTTACCGGATCCAGTTCGAGCTTGTGTGATGACGTCTTTGCCTTTGTAAACAGGTCGGAATGTGGACACCTGAACGGGGAATAGATGTGTTATCCCCGTTTCTGAAGTCGAGATATTATGTCATCAGATATGGCAAAGTTTTTGAAATCTCCGGGGTTGACTTCTTCCCCATTCTGCTCCTTATCAACACCACTAGCACTTGGACTGTCAGATGTGCTACCGTCTGATAGAGGCGGTTCGGCTGTCGTACTCTTCTTTGAAATACTCACCATCCTGTCCTAGTAAGTGATAGAGGTTAGTGGTTGGGTTAATAACTTGGAAAAGGGAATCGATTTCAACAAATTAACTAATTTACAATAAACAGATGGTTATTAGAGCATGAATAATTGTAACAAGTAATTTGGATGAAGATTAGAAGGTCTGATCAGCAGGAAGTAAAGCTAGGCGGTCGGCAATTAAGGAGACGCCATATTATATGCTGGCAATTACTTATTAAGCAGATCTGATATTGAGCTAACACTTGGGTCACTCTTTAAAGCTGATAGCTAAAATTAACTGATTGAATTATTGGACTGCACATCAGATGAGGGTTGACTTCTCAAGTTTAATGAGGGTCATTTGACTAATGGGTTACGTGATTTAATGTACCATCCGTAAAAGAGAAGGCAAAAGGGTACTATTTAGTTATTAGTACGTTTCCCATCTCTGTACTAGCAAAACAGACTCGCACCAGCAAGGGGGTGTTTATAACCGTACGTGACTATCCGTACATGTAGACAATTTCGTCGATTAAGAGCAGACAATTGTCATACCTGCTGAACTGGTGTGTACATCCTGAAATGGTTATTTGAGATTGAGGTTGTTTATGTAAGCAGCATGGAAATTTATCGTTCCAACAAAGTATGGTAAATACTAAATATACAACCGTCAACCGTGTAGCCTGTAGGTCTGTAGCTTGGTAATACGCCAGGTCAGAAAGGATAAACAAGCGGCAATTTTAACATGCTGCAGAAATACGTGAACGCGCACACATTGCGCGTTGCGCCAAAAAATCTTTGAGCAACAAAATGTCAAAAGTCCAAGACCCTTTCAGGTTTTGTGTGACTGCCCCATAGTACACAATGTTGCTTCCGTACATCTGGCAATTAGGGATTTATCATATATCGACGGAAAAGTCACGGAATTTGTACCCTTTACGCTACGGAATAAAAGGAAAGACTCTGCAATGGCTGACTGAATTCCTGAAGGATCGCCTGCAAACTGTGGTCGTGGAAGGAACAAAATCATCCTTTCAGCTAGTAATCAGTGGGGTACCCCAAGGAACAGTATTGGGACCCATTCTATTCATTCTCTATATTGACGACCAACTTGGTACATTGGTTACCGCTCTGGGAAAGGTGTTTGCTGACGACACCAAGCTCATTGGAAAAATAATGGACCTAGCTACCAAAAGCTTACTTCAAGACGACCTCCTCAATGTAATCGCTTGGGCCCTGAAGAACAACATGCAACTAAATGAGGCCAAATTCGAAATATTGAATTACAGCTTGAACAATTCTTTACTGTTAAGAGAATTGCCCTTCACCAGTCAATACTCCTGTTACAATTTGACAAATGGAAGAACTATTGACCCAGCCAAAACTGTGAGGGACCTAGGGGTTCTCCTGTCAAATGACTGCTCCTGGTCTTCTCACATACAGCAGATGACTAAAACAGCAAGGACAATGACGTCATGGGTCCTTAGCGTATTCAGAGATAGGTCACGCTTCCTCATGCTCACCCTTTACAAAACCATGGTGAGAAGCAAACTCGAATACTGCTGCCCGGTATGGAACCCTGACAAAATCAGCGATATAGAAGCTATTGAAAGCATCCAACGACACTACACTCGTCGAATCAGTGGTTGCCAGAACCTTGATTACTGGAAACGCCTGCAGAACCTGAATCTTCTCTCATTACAGAGACGCAGAGAACGATACATCATAATCCATACATGGAAGATGATGAATGGACTAGCTCCGAACGACATCAACATGCAGTTCAAGGAAAGCTCCCGGCACGGTATAAAGGCCACTGTGCCTGCATTTAATAAAAAGGCACAATGCTCAATCTCGACCCATTATGAAAACTCTTTCGGAGTAAAAGCAGCCAAACTATGGAACCTGCTCCCTAAGGAAGTTAACAAAATCCAAATCTTGGAAACTTTCAAATCCTCCCTTGCTAAATTCTTGAAAGGCTTCCCGGATACCCCGCCCACAAAAGGGTATACCGCCATCACAAATAACTCTCTTCTGGAATGGACTCTACAAAAAGATCTAACCCAGGAGTGATTGGAGGACGTACTTGATACTGTTGTCCAGAAGCGATCCCTGCCGAACCTACCTAAAGTAACCTAAAGTAACCTTTAGACATACGGCATACCATGCGAAGAAGATGTTAATTTTGGCGTATCTAATCTAACGGTATGGAAAATCTTCGGACACTTCTACAGTCTTGAACTAAGCAACTCTGTACAAATTCATGCTTGTCGAATAGCAATTAAATTAGTGTGACATATTGGTATCTGTGGGGAGAAACAAAAGAATATCGATAAAGCAGACTCATGATCAAGCTTACACGGTGTACCTTCAATACTGGGTTGAAGACTCTTCTCTTCTCTCTCAAATACTATTTTCACAGAATATCAAGTATTGATGGAGTATTTAGCTCAATTGTGCACTGTCACCCCCTGCCTTGTGGCGTTTGTCCAGAAAAGCTTCATTACATAATAACTTCTACCCGCTCAATGGTGACAAAGATATAACGACATCACAATAAAAGAAACTACCATTTAAACAGTTAAACTAGTGTTTTCTAAACTACTATTTTAAAGGTTACACAAGTTTTACAGGTTTGACAAAAATAGATCTATAATTACATAATAGATAATTAGGTTCCCACTCACTAGCAATGATATATACTCAGTTTGTTTTATAAAGACGCCCTTTATAAAGACGGAGCCTTAAAATGAAAAAATAACTAAAGACGGCAAGGCTTCAAAATTGTAAAATTTAAGACGCCACAACAGGTCTCAAAATAGATGGGATGTAATAAAGCACATTACACACACTGACCTTACTTTTACCAGCAAATTTAAAGACGGGTTGCGATGAATTAAAGACGGTGAAGCCTTCAAAATTAACCGTCTTTATAAAACAAATTCAACTGTAATCTACCGGTAGGGGGTGATATTTGTTGTTTTACATATCAAAACTCCCGGGAGCATGCTTTGATATGGGTGGCATTCTCCCAATGACTCGAAGACAACCTTCGGGATGTCACCGTCTACAAGGCTTAGTCCTCTTGGAGCATATATGATATATCTGAGTAGACTATAGTTCAGCTATAAGCTTATCAGTCATCCCATTAGACGGTAGCACAGTAAGTGGACGTAACCTTCTTACTTAGGTATTGAGGGGCAGCTGGTCAGACCCCACAATATCACGAAATAATGTCAATAATGTCATTTGTCGATGTAATGTCGCTTATAGGATATAATGTCAATACAATGTCGCTTATTGAATATAATGTCGTATAATGCGGGGGGGGGGGGGGGGGGGGGGGGGTGGGGGGATCATAAGGTCAGAATCGTACGTGACGTTGGGGGTGGGTCATATTTTCTTCCAAAACGCAGTAAGTGCTTTTGTACTAAGTGGTGGGTCTGCTGCTCATTTCTCAGAAAAACAGTTAGTACATGGTACTAAATGGGCTGTCCAACCCCAAAAAAACCCATATTACCTCAAATTTCAATTTTGGGAATGGGTTTTGAGGTTTTTTTGAGTTTTTTTGGGTTTAAAAAAAATTGTTATCTAATTCGACTACATTGAAAACAAAACCCCTACTAAATAGTGGGTGTAATTTGCTCATTTCCCAATGTTTAATGAGCTGTTTAAAGCAATTTATGGATGGGTATCTTATTCTATATACCAAGACACAGTTAGTACCGTGATTTCTCAACAGTTAGTACCGCAAAAGCCGGCAAAAGGGGTGGGTGTCTTAATTATTATCCGAAAAAAACAGTTGGTACCGCGATGGGGGTAAATTGCACTAATTCGACGTCACGTACGGCACTTGGTACCTGATCCCCCCCCAACCATTGAGTGGTTGCCCCACAATTTGTTTGTTCGGGACTATGCCAGGTAATGTTTGAATTATTGACAGTGTAACTGTGATGGTAGGCGGTCAAAATGTTTGTGGGCGTGCCTATAGTATTAAGACGAGCCACGAGGTTGTTATCAGCATTACAGTTATTGTTCCGAACTGATTTCCTCAGTCCTGCTATATTATCAAACATAAAGTTGGGCCATTTGTCTCCAATACCCTCGTTTTTCTGATCAATTAGCATGTTTTGTTATGCACATTTTACAGATTTTAGGGTTGAATAGACACGGTAAAGAAGTTGCTGCGACACTATATCGGGTTATTGCTAATAATGGACCTTTATAGTATTGTATCCCTGACCCGGGTCAGCGACGTTGAAAATTGGTGAACTGTTAGGTGGGGGGGGGGGGGGGGGGCATGGCATAACATAGCATACCATGGCATAAAATGGAGACTTTTTATGGACAAAGTAGAAAAACCTTAAGGTAAATCTCCATCCCCCCGCCCCCGTTAGGTATTTCTTCCTTTATAGACGTAGGCACTAGATTTGGGAAGTTTTTAAACTTCCCAAAGATGAGTGCATTCTTCACGATGATACTGTGAACTGTTAATATCTTGTGTACATTACTAAACATTTACCTGTTAATGTAAATGACTTTAAATATTATAACAGTCCCAGTTTTAAACTCTACATCCACACAATCTTACTATATATAAAGCGAGACGATATATATATATTTATTTATCCGTGCCATTGTACTGACACCACGGCATCAACTTTAACGCAACTTTCCGCAAAAACCGTAAAAGATATACAACTGAAACTTTTTTGACTGGGTCAAATGCTTTATAGGCCTTCAAATCAGCATGAAAAAATAAAAAATTGACCAAGGAATAATAATTTTAGTGCCCGAAATTTGGACTCCCAAGTGGTGTCAAAAACGCGAATTAAATAGGTAATAATTATTTTAGTCTCTCGAGTCTTGACACCACTTTAGGGTTAGACGGGTTCCTGCTAGTACACTTAACTTGTAGAATGTCTGGTATTCGGTCAACTTTCTAATATAAATCATTGTACTCTTCATACGCGGAGTACGTAATAACATGTTGTAAAGTCCTTCTACTTAACTTTCATTTCCTACACCAATAAGCGAGCCGAACTATTCGGTGGACCAGTAGATGAATCTACGAACTCTCCAAATTATCCCAATTATTATAAACTAAATACTTACTGGTCATAATATTCTGTGGTGATTTCACAGGTTGACCAACTAAAAGGAAGAGCATAATATTCCTTTGGATGAAGACCGATATATATATTGGTAGTTGATGTTCGTACAATTTGTATAAAAGGTAGTCTAAAATTAAGTGGCAATATTCCAGGGCTTACATAGTTATATTTAGCACATGATATTAGGAGGTTAGTTTACTACACATTTACTTTGAGCAGAAGTCAAAAGTTAATTAAAAGTTAATCATAGAATTAGTTTTGTTTTTTGCCTTATGAAGAAATATGGAAAGACGCCAATATGAAAGACGCCAATGTAATAACATCCTTAATACCTACTCATTGAATCTTTGAATCAGTACAGACAGTTCATGATCCTTTGAATGCAAAGATAACGATATCAACTGATTGGAAGCTCCTTTTGAAACCAAGCTCCTTTTGAAACCAAGCCTCCCAATACAACGAAATGTTCTTCCCTCTTAAATTTACAAACCATTACCTTGATTGTACACCTTTGATAGAACTAGAACTGTAATATTTTGATAAAAGCCAAGGGTATTAGATTAACTGTCTGATAAAAAATCCGCATCATTGATAAGTTATGAATTTCAATGTTATTACTTTGTATTTTCTAAGCTAATTCAGCACCGTGGTTGTTGTCATATAATCTTATCAGTCATACAAATTAAAAATTTTCCCAGTTTCTTAACTCGTGCACAGATTTGTAGATTTACAAGACAAAATGGGGCCATTGCACGTGATGTCATGTAGGTACAAACTTAGTACGTAGCACGTGACTTAGTACATATCACGTGATCATGGTGTCATGTAGATAACACATCTGATTTCTATCAGCCAATAAATCATCCGGTTATAGACAGAAAACCTGATAGAAAGCTATCAGATCACAATGGTGTGCTGTTTCATGATCAAATACCAAGTCAGATATTGTCGAGAAAATTTTGGTCATGTACTGAATATCACCAGTACTACAAATTCCAACGATTTAGATAACTGCGGAGAATATGGTTTAAATCATTCTTAGGGACGGCTTATTAAGACTAAGAGTAAGTACTCATGTCAAAAGTTGAGGAATCTTTTTATCGAATGATCTAAAAATAAATTGTAAAATCGAGTCAGCCAGATTACTGAAGGTGAGTAAGTCTAGAACTCTAGAAGGTTCTTTCAGCTACTCAGAGTTAATTTAACTAACAGCAAGCACACAATCCAATTCGGTCATATTAAGAATTGTTAAGTTTTACCTTTTCAGAGTTGATATCATTGCCCTGCAGTCACTGTGTAGCTTTAAGTTACATAATTATCATTGAACACCCGAGTATCTCTGTCCGATATCATATGCCATACCTGGAGTAAAAGTATTGAGTCAAAATACGTGATAATTAACATTTCGGAACATAATATTGATAAATACATAACGGAGCCAGATTGTTTGATTTTATGTCGTGAATATATTATGTGCAACATGTTTAATTTACTCAGTAGATTACAAGCATAAGATAATGTAGTGCATTATCATTTTCATTAAACTTTAAAAGAATTGGTTGAACGTAATATGAAACAACTGGTTTTAACTGAATACAAAATTAACAAATGGTATAATCTGAATTAAATGGATTACAAAATAGATCAAAAATGCGAAATGAGAAACACTTGGTAAAAAGTCAAGCCATTCAGCGATTTCAGTAAAAATGAAGATTCCAAGTTAAAAATTGTCACAGGCAAGTGCTAGTCTGCAATTGAAATATATTTGTACCCTTCTTCAACAGAAAGCCCTGATCATTGAGCGCAAACATCAAACTATCAAACGATTTAACCTCAATCTTTGCCCTCGCCATAACTTCCTTGATCTCGACCACAGAGAACAGACTGGTACACGTATGTTCAGAGTGCCTGTTTAGTGCAGCTATCAGCAGTTTACTCGCTTTAGCTACACCCATTGTCTTGCCGGTACCTGATGGTCCTGCAGCGTTTCTATCAGCTTTAGCGTCCCTCATACAGTGCTGGAAGATCTCCACTACATCTATTGCATCAGCGCTGGTTGCCACACCTGCGCTGCGCAACTCGCGCCCTACTCTCAGTCAGTCTGATCAGACTCTCCAATTGACGTGTGGTTATGGGGGTCTCATCACTGTTATCCTCTGCTCTGAGCTGCAGATAATATTCCTTCAGCACTGCCTTAGCGTCATCACTCAGTACTGGCTGGATGGTACTACGAACATGGGCTATGTACTTCTTCATTTGCAGCGGTTCGAGCTGGTCTTTACAAGACATGAGTTTCTGTTCTAAAGGCAGGTCACTCTCGTGAGGTGCTACCTGAGAGTTGGACTCACCAGCATGCATTGCTAACACGTGATCTGAGAGATACTTGTCCAGACCGGAATCAGGACGGTCTAATAGGATGAATATCAGATCAAACCTGGACAGTAGAGGTGTGGAAAGTTTGAGGTTGTCTGCCACTGATTTCCTGGGATTGAAGTGACCCCCCACAGGGTTGGCAGCGGCGAGAACAGCTGTTCTGGCTGGAAGTGAACACACCATACCTGCTTTAGCAATAGAGATACTCTGCTGCTCCATAGCTTCAAGCAGGGCGCTGTGTTGAGCTCCCATTTTATCGAACTCATCAATACAGCAGCACCCTTTGTCAGCCAACACGAGAGCACCAGCCTCCAGCACAGTATCAGACCCATCTCGTGTCAGGGTGACAGTTAAACCTGCTGCTGTGGCGCTGTTTCCGCACACAAACACACCGCGCGGCGCTACATTACCCACTGCTTGTAGGAGCTGGGACTTGCCTAGCCCGGGATCACCCACTATCAAAACATGGGAATCTGATCTCTTGTGCAGTCCCGAGACAGAATCACTAGACCTGTCAGTGCCTCCAACCAGTGCTAAAACTAACCCTGCTTTTACCATAGTGTGACCAAATATTGTGGGGCACAATGAGTTGACTAGAGCACCGAAGGGATACTTCTGAGTAAGAGCGTTTATCTCCAATATATCAGACATTGTGATAACAAGTGCACTGTCTCCCGACGAGGAGGAACTCCCAACATAATTAGCATGGACATACAGCAGGAACATGCACTTGTCTTTAGCATTCTTTGCCCGGTGTTCATCCCCACCATGATGCACCTTCACAATCCCAGTCACACTGACATTCTCTCCTGGTATACAAGCACCCACTAGATCACCAGTCAACTCACATTCCACAGTCCTGGGTATCCTGCCTGCCTCGTTCTGCTCCTCACTCACCACCTCCTGCAGCCGGACCTTCTGAAGATCTATGGTTCTAGTGAGAGGACCAGAGTGGACTGGTGTGGGTGTCATTCCGCAGCAGGGGGATGGGTTAGTGTATTTACCGTCTTTTAAAGGGTGAGCTATGTCGAGGGAACAGTTAGCACAGGTAAATTGGAGGTGAGTAACTAATGGTTTGATGTCACTTACCCTCACTACAGTACCCTGAACTGTCGCGAACTTTCCGTACAAATTAGCTCGTAGGTCTCTAAGAGGGGTGATGGGACCGAATTTAGACAGCCTAGCAATAACCTGGGGGATGGTATGGATAGCCTGAGTGCCGCTTTCTGCAGAGCTTAGAACGTGGTATAAGGATAGAGATAGAGATCTGATCATGATATCTGGGGTGGTCCGGAGCAGGCCCAGAAAATCAGGAATACCTTCTTGAGTTATGGGTTTAGCCACAAAACTCTCTAAATCCAGCGTAAAGGAACCCTTCAAATATATCTGCTCAAACAGCGACACGTCAAGAAGCATCTCCTCAAACACTGACACAAATATTCTCAGTCTAGCAACCAGAGGTGACTCAGGGACGTATGGATCATCAGGGAAGTATTCTAACCATCCGAAATAAGGACAGTTATCGTCCACTGGTGGCTGAGGGGTAGCAGAGGGTGTCCCCCGGGTGAATGGTCTGGCTCTTTTGGAGTTTCCTCGCCCCCTCCAGGCAGGGTTCCACCTCTTCTTCATGTGATGTTGTTAGAGGAGATATGGGGCTAGTGAGTCACATGATGCTGTTGTAGCTCTGGTAATCTATAACTTACCATTCAATTAGATAGAAAACTTATTGAAATTATCATGTTATAGTAGTGATGAAAGCTTATTTAACACGATTGGATTAATAAATAATTAATGAAAAAGTGTACATGAATGAAAATAGAAAAGTACTTGAAGACGGTTTTTGTAATTATAATATGATTATTATACGATTCTAGGTTCTTTAATTTATATGGTGTTATTAGAGTTTCACAGAGAAAAACGAAGTTGTTGATGCAACATTTTCAATATAAAAACAGAATAAAATTTTAACTACAAAAAAACATAATTCATTGTATGTATATTAGAAAAAAAAATATCCCGACAACGGTTGCAATATTATATCATGCGTTGTGCATTCTGGATTTATCCTGTATTTCCATAAATAATTCGTTTTTGTTTTCAAAACAGGGACAATCATCTGTCATATAATTGTACCCAGACTAAATAAAAGAAAATCAATGTTCCTTCAGTATTTCAATAATCAGTTTATTTTAAGTTATTTACCATAATTACTGTTCACTAATAAAATAGGAATTCAGTTCGATACCAAAATATTTGCTCAAACGATGAGGCTTACAGGCGGAAAGCTCCACAAATTTATCAAATTAGTATTAAATTAAATAAGAATTTTAATCAATAATCATGAAGGTTAAATTATTCGGTAGTTCGAGAGGATATCGCTGCCGGTAGTGCACCGGTCGGGCAGTATCCGCTCGAACTACCAATTATTCTAGTAACTCAAATAAATTAAACATCGATCCCAAATTAAATTATAGGTCAAGAATCAAATGTATCATGTAATTCATTATTTAAACCCTACCGAATATTAATATAGCTTTAAATCGCTATCTCACCCCATTGTACAAATATTAAATTTTGAATTGAATTTTTCTGTCATTCCCATACGAGCATACCATGAAAATTGATACAAATTCTTACTAACATTATCAACAACCTGCATATTATATAATATTATGTACAATAAATGACTGTAATCTACTCATTATTAGCGTAGCTTAAACCTTTCTTAAGCTATTAAGATTCATTATATCTCTAATAGTTATAAACTAATTCATCTTACCCTCCATTATCCATGTCCATAAGAGTTCATTTTTATTAATCCATGAGTTGGATACAAAGGACTGGCGGCATTTCTAAAGTGTGTTAATAGTTAGCTGTGTTGATCCCAAAGAGAGACTCAGCTACACCAATAAAGTAAACAGACTGAGCTATAGCCATGAGAGGTGCAATGACACTCATACGAGGCACACACCCTTTAAAAAGTGCTCCAAACCCCTCGTTCTTGATAACCTTGGAGAAGGCGTCCGGAACCCCACTGTAGGTGACGTTTTGAACTCCGGGTGTTACCGTCTGTATGCGTGTTTTAATAACATCGAAGGGCGTGACCATACCAGCAGCAGCAGCACCCCCGACACTGGCAACACCCAGGGTTTTAAGGAAACCTGTGAACTTGCTATCAGTCTCGCTGTGGAAGAGCTGAGTTCCGATACCCACACACGGGAAGTAGACACAGGAGAAGGTAACGTCTCTCAGAGCTGTGACCGCCGTGCCCTTGTAAAGTCCTTTAATGCCTTTCTCCTGGAACAGTTTCTTAGCTAGAGACCCTGCAGTCATCGTGTTACCTTCCACCTGGCTAGCAAGCTGCATCTGGATCTTGAGGAGCTCCATGGGTGTGGTGATGACTATCTGACAAGAACCAGCACCAGCTCCAGCCAGCACTTCATGCTTCACTGAGATCTTTGACTTGCCTGACGTCACAGCAAAGTGTCTCCTCAGTTCATCGTTCACCACAAGCTTGATTGCTTTCTCCGGGTTGATAAGGAGAAGGTTGACACCAACACCTCGGTACAACCCTAAGGGTCCTTCTGACTTGAAGATGGATTTGAAACAGTGGAAAACATTTCGGTATTTGGGAGGTCCACCCATTGATTTGTTCTGACTTTGCATCCTCGTTTTAACAAGGTCAAGAGGAAAAGTACAGGTTACTCCGACTACCCCGGCAAAGGCACCGTTGAAAACTTTGCATTTCAAACGGTCGAAGGTGGAGATCTGGTGGGCCATGACCTGCAAAATGTGTTCCCAGTTAATTAAGTTTTAAATAATTTAATTAAGTTAAATAAGTTAATAAGTTAAATAAGTTCAACTTAGATGGATTAATGTTTTGAACTCAAAGAAACAGTTCAAAATTTTATCACACTGTATTTAAATTATCCATTATAAAGGCATGATGATAATAACGTTTAGCTTTTTAAATAATAAAACGCCAGAATTTTGGACGATTAGAATATGTTCAAATGTATTCATTGACAATCGTACAATGTGTGATTATGTTAATAATTTTTGCAACTAACATGTTATAAATTTCCGGCAACATTATATCATAATATATGCATCGCCACATTAGTAAATAAATATAAAATTTCGCGGAATGAAAAGTTCACTATTTACGAAAAGACTGATAAAATAAATTTGACAGCCATAATATGGCACACATTCAATAGCCAAGTAGTAAAACTTGCACTATAAAGCTGTCGTATTATATACTTAATTAACAACAACTTAAACCGGGGATAAAGAGATATTGTTCAATACTCAAAAGACAATTATATAATAATATATGCTAACTTCAAATATTCACCGCATAAAATTTAGTCGGTAATGGCTTTAAAACTTAAAATTTGAACCTAAGTAGTATTAAACTGTGGTGCAGCTAAAGTATTAGTCAGACGAGCTTCACAACAAAGTTCGTGATTTAACACCTGAGCTGTATTTTAATTTTAGTACTATGATCATCAATACAAACTTTAATGTCGTTGGATAGTCCATAATTAAATGAAAATGCGTTGCTTCGAAAATTATAAAAACACTGTCCATATTAAAACATGATTTACTCAAGCTCAACAACTTGCGTGATATAACATAAATTTATATGCAATAATTGGATTCTAAAATCAAATACGTTCTAAATAGTAAATACTTATTCCACTCTTAAAACTTCAAAAGTCAAGCTAGGCGTTCCAAAAAGTAAGAACTTAATATATTATATAATAAAGATCATTAAATCGTTAAATCTATATCACTTCAGTGGGCTCAGCCTCTTCCACATGAATTTTGACCTTTACTATAGCGTTTGGAATCTTACTGTTACAAAACTTAACAAATAAAACCCGCTCCCCGACCCTATAAGCGGAGAGGGTAAGCGTGCGCTCTATTGTGGACTCTGGCTGGACAGTGCCACAATACAACTTCTTACTGCGTCTAATACCAGGTCCCTCCAAGTAAAAATAGGACCGGGTCAGCTTGGTGGAGGTGGTGTTAGTGTAGGTACAGGTCACATCAAACTCCTCGTACTGTTTCACGTTTGTTTTGCTACACGTGACCATGACACCGGTACCTTTTTTCACCAAGAAGGTTTCCTGTGTGGCGTAGACTTGCTTCGTTTCTTGGACTGACAGCTGAAGGAACATCCGGAGCGTGGAGCCAGCACGGATCTTCTTGACGTACTCGTCTGGTAGGAGGGATATGGTGAGGGTGTCTGATTCATTGCTAGAGAGTTCTAGAACGTTGGTGATGGTTTTGATGAGGGGTTGCTTGTTGTCTGTTCTGCCGGTGTACGCAGAACACTTGATGTGTGCCGAGAGGGACACTGTTCTCGATGATTTGGAGCTCGTGTTCGTGAACTTGAGAGGAATTTTGATTTCTTCTCCCATGATCGCTGTTTCGTGCCCAATATCAACCTCAATATCTCTGTTAGATCTCATGACAGTCCACTCTTTCCGGGAACCAAAGTGACTAACCTTGGCCACCACTTCTTCTTCCTCTTTGGAGTCCTCCGGGTATTTATAAAAGTTTGTTAAATCTTCTCGTTCATCTGACCCCACTGCTTTAGTGCTTATTGATTTGCCAATACAGTTCCTATCAATATACTCCACCGCCATATTACCGTCCTTCTCAACCTTCCACCAGACTCTATCACCATTAACTTCTGAGAACATGAAGCCGGTATCGTATGGGAGGTAGACATCCCCCTGCTTGATTGCTAATACGGGACAAGGTCCACACCTCATAATACTTTCACTAGCTTCTTGAGGGGTAGCATCAACTGCCTGCCAACCATCATACCCTGGGGGCAGGTCGTGTCTTTTAAACCAAGCTTCGTTCCAAACATGGAAATTCCAAATGGAATCGTCTAAATCATCAACAGGATTCCCCTCGACATCGTAGTGACAGTCGATGGAGTAGCTGCAGTCTGTATCGTGCCCCGACTCAAAGTTCGTGATACACCGAGCTGGAATACCGAGACATCTCAAGAGAGTGGTCAGGACACCACTAAAGACCCAACACTGCCCATACCTCACTGGTTCCTCGTTAAGAAGATATTGTCTCAATATCTCCACACTTCCAACCCACTCTGTAGGATCAGTGGAGTTGGGAGGATATGTCTCAGTCCATCTGCCCCATAACATGCCCCCTTCATCATTAGAGTTTACAAGAGCTGACAGGGCCCGGGTCAATTTAACTGGGTCTGATCTAGCTCCCACAGCCAAATTAGCGTTAGATAGAAGATAAACAGCACATTCCAAAACACAAACTTCGTACTGACCAAAGTTCCACGGGATGGGCTCGTAATCACGGTGAGTCCCGACCCAAATGAGACCTGTGTCATTTAAAACATACTCCTCCCTCTGTGCTTCATCGTCTAAAAACACACTGTCCTCAGGACACCAACAGTTGAAGAGGACGAATATCTCCTCGGGGCAGGTTATTTTAGTGATGTTGGGAGATCCAGGAGAGTCTGGCACGGAGCATATACTTTCTATGAGGACTTTGTAGTAGCCGACTGGAGCGGAGACGGGAGTCATCATGCTGTAAGTTACCTCTTCCCCCTCGTGTTTATCTAGGATGAAGCCCCAGTCTTTGTTGTCTAGTTTTTTGGACTCGTGAAGCGTGCAGAGTGTTCCTTTGCCTGAAATAAATTGTGTTTATGTACGATCAACAAACGTTTTACAGCACAATTTCACACTCAGATTTAGAGAATATTCGTAGCTGTTCTCTTTAAACTTGGAAACTGGCAAGTTTTTGATTTTTAGTGTTTTGCTACAATACAGTGAGCAGAATCATTATTGGACGATATAATTCTGGGAATTCTGTCAGTTTATAAAACGTTGCCACTTGACACGAAACAGACGTCTTGCACATATTAAACGCTAGGTTATACACGGAACTACAAACAATTAGAGGTTCTTAGACTTACAGGGACTGTACCGCTGCAGTCCAGATATCAGTATAATGTGCAGCGGACTTACAAATTGTTAATAAATTATCAACAGTTTCCTGAATTTAACATGCAAAACGGCTAAAAAAACTCACTTATAGCAGGTTTGTCACCAGTGTAAAAGGTAAAAACAACAGAATGCTTCTCAGGATCAAATTCTTTATCTAACTTCAACTTCATTTTGAATTCTTTGCCCCTTCTCAAGATTAAACGTTTATTATCATACTGATCAGTTCGGTGATTTGCTTTGTTGTCTTTTATCATCCAGTCTATTGTCTGCACCCATATTTTGTTGGGTCCCTCGTCGTCTTTGATTGTGTTGTTGAGGCGAGCAAAGAAGTTTGACCGTGAGGGTTTGAGGTAAGCAGCACTTGATTCGAATGTGTTGAATTCTGAATCTTCCTCATCACCCGAACCGTCAGAGTCAATGTCAATTACTTCTTGAGCATTTGCATTCGCCATCCTGAATATATTATGATTTATTAAATTTATAACATTCATTTTGATGTTTAAGCAGGCTTTTTAAGTTCAGATCATTCTATACGTCTTGTATACTAAGAGAATAGCACACAGAGTCAGTCCACACGAATTTTACCAACAATTTACCGCCTATTTGATCACGGGTATCAAATGGCGGGTCACAGATGTTAACTATCTACTCATCAACAAGTTAGATAGACGTTATTTCATCTTTACCAGGAATTCCTGTACCACTTCTGCTCAACCGACGTAAATAGTGATCAACTACAACCCTTACACTGTGCTTAAAATGATCGTGTTGATATACGGTTCATCACCATTGTAATTCCTAGTAGACATCTCTAGGCTCACACTTTTTAGGAACCAAATTAGTACAAGACTTAGCTAGACCAGATTTTGTTCCATATACTAAAACGTTTTATCTTAATTTATCAATATACAGTGTGCAAATTTCTAAATACTTCGGCGTGTATATAATATAAATTAAACCGGTTATTGAGTAGGCTAGAATGAAATAACGCCCTCGTATCCCATTGGAGGAGAGCGGTGTAGAACTTGATCACGTGCAATAAAACTTCCTATCATCTCACGGCTGGTTAGAGTGAACTGCACTAGACGTTGGGGTATTGTATTTGAACCGTTTGTCATTTGGTCAATATTATGCGCTCTTCAGCTGTAATGCTGAAACTGCTTGCTGTGCAAATGCTGATTTCGTTTGTGCCCGAATGTGTGACAACAATAACAACATCAACACCGGGGACACTTGATAGTACACAATATACTACTGATGATGTAGGGATCCAAGATACCGGCGGTAGTGTTAATGCGTCCATGGCAGGTTTGAAATTACAAGTATCTCTTATTTATCCAAGAATTGTTTACAAACGAGATTTCGCTATTAATAGCGAAATCTCGTGTGTAAACACTTAATACTAAGTAGTATTAAGTGTCAAATCTTTTGATGGTTACCAAAACTCTACATGCCCAATGCCCATCAACAGAACATGCTTTGAGCCAGTTGAGATCAATGAGAATCAATCTGATAATTTACACAGGAAATAGATTCAATGTGATTAAAAATAATATAAAATTACAATATAAAAATACAATATAATGATACAGCATTCAGAGAGACATTCTCTTTCTGATGGTTAAAATATTCATGAAATGAAATTAAATTAAAACGATCTGTATGTTATATCTTAAAATTCGTTTAACAGGTTAAAAACTCTAAAGTAAATATAATATTTTACAGCAAGCTGTCATTTTCCAGGACTCATTTTCCAGGACTCTAAACTAAGGTGGGAAGGAATTGTAAACAATGAAAATTGAGATACCCTCTATAATTAATTGAGGTAAAATTCAGGAAAGTCTTAACACAGTACCAGTTATTTAAGAGGTAAATCAGGCCTGGTAAATTAAATACAATTAGATAGATCAGCTATTCTGTAAATCGAAGGACTACTTGATAAGGATTTAAAGTGAATTATAAATTTGGCAAATTCAAGATTCATGACAGAAAACTAAAAAATGTGGTTAAATGCTTTTTTCAACTTCATATAAACAAACAACTTAAAAGCATATAAATTAAAACTCTAAACATGATAAAAAACAGATAGAAACTTTTAATTTCTAGACAAATTGGAGTATGATCAATCAACTAACAACCCTTCATCATTTCATACTTTCGTGTCAGATTTTTTACAATCTCCTCGCACCAAACTTTATACTCCATACCGTGATCTTCGGCATTAATTTTATCTGGATGATAATAGACAATTGCTTTGGCGAGCAGCTTTTTCAAAGAATCACCAGGGGCATCAGAAATCTCTTTTACATTTACATTGAACTTGTTAGCCCCCGAATGTTTTGGTGGATTCTCTGTGTAAAGCCAAACCAGTATTTTCTGAATGGATAGTTCTGTCATGTTGTGCTTTAGAATATCCAATTTAGACTTTAGACTATCAAGGTATTTCTTTCTGCTTTTCTCCCATTCTTTTTCTTCTTTTCGTTTTTCCTCCTTTTGGTACTCGGATATAATTTCTGAAGCATCTCTGAACCATTTTTCTTCACTGAGATTCCGGGGCTGAAGGGAGTGGGCAAGTTGCAGAACTTTCATAAGGTATTCCTTTGCTCTGCCCTTTTGTAGCAACACTTTGTGGTATAAAATGCCAAGTTTTGAAAGTGATATAGCTTCCTGTTCCACGTCATTCTCACGGGTCAGTACAATACTTTCAGTGTAGAAGTCAATAACCTGCCAAATTGCAGTCACATCAAGGTCCTCAGCATCATTGATGGTGCTGCTAAGAAGCTGGTCTGCTATGAATCGTTTTTGCATAGAGTCTGATATACACCGGTTCTTGAAGACATCTTCTTTCATGTTCATCACAAAGTCCTGGAGCAAAATGTCATCAGAACTATCAGTTACAAGTTGCTCTAGTTTCGTTAGGGGAGTGTAGACTTCTGTCAGAGCCGTTAAGCTTGCTTTATAATCGCTTTCCTCTAGGGTCATGACAGATGCATGAAAATAATCGATAACCAATTGTTTCAGCATCTTAACACGTTGTTCTTTAGATTCTGGAACAAATGCAAATCTTTGAAGGATCCTTATTCTTTGATCTTGTCTCATTGATAATATCAAATTAAAAATATCAGAGAAAACACTATTCAGTCTCTCTTCGATATTATCAATCCAATCCTCAGGCATAATTAATCTCCCAGTTGAAATAGCCTTACTGCCATGTGTCAAACATTCCTTGAAGAAGAACAGGCACTGATCAATTTCATTTCGTTCAAATAAGAGCATGGTTATGTAGTGGGTGGCCACAACTATATTTTTGTAAGCAGAGCTCTTCTCCCGATCATTTGTTGCAGAATTCAAAGCTTTATGGTAGTGTGTTAGGGCTTTCTGATATCTTTCAAGCCTTATAACAGGAGCAACGCCTACTGCTGCACTTTTCAAAAGTTCATTGCCTTTCTGTCGGGCAACACTTGAACTAGACATTTCCTGTTTTGTAGTGGAATGAAGAGTATAAGTATATCATGATGAGGTGCAATTTAAACAAAAGAGTAAAAAGAAAGTATTATTAGTTTGGTAGGGGCCGGTAGGGGAAGAACAAGCAAAGCATTTTGATATATTGTGACAGTGATCACTATTTTATTGGTCAACTCCACAAAGTGATGGATTGTGTTTTTGATAGATTTTCTTTGTCAAAACAAGGTTGTCCTTCAATTGGCCAATCATGAACTATAACTATTCCCTTAAAAATGTTTAAAAAGTACACAAATTTTAAAGGCAAGATTCAGCCTCTAAATCATGATTCAATAATTTCGGTAGCTGATAAGTAGATTTACATACTGCACAATTTATGACACCGATAACATTTTCAGCATACACAGGCAGAGAAGGACCTTCTGAAGCTTCATCATCTACATCGTCCTCTCTTACCGTAACCTATAATACTGCAGATCCAGCAGATGAGCTCAAATGTAATTTTGTAAAACAACATCAAATTTTATTAAGATTGCAGTTATGTAGTACCCAGCTAAGGTTTGGAATATTAGTAGTATCTTAAAATGATACTTAGTAGTTAGTACTTTAGAATAGAATTTCATGTATTATTTCATAGTACAGGGTGTCCCATAAGTCATTGTGAAAACGTTGGCAGAGGTATAAGACCCAACGTTTGCACACTGACTTTTGGCCCACCCTGTATAATTTTAAAATCATAAACAATGAGTTCATTGAATGTTATATCTTTCTTTTCTTTCTTTTTCTGATAATATCATATACTCAGTGAAACCAGGGGACTGCACAGGACTCATATTAGAAGGAACTTTGAGAGTGAACTTTGAAATAGATACTGATGGCCTATTGAAAAAAGATGAGGGAGACCAACAGCTAGTCACTTGTAAGATGAAACCAATGAAGAATCATACAGAGTGCAATGATGCACTGAGGGAACTGATCAACAGCACAAAGATATTTAAGCATGAGGCAATCCCAGACACAGGTGGAGTTTGGGAAGACCATGAAATCCTTGATAATGCGACAAAAAATGTTACTGTACAGGTAACTGGCAATCATTTTGATTTTCAAGATTAAAACATTTGTATGCTTCTAGAATAGCCACATGATTTGAAACTTTTACAAATAGTACATACAATACAGCGATGAGATTTTAAAATATACGACATCATGAGGCATTATGTTGTGTAACAGTCGTAGACCATATTGTATCATGTATGAATACTAAAAGCATGGGTAAGTGGTACAAGTTCTGGGGGTATACGACAAACGTATTACAGGTAATAGTTCTACCCAAGACTCACTAACACCACCTCCATTTGAACACACAAATTTAATCTAAATTATTATCTAAATATAATCTAAATATAATTCAAATTATCTAAATTATGATTACAAGTGGTCACTAATAAACCTAAATTTTCCTGACATTATCAATTGATTAAAAAACGGTCCTGTACATAGGATAACAAATCACTTTAAAATTCCCATAGAGGCAAACTTCCCTGCCTTTGACCTGAAGAATGCAACATGGAACCCTAATTTGCTAGGCAATTTGATGAAAACTTTATAATCTCAGGAAGATGGAAGTGACAGTCTGTTCAGTGTACAATTTACCTTTACAGTCCTGCACAAGCACCACGATAATCGAAAGATATACTGCAGAGCTTCCAATGAGAACCTCACTGTGATTTCACCTAAGATTAAGTTCACAACAGATATCAATAGTGAGTGACAGATTTTACAAAGAAGCACTTTCGTATTAAATAATTCCATAAAAATTAATTACGAAGAAATCAACCTTCCAGCTAGTTATATAGGTTAATTGCATTGAAATATGACAAAACTAAAGCAAGCACCTTGAAACTAAATCTATTGAAAATTTCAGAATTGTATAAAGTTAGTATGAGTCCACACCATGTGGAGGTGTCACCAAAAACAGCCTTTACATTGACTTGCACATTCCATGATGAAGATGTTGCACAATGGATTGTTTGGAAAAGCAAAAGGAGCGGTGCAGACTATCCCCATTATAATACTGTGGAAAGGCATGGTTACAGTAATATTCAAAGTATGTGGCAAGTATGCTTTACAAGGCTAATACTTTTCAAGGTAGAAGCCTGTCTTAAAGAAAGTAATAGGTTTCCCGAGTTGAAATGGGCAAGAAAAGCAAAATCGTACAAGGATCAATTTATCTTTAAAGATACATTTTATTATTTAATTTTAAACTGTATGAATTAAAACTCCGATTTCAAGACTATATATTCTATTTAATATTTATCTTCAAATGAGAATAATTTCAGAAATTGGCAAGTCGTCAATACTTACTGTAACCAAACCTGGAGAATGGAATGGGACTTATTTGTGTACTACTAACCTAAATACTCACCCAAGAAATCACGTCGCTAAAGTCACAGTCCTAGTGAAAAGTAATATGTTTTCAAAGCTATTTTTATGACTGTTAACATTTTATTTTATTTAAGTTATTAGATATACATTGTAAGTATCAATTAACAGGATTGTAATAGGAAGCATCCTGCAACACATTAAAAGCACCATGTTATAAATCATCTAAATTATTGAATAAAATATACAATACATAATATATTCTTGTATAATACACAAATTCACGTCGCGTTGGGTAACTACTATTATGCTCTTTCAGATCCTGATAAGACTGTTGTACATGGAACTACAATAGCAGTTACTGTTTCTTTATTTCTTGTAGTGGTGATAGTGGTTGCATTACTGATAAGAAGGCGTGCTCTCAAAAAGAAGATAGAAATTGTGAGCATGTTTAACAATTTTTATTATTTTATCACCAATTTATTACACAATCAATCAATAAAATATTATATACATACATACCAAATAAATTATATCCTACTAATTTTTGGCGCTAGATGATGCATATGTTAGCGAAAAATAAATCAAATAGAAATCATGATCAATTGAAGTATAGCCTGTGGTAATTCTCTGTTGATGTGCAATCAGTTGATTTGATTATATTTTCAGTCCTTAATGCTGATGGATCTCCAAGAAGCCGGGGCTCAATCTGCCGCTGCTAGAGTAGGCAGTATGCATAGTCTAAACATGGATCCAGCAGTTAATTGCTATGCTAGCTCTCTCAATCCAGATGGTAGCTTAGCAGCTGAAACGCTTGCTGCAACTTTTGCCAGGGTAATATTGAAAAACTGGAGGACATTCAGACGGACGAATATGTTCCATTATATAAATTTGTTTGAAGATTTGAGAATAGGAACCATCCAGCATTTCAAAACAAAAATATATCAGGATTCAATTTTAAGAAGCTATTATTTAATTCTTAATCTCAATTTTCCCCAGTTCACGACTATGTATTCTGCTTGGCAGAAAGACAGGTCACAGTTGGTAATTAAGGAAATTTTGGGAGAAGGGAACTTTGGAAGTGTATGCCTAGGAATTATGCCTGATGTCTACTTCCAGGGAATCTCGAGCCAAGTTGCTGTTAAGACAATTAAGGTGGGTGAATCTCTAGAGCAGAGGTTAGACCAGAATTTTGGAGAAAACTAATAATCTAGAGAGTTGTAAGATACACTTATCTAGAGCCACACATATTATGTACCATTTAAATTGAGTTTTATGTGAAATTTATTGATAATCGAAATTATTTCAGCCTGCAAGAATGGACAAAAATGCTATTACAGAGTTCGAAAAGGAAGTGTCTATAATGTCAACATTGCAACACGAAAGTATAGTCAGTTTAGTTGGACTATGCACAGAAACAATGCCACTTTACATAATAATGGGTAAATTTCTTCATAATAGGAGCAAATGATTTATTTTATTCATGGTAGAAATTTTGAATATAGGAAGTTGAAATTAAATCATTGTTATTTAATAAGTAGGTGAAAGTGTTGCTACTCCTTTTCAGCAATGGCATAGAATAACCACTGATTTATTCATGTCTTTTCAGAATACATGGAAAATGGTCCACTGAATGATTTCTTGATGGGGAAAGCACCCAACAAGGTTTGTGTCTAAACATAGCATCAATGGTTGTTCTCGAGTTTATTGGCCAATTTATTACATGCAAGGTAAAGAAATTCAAACTAGAAATGGTTACTAGAGTGGCTAGGAGGTTTGACAACGATAACCCAATCACATCACAGCATTGAGTTATCTTTGAATTGGTATCATACTCCAAAAGAGGGTTTTTGTCATCTGACTACCGTAAGTCACCTAATATGATCAGAATATATATATAATGTTTTCACATTACAATTGTTTTATCAGATACTTATTTTTCAGCTCGAAGAAACCACTCTATCGATAAGAGATCTGATCTTTATGAGCTTGCAACCATGCAAAGCTCTAGAGTATCTCTCAGAGAAAAACGTTGTTCATAGAGACATAAGTGCACGAAACTGTCTAGTGGGAGATAAACTCAAAGTAAAGCTTGCTGATTTTGGCCTTTCAAGAGGGACTGCTGTAGATGATGGGAAGAATTATTATAAGAAGGTAACGAATTTTGATTTTTCGGTCCCGAAAGAGAACATCTTAAAAAGTTAATCACAAAATTATCTGACAGTTTTTTGAAAATTGAACAAGAGTTATATTTTTAATTCCTATTAATATCCAGGATGGTGGTATGGTTCCAGTTAAGTGGATGGCACCAGAGGCTCTTAACTTTGGCAAATACACATCAGCAAACGATGTTTGGTCCTTTGGTGTCTTAATGTGGGAAGTTTTCTCCTTTGGTGCAATACCTTATTTGGCTCATTCAAATCCACAAGTCATAGTTTTTGTAAATAGAGGGGGAAGACTTGAAAAGCCTGACTTCTGTCCACAGGTAAAACATGAATATTCCGGTTTTAGACTGAATTTGATATTTAAAGGAGCTGGGATATGTAGCTGGTACACCTCACAGCAAGTAAACCAAAATGGGTTGTTTGTGAAACGTGCATCGACTACCCACCGAATTTATAATCTTATCGTTTCAGAGTATGTGGGAGCACATTTGTTTGTGTTGGACTAAAGACCCCGGGGACAGAATAACTATCGGCGGCCTAGTTAACATGCTGTCTACAGAACTCGATATTATTGATACGTCAGGCGACAATGGACATTCCTCACAGCAGTGAGCACTTAGAAACCGGTTGAAAATCAAACGACTGATATAGTGATTAAGGACATCGAGAACGATGGACATCGATGGAACACAATAACTTTGAAGACAACAGAGAGTTTTATCCAAGAGAGCCTCATACATGCATTTGAAATTGACGTTTATTAGTTAAGACTTAATCAGGATCCGTGGAGAAAATGTCGAAGTGAAATAACTAGCGTAAGCGGTACTGCATGATCATCACTTAACTTTGATATTAGTGATTAGCTTGAAAAGAAATATTGATAAGATTTTGGTCATTAAGATCAAATAAATATGAACTGTTAATAGTACATATCATTTTTAATTGCGTGGAATGTGTATCATTTAACTTACCATTTTTATTATTTCTTATATTTTGTTTTTCAATTGTTAACAAAAGTACAGAATGTAGGAAGGAATCCATAATAATTGCCACTTTATATTTATTTACCTATATTGACCATTGTTAATGGTCTGGCCCGGCGGCGCGCGCTACTTCGAAGAAATTTAGACGAGTAACATCCGTCAATTACCTATCTTGCTGGTTTATGTGACAGATAATGCATAAATAATGCACGGCTAAATTGTGTTAAAGTTATATTTGTCATACCACATTGAGTCAAGTAGATTTTAACGGTTAGGGGCCCTTTTAGAAAAATCTCGTAGATCAACTGTATAATAAAGTATAATACGAGTTGGACTCGTCGATAATCCATTTGAAACAAATATTAATATTTTACAAGTATCACCCGTTAAGGCCCAGTAGCGCATTTCGCTGATCTAACTACGGTTGCGAGAAGCATAATTGAGTGCGCGGCGCGACCCATGCAGTAACGTACCAGTAATTTAACGCATCCCCACTGCGAGATGATCATTCGCGAGGTGAAAATGAGCGCTGGGGACGATCTCTCTGAAATTTTACCTGTTGGTTCAGTGGACGATTTTAGCCACAGCGCCTTAAATTTAGCACGATCGTCCATAATCACACAAAGTTACAGCTAATTTAGTGATGTAAACACTCGTTGCAATATACTGGAATTGAATCGAGCGCGTTACTATGGTTACTGCGCGTTGATATGGTTACTAGATTTAGATTAGATTCATCGTTTTAGCGCGCGTAGCACGTAGCATTATTACAATTCTATCATATTGTCATATTATTATTAGATGCACGAGTTTAGCTGCATTTTACATTTAATTTCAGGAATCTGCAAGATTTGTAATCGATTAGATAATATTTAATTTCGTTCTTCATTCCTTGCTTGGCGGTCCTCATTTATGTATGTATTTTACCTGGGAGCGGGAACTCCAGGCTCAAGGCTACGCTTTTCATTAACCGGGATGTAATTTTCATAAACCGATTAGAGTTTAGTCAGTATGACATGCTGATCGCCGCCAGACAGTTGAAAATTTGTTTCATACACATAAAATTGATTGTGTCATATCTGAGTTCTTGGCTGTATTTCGAAACCTCAGTCAGTTGTGGGTTTTTACCGGCCTAAATAAAAAGTCAAGTTTACAGGACATTTCTGGGGAACCTTACTATGTGTTTTACTTAACAAGATCAAAGATGCGAAGGTGAGGAAAAGGAAGCGTGCATTCGAGAGCGTATCATTTTGTACATTATATTACCCCGATCTGAAGCAGGAGGTGACCGGGATTGGCAATTTTGAGTTATCCCGGTCCCGGTCAACCGGGTCAAGTCACATTTTTCATCCCGGTCGCGGTCAAATGCTGATTTATGATCCCGGTCCCGGTTAATTCAGGATTCTTGGTCCCGGTCAATCACTCAAATTTGCCGGGATTTTGACCGGGATCTTTTACATAATTTCATTCACTGTGATTTTAAGTTTTTACTTTCATTCATTGTGAATTTCATCTTTAAACAACCTCTGAGCCAAATAAAACAATGTTTAAAATTGCTAAACAAGTTTAGGTAACTAATATCGTTACATAACTCATAAGTGCAAACTAACATCAAGTTTTCAACTCGGGCTACGCCCAATTATCAATTGGAGAATGAAACTGTTGAATAATTTGAGGGATCATTGACTGAGGAATGAGGAATGAGGGTGAACTTGAGTAATCAGTACATGAACATTATTGGTGTAGTACATTAGGCCCATGCCCCATATTGACGGGTTTTTTCTAATTTAATATTCTAGTTATTACTTATTCAAATTGTTCAATTATAATGTAAATGAAAGTTGCAGCTTTCAATATGAGAATACCAGTTTTGGTCCCGGTCATCCCGGTAAAATCCCGGTCATCCCGAAAAAATTGTATTGTTGGTCCCGGTCCTGGTCCCGGTCCCGGTAAGATAGAAATCCCAGAAATTATTGGTCCCGGTCCCGGTAAATTGATAATCTCAGTCCCGGTCCCGGTCAAGTCACATTTTGTATCCCGGTCCCGGTCCCGGTCAGGCCTAAAATCATGTCCCGGTCACCTCCTGATCTGAAGTTTGATGACTAGAAAACAGTGAATACAATTAATGTTTATTAATATTATTATCGAACTTCATATTATATTGTTTATCCTAAGTAAAGATCTGATAACTCTACAACAGGGATCGGTTAAACTATAAATGGAAACAATTTAAATACTGAAACATAAACTAGTGTTAACATATCTATAATACGTTAACTTAAAACTTAATTACATCAACTTGCAAGATTTAAAAAATTTTCCCTATAAAATACAGAGGCAATATCAAATATGGCACAGTTCAGTCAAATGAAAAAATCTGTTTGTTGATGGCACTGAAGAATATTTTGAAAAAAGCTACGATGAAAGTTGAAGGAACAGTTAAAGGAACACTATACCAATTTCAGAATGTAAATTTTCGTGTTTAAATATCATACTTTATAAGGTATAAAGTTTCGTATTATTAATCAAAAGTTGGTGTAATATCACACGTAACACGTTTTAGATATTAAACAGAAGAAAGTTTTTTTGTCCTAGATCAAGAGCTGCTCATTTCTCACAAGCAGTGTGGTCGGGGTTCTGTTCTTCGATTCTTGCTGCCTTTGTCTTTCGCACGCAAGTAGGAGTACCCTGAGGATTAGAGGCAATAATAATAATAACGCTTTATTTGTATACCGCTTAGGCCGTATAATCAACCATGAATTATTAAAATTTTATAGTTCTACAATTGGAACCTGCGACTTGTTTTGCAGTGAATCACAATCCAGACGAAATGTGTAATTTTAAAAAGTATAGGTACACACCTGTCCGTAGTTTCTCGTACATCACGCGTGACGTCCGGCTAGAAGGAGTTTCTCCCAGGTCTGCTGTCTAGGAAGAGAGAATGGGAGATGAGAGCTGTCAGATGAGATGGTGGTCCAAAAGAAACTGCTGGGAGCCTGACAGAAAACCGTATTGCAAGCCCCGAAACGGTGTCAGGTTTGTGACTGAAGATTCTGATCAAGCTCAGGGTTGAGTCTACACAGTGTCGCCACTTGCCGATGCCAGTTGATGCGACAGGACACTGATTTAAGTGGGAAGTTGTGTCTAAGAAACAGCGTGTGGTTCGGGTGCCGGTTGAACGCATGTAATAGGGAGGGTATATCCGTATTTCGCTGCTAGGAGGTGGTCCGCAGATTGCGTGAAGATGCCTACTTTTAAACCTATCAATAGGTTCAATAGGTAGGTGCTAGTGATGCAGTCCTTGACCCGGAAGCTAAGGCTTCCCCGTTTCTCGCTCATTTGTGCTCCGATGTTCTTGTGACCTCTGCAGGGGTCAAGTGCAGGATGAGGGACATGGCCGACCAAGAGAAGGTTGTTTTTGAGAGGTATTTTTATACAGTTTAACTGTATCATTACCCTTGGAAATCTCTCGACCCAAACGATGCCAAATTCTGCCTCCGAGCACAAGTACTTTGTAGGGGGTCAGCGAGTCATTTCATGTCTATTGTTCAATGTCGTTGAGCAAGGGGGAGGTTAGCTGCTGTCTACTGCCGTTATTCTCCAATTCTTAGAGTTCGTCTTTCGCACGTGAGTAAGTTTCCTGGGGAAAATAAATAGTCAACCAAAAATTATTAATAATAAACATAGATGGACTTCCCACAATTATAACCAGTAAATCTGACACCTGCTAGCTGGCGTAAATTTAAAATTTAACACGCAGTGCGCGCGCCGCGCGCTAAAAATATCTCAAATTTGAAAACTGATGTGGTTCTTATTACCGAAAATCGAATTCGCGCCAGCCCAGTAGATGAATCCATAAATTTGGAACATGGGCACATCGCAGTATTGGCCGTATTTGAGTGCTGGGAAGGCTCAGTTCGGTTTTCTAAGATGGACATAGCCGTAAGCTAGGCCTAGGAGCCATCAAAAGTCGTATAAAATTACCCATGGAATGACCAGAAATGAACGAAAATGAACATTCTTCTCAAAGTGCTCAGAATGGTTTAAAATGGGTCGGAAAGTGTTTATATTAGTCCTAGGACCACTCAAACCAAGTTTGGGAATCACTGCATGTCTAGAACCGATGTTACCAATGTTCCAAAATGTTCCAATTTTGGCACAATAATCCTCCTGAGAATCCAGATTTTTGGAACATGGGCACATCGAAGTATTGGCTGTATTTAAGTGCTGGGAAGCCTCAATTCGGTTTTCTAAGATGGATGTAGGTAAAAACTAGGCCTAAGAGCCATCAAAACTCAAATAACATTACCCAGGTTCATGGAATGTATGGAAAATGAACAAAAATGAAAATAGTAGTTGAGATGGTGGAAACATTTGATACAATTTTGGAAACATGCTTTTACAGCCGTATTTATGCTTGTACTGACTTGGACACGTTCATAAAAAGGTGGCACTAGAGATTGATTTTTCACTGCCAAAATTGTGTGAAGCATTTTAAAATACTTGTATCTCAAGGAGTATGCTATGAAAGTTAACCAAATTTTAATGTGGTCCAAAAAGATTCAAATGTCACATAATAAAGTCATTCATCTCTTTATATCTGTTAATTGTGCAGATATGAGCCAGAAATCACAAAATATTCATTTCTTGCACCTCTAATGATGAATTTACATTCTGTGAGTGTGTCCTGCTTCTCAATGTGATTATTGAACCTTTTTGAGATAGCTGAGTGTTAAAAGTGCAAAGAATCACCGGTTAAATGTGGAGTTACGATGCAATTATCACATACAGGGTTAATTCTGACTAAGTATTTTAGAATGATGAATGTGATATGAATATCAACGGAATGATTGTAACAATGAACTCTATCAATCACAATTATATCATGCTAACTAATATTTAGAGAATTTAGATGGTTAAAAGTGCCATAATGAGTCAAAAATCACATAAATGAGCATGTATTGAAATGATGCTGTATCAGGGGAATGTACACTGTCCATTTGAAC